TTGCCTGGGAGAGGTGGAGCGTTCATTATTGTTGTCCGTGCCAGGGATGACGACGACGGTCCTAGACTAGGGTGATGGTGATGTTGGTGCTTGGTGCTTGGACTGTGTGTTTCCAGCGAGCTGTCTTTCAGGCTAATCGTACCAAAAAACTTTGGAAAGGCGGACAACATGCGTCCATGAAGCTTTCCAATGACGGGAAAGATCTAGTGGAGGTTTTTATTGTGAGACTTCCCCATAAGTCATGGACAAAACGAATGCAAGTCTCGCCTCAGCTTTTTTTTCCCTCAAGGGTTCCATTCTTTCGTCTCTTGTACTCTACTCTGCTGCACTTGGAAAGCAATCTCAAATGTCTGAGTGAGCGTGGTACAAGGAATCGCCCCGAGACACAGAAGGGCACCGAGAACCGAATCTGAGGCCCCAAGACTGAGTGGACAGATGGCTGTGTAGTTTGAGCTCGAATTTGAGTTTGAGTCTCTTGAGCCCGAGCTTCAGCATCTAGAACTTGGAGTTGAGCCTCTTGAGCTCGAGCCAGACAGAACTGCTGCTCTTTTCAAGGAGAATATATCAACGCCGCTGGCCATGAGTAGTGGAGGTATGCTCATCAGGCAAATATGAAGGAGTTACGTCACTTTTTGCCTTGTTGCTCGAATGCTTGTTGAAGAGGTCCACACCTTCAAGTACGAGGCATCATCGTTGGTGTGTGGTTGGTCGTGAGTGTGTATGGTCGAGAATGTGTATCAAAGGGAAGGTATATTTGAAAAGGATTATTATGCATCTAGGGGTTTCTGCTCTCTCTGTCTTCCATCTGGGCTTGTTTATGCAGCGCCCGTTGATACAGCGCCCTCCAACTTGTAGCCCTTAAACTGGCGTGCAGGAACTTTCCTGTCAAAGAGGAGGTCCAGCTCTTCAAAAGTGCGGCCCATAGTCTCAGGCACGCGAAAGTAAGACCAAATGAGGCAAAGAAGTGCAAGGCCGCCAAAGAAGAAGCCCAGCTTGCCCTGTAGATTGGCTTGTTCCGGGTTGATCATGTATGGGATGGCCACAGTCATGACTATGCCCAAGACGCCTTGAGCGGCAGTAGCAGCAGCGATAGTTTTTGAACGGACACGGGTGGCTGAACATTCTCCAAGCAAGACGAAACAGACAGGACCAATGGATATGTCGTAGAAAAAATTCCAAATGAGCATTAGTGACGATTCCGCCCAAATGGCACCAGAAGGCCGGCCGGGAATGCAATCGAGAATACCAATGACGAACTGGAGGATGACGAGCCACGCCAAGCCCGTGACAAAAAGTGTTCGTCGGCCGAATTTGAGCATAAGAACCCAAGAAACAAGAGTTCCAACAAATCCAACAGCTGCAAAAGTCTGGTAAGCAAGAGAAACGCTGCGTGTAATGCATCATAGTCATTACAAAGAGGTGATGACTTACCCAAAAAGCCGACGGACATGTCAAAAGCTTTGTCAGTAGCCAAGCCAGCCTGCTGGAAGAAGAACGTGCCGTAGTTGATGAGGTAGATGCCGCTGAGAACTTGCGTGCAGTAAACGCCCATTGAGATTTCAGTTCGGCGCCAGTTGTCGCCCTTGAAGATATCCAGATATGTGCTGCCGGCCTCAAGCTCTTGCTCCAGCCGGTCTGTTTCGACGATGAAGGCCAAGGTTGCCTGGACATTGACCTCGGGAGATGCCAGTCTTGTCAGAGACTTTGTAGCATCCTCTAGGCGGTTCTTGCGGACGAGCCACCAGGGGCTTTCAGGGATAAATGCAACGCCAGGAAGAATGACGAGAATCCAAAACCACTGGAGGAGAAAGGGAATTTTGTAGGCCCAGTGGTTGTTTAACTTGGAAGTGCCAGCGGTGACGCCATTTCCAAGAAGCTGGCCAATGACGAAACAAAGGTTGACAAAGGACGTGAGGTGGCCACGAAGTGCCGTGGGACAGACTTCAGAGGCATAGGCCGGAGCAATGACGACAAACATACCCAACACAAGGCCAGCCAGGAGCTCTCCGGCGAGAAGAACGCTTAGAGTTTTGGAAAAGAATTGAATGAAGACAATTCCAGCAGTGAGAATGACGCAGGCTGCAAAGGTGAGCTTCCGCCCAAAGTAGTCCATGGGATACGCCGCAAAAATGGCACCAACAACCTGGCCAACGGGGTTGCCCATGGATAGAGCAGTCTGCCAAGAAGCTTCAATTACCCACTGCATTAGGGCATTTGATTAGTATTGCTTCTGTAGATGTGCAACAAACGGGACGCAAATAGACCTACATCTCCTTTGTACAAGTGTCCGAAGTCGCGAGCGAATTGAGGCGTTGAGTAGAGGTTTCCGATAAGCTGAGGGTCAAAAGCCAGCATGATGACGCCGATGGATACAAAACCTGACCAAGCAATTGCCTTGGGATACAGTCTCAGCGCCTCAATGAAAGTGAGCTCGTGCTCGGCACGAATCGCCTCGATGGCTTCGGTAGCTCCATCATGCTTTAAATCGCGAATGGAGTCTCGAGCAGTCTCTTCTCGCTTGAGGTCGGTGGCCATTGCGGCGATGAATGATTGGACCAAGTGAAGTCGCTTCTTGTGAAGTCGGGTATCGGGTGAAAACGAAGAGAGGAAGAAGAAAGAAGAGGTTAGAAAAATGAAGAAAGAAAGAAAGAAAGAAAGGGCATCAAAGAGGTAAAACGGGTACGCTGACTATCTTGTCACAGACTGGGTTGGCACACCGATGATAAGAAGGGAGATGTGGGCCAAGAAGTGGTAATCAGCTTTGAACTGCCAAGACAGCAGCCTTCGTGGAGCACCGCAGACCAGGTCAAGAGAACGACGAGGATATATAGATAGGAAGGTGGTGAATGCAAAGGAGTGGAGTGTCATGGCTCATCAAGCCCTTTGCTCTGAAGGCCTGAAGGCCATGCTTGCGGTGCCTTTTGGCCCGATGTAACGAGATCAACACTAGCATTAGGGCGGGAGAGGCTTGTGGAGGACGAGCCTGCAATGCCACAGTACGGGAGTCGGTCCATCGGTATTGCTGTGGACGAGTCGTTATCAGCACGAATGAACCACTTGGCTGATCAGTCTGCAGGGAAGGGTCACATACCTTGCGTCTCCCCGCCCTAGTGGCTGCAGAAGGCAGGCTTGTCTGTTGGCGGTGCGAGACAGTGCATGGTTGACGAGGCTAAGGTTCCTAGTGTAGCACAACGCGCTGCAAGCACCCGTTAGCATTGTGAAAGTAGCATTGTTCCACCTATCAGGGGCTGCGAGCACGCTGACCGGGGGGCTCGCGCCGCCGAAGAGGCTAGAGAAGCTTAAAAACAAACAATTAAGCTCACCAATTGCAGAGATGTCTAAGCAAGCGGAGAGGCAACGTAATGCTGCAGCTGACCAGGGGCCAAGAGATGTGTGTGTGTGCCTGCTGCTATGCTGCCAGTAGACAGCTTCGAGCATGAAACGACACAGCTGTGATACGCCGAGTTGCGGAGGAGCCTGTTCTGAGCCAAACGATTAGCGCAGTGAAGATGGTGAGGGAAAGATGGAGGTGGTGGAGAACGAACAGAGGCGAAGATACGCACTGACTCAACTGTGGGCGTGCGGGGGTGGATAACTCCAGTCTCCTCAACGCCACAAGTGCTCCATGGACAAAAGAGATGCGAAGGGTGGGTGGTGGAGATCTGATAGTGAATATGGATGCATGAAGGAGAGAAGAGAGAAGAGAAGAAAAGAGAAGAAAGGATGAAAAGATGCAGAGATTGGACTGCAGTCCGAAGAAACACCCCGCCCCTGCTTCACTCGGACTTTGCTCCCTCTCTTGCCCAGGCAACCGCCCTGACCGTTTGTTTGTGACGTATCTGTCCAACATATCAGCAGATTTTCCAGGCACAATCGAGCGGCAAGAGCAGCAAACAGGCGAATCAGCTATTGGCGTCGTCAGGAATCTTTTGAGGCCATGCACGGAGGTTATTACGAACGGCAAGTATGCTCGGTCAACTGCCTTGGACTTTGCTTAGATTACCATCTAGCTGACCGCCATCCCCGCAATTTTGGATTCTAGATTCGCCAGTTCTTTTTCGCATGGCAGTCAGATACGAGGTGGTGATACGAATGGGCAGCAGGGTGGGGCCCCAGGCTCAGATTCGTGTCAACGTTGCATCTCTGAATTCGCCAGATGTGGCGATTGCCTTTATACCAGGAACCGTGAGATGCTCCACTGTGAAGATGTAGGACAAAGGAGTGTTTATGATACATTACAACAATATAGCGGAGGAGAAGAATTGATCATGTTGCTATCACATCCATTGGCATTGAATTATACCTGTCTTGACGTGATTGATCCATTGTGCTAGGGTTGCCTATACAGTAGCTACGCAAGCAGCCGAGAGATGGCGTTGTCAATTCAAGCTTTGTGACCTTTCCTGGTCCTGGGGTAGCTAGTACCTACGTTGTGCTAGTAGTCGCTTGTCGGTTGTCGCCAGCCGAGCTCCGATCGTGATAGATTAATCTGGTGGCGCGGAGATATGCACGAGGTAGCTGTAACGAGAAGCTTATATTGTAGCATTGAGCGGGCGATCTGGTTGACACTCCGTTCTAGTGGTACAAATGCTGAAAAGGAATTTCGATGGTGTCAAATATCGGAGATTTTGATGTTTCTACCAGTACCTTGCCGGGTAGCTGTTGATTAAGTTTTCGCTGGCAGAAGTGGTAAATCTCCGTTCGCGAAATGGTTTCACAGGTTTGACAAGGAGTTTTCGCAATTAAAAAGCTTGGGTGTATGGAATATTAAAAAAATGACTCGCTAACAAGTGGTGTTGGTATACACGACAGAGCATCCGTGTAGCGTGATTGAGCTTCATGCACGTTCCTGGCTAAACGGATGTGTATCAAAGACAAGATACAGAAACAGTGATTTTCGCTGAAACTTATTTTCCAGCATGAATCTAAGATACAACTTCACGTGAAATCTTTCGGCGATTGACGTTTCATCACTCACTTGTCCGTGCTCTCGCTCGCAATTATAATCTGGACTGCCCTCTGCTAGCCAAAATCGGAGCAATTTCCTCCGCCACAGCCAAAAGCTTCTCATCCTCAAATCTCTGCCCAATCAGCTGCACTGCCAGCGGCAAACCGTGGAACTTTTCAGCGTCGTAAAGCTTTTGAATCGAGGCATCTAGCTCACTGAGGTAATTTTTAGGTGGTACAACCGCAGTATCAACCTTCTTGTCAACCACTTCATTTAAGGGTATCGAAATGCTTGACCAATCGAGCATGTTGAAAATACTCGTCAGACCAAGCCAGATAAACTTGTCAAAGGGCAGCGCTGTGTGAGGCGCAGTGACAAATAAAATAGCGTCTAGTTGTTTACCGCCATCGACATTCCACATTCTCTTCATTTGCATTGCTAGGCGGGCGACTTGATAGTTCATCTCATGTAGATACTCGATGGAGAACTCCGGCGGTGCCGATTTTGGGGTGATCAACCCCGTTGCTTTAACAATCTCAGTGTGTGGCTCCGATTCCAAAAGTTTGCGCATATAAGATAGATCCAATACTTCGGCTAGCTGTTGTGCTAACCGCGATGCTTTCTGAAATGGCGGCGGAGAGAGCTCGACTATTTCATAACCGGCTCTTTTGAGTCTATCGCAAGCGAGACGTAGGCCCCTTGCAACCGGCGGATGAAAATGCAAATCGTCTGCCTTGAGCCACACGCCGATTCGGGGCTTGCTGGGACACGAAAGTCCCACCCATGGATGTGGATATATAAAGGGGCTGCCATCCCATGGTTTTGCGTCCGACATCACCTTGGCCGCTAATCTTGTGTCTCTCACCGATCTCGCCAGGAAGCCACTCACCATGGGCGAAACAAGAGAAGTTATGCCAAAGATGCCTTTTCCAATGATTCTCTGACCGTCAATCGGTACCCGGTAAGCACTGGGTTTGTATCCAACAACGCCGCACATGGCGGCCGGTATCCGAATGCTTCCGCCTCCATCCGATCCCAGCCCGAGAGCAGAGCCCCCCATAGCGATCAACGCACCTTCGCCACCAGAAGATCCTCCAGCCGTAAGTTCAGCATTGTATGGATTGATGGTGCGTCCAAATACAATCGAGTCCGTGTCTGCAGTAAGCACAGTCTGTGGAACGGTTGTTTTGGCGATGATGACGCAGCCAGCGTCGAGAAGAATCTGTACTGCCTGGCTTGTCGTTCTAGCCGGTCGGAAACACAGGCTTGCCGTACCGATGGAACTGTCGTAGCCCTTGATGTGAAACATATCTTTTACGCTGATTGGCAGGCCATGGAGAGGCCCAACAGGCTGCTTTCCCCGTTTTTCGTACTCGGCATCCAGCCATTTTGCTCGATCGATGGCTTCTGAAAACATGATTTCCGTGAGACAATTCGTCAGTTGCTGGGCGACGGCAGCTCTTTTGCAGAATGCCCGAACGACATCTTCAACAGTAACTTTTCCAGAGTATAGTTGGGAGAGCAAGTCGGTAGCATCATGAGTCGGATCAGTGAGGGCCAGATCACGTTCTGTGAGGATTCCGCATCGAGCAAGATAGTCTATCGGTCTGCCGATCTCAGACGTAAGAGATATTCGCCATTCAGCAGGTATTTTGGAGTCTCGTTCAGCGCGCTTTCGGTGAGCAATATCTTGCCAGGCAGCTTGTGACATGATGAAAGTAGGATATTTCTCCCTTATTCGTTATTTGTGTCTTTGAAAATCGCCGTAATGAAATTAAGGAATCGAAAATCGATGATGGTTTCTAGGGCGGAATCATGCCGAGGGTGAGATTATGGGCGCGCCGTGGATAGTAATCGCTGTAGTGTCTAAAACGCCGTCAGCATCGGCGTTTAGTGATGTTGGAGCATATACCTTTCATCGGCGTTAATATCAAAATATGTAAATGGTTTACCATGAATTGCGGCATACCTTATTTCCTTCATCTTGCTTAGCCAGCTATGGTCTCTTGAAATACTAATAATTAGCAGATTGCGTCGCGCCACGTCGTCAATGTCGACAATTTGTGCCTCTTGTGCTATTCCGACGCGCAAAATGCGACCAAGAGAAGCAACATAATCTCGGAAACGAAGGGGGAAGAAAGAGCTCGCAGGGAGGAATAATGCACAGTTGCCTACTTGGCCACTTGAAAGAGACACATGTTCAGCTCTTGAACATGGTATTTATATGGCGTAGTATTATTCCACTTCCAAAGGAAGAGAAAACACGATTTGAACGGGCGGATGGTTGGCAAAGCCAGACACACATACACTCACCAGGAAAAAAAGAAGGAAAGAAAGAGAATGCATATTCGAATGAGGCTACACGACAACAAGGTTCTGAATAACGCAATGGTTGACCTCTGCTCAAAGTCGGGCAAGCGGGATGAAGCGACCAATATCGTTCGGCTGCTCTATAGTTATCGTTCGGCAATGTGTGAATGGCCAACGAAAACGTCGCATACTTTTCGATCTTCCTCCACAAGAACTCATATATTCACTCTGGCACCCAAATACACATTGCAGTATTAGATACCTCACCCTTCTTCCACCAGCTATCCATTGGTGATAAGTACAGAGTCTAATTACATTCTTGATAAGCCTGCCTATATTTATCTGGATATTTCCTCAGTTATTCGAACAACTTTGACTTCTTGTATTCTCTTGCTTCGTGGCAATCGACTTCTAATTAGCTGCGGTCGGACCAGCATCAGCACCACCAACGGCGAAACAATAATGGCGACGGCGACGACGACGATGATGAAGATGATAATGACGATGACCATGATGGCCTGGATGGCCCCTGAGTCACAGACTAACTGCTCCGTCAACAACAGGCCACAGATTGCCTCCACACCATAATCGACGCACCTGCGGCGGTGTGACTGCTGCTGAAGAAACCGCCCGCCGCCCTCGTCCCGATCTCCGGCCCTGGGAGAAAAGCGAGACTTTGGTGTTGTGTTCTGGCTGCTGTGCCGCCGCCTCTGACATTATTTCTTAGACTAGGCTTTGGGCTATCGCCTGAGTATCCTTAACCGCTTTCGCTCTCAATGGGATGTGATGGATACCTCAATTTCCTAGGCGTAGACCTGTTTCTGTTTGATGGGGATGCGATGGATACCTCAATTTCCTAGGCGTAGACCTGTTTCCGTTTGATGGCCTCTGAAGATGGCCTCTGAAGATGGCCCTTCCACCCCTAGAAAGCTGGGGAAAAAGTAAAACTAAAGAGACTTTTTCGCCGTTTGCAAGGGGATGCCGGAAGGGCACCTTCTGTTTCTATGATTTTATGCCCAAGCCCCTTCAAGAAGTTTCAGTTAATTCTCTGCCTCTTTTCTGCGCTCTTTTGTGACCAAGTGTTTGTTGCGAGAGAGCCCTCTGATCTCAGGCTACTAGTGCATCTCCCGGCTGTTGCATTGTTCTTGGAAAAAGTCGATTCCGGTAGTCGTTCCCATTTCTTTGAGATGTCCATGTCGTAGAGACCGCGTGTGGGGATCTGGTCGTCCTCTTGGTTCCGAGATTGTCCCATGATAATTCTTCTTGTCCTCCATTCTCTAAGCCGCAGCAGCAGCCAGTGCAAAAGCAGAATGACAAGAAAGAAACAATAGAGGCTCTCATGGTAGAGTGTAGAGTCATCTGATACGGCGGCTGTTAATCTTGATTAAAGGTGAATTGCCAATGAAGCATGCGGCGTGTAAATGAAAGCGCAATTGTGCCTTTTGTTTCACTTTTGCCTCACAGACATCTCGGGTTTTCCCCATGCCCTTAACTCTAACTCAACCTGCAGCCTCTGTCGGTAGGAATTGGAACTTGACAATTACTTGATTATTGTAGGGTCCGTTTCGGAAGTTGGTTGGTCGCTGTTTAACTACCCCAATTAGCTTTGCAATGTCAACTCAATTACGAGGTCAATTCACCTGAGTAAAGAATAGTGTGGTAAATAGTATTATTGATATGTTATCCGTGGTTAATTGTAGATCTCACAGCAGGAAATAACTGCCAGGTTCTATTGCTGTTGAGCAATCTGGTTGAATTGGCTGAAGCTGACACTGAATAGGCCAAGTTAACTGAATCTCATCCTCGAAGCTTTGTTTGTTTCGCGAATTTCTGAGCGTTGATCATATTCTGACTATGGTCATTATAGAGAGACGAAAAGAGGAAAAACATGGATGTTGATGCAGGTGATGAGATTGCCCGCCTAATTCTTTCTATTTGGTGGTCTGTGCTGGTGATAATACCCGCTATGGCTCCCTAAGTGGTAGGTGCTAGCAGCCCGCTGTAGCTTCCTGTCAGGCACCTGTAACTGCACTAAATAGAGCCGCAAACCGTACACTTGTTTCAACCGCACCTTCACTTTTTGTCCACATGTACATGCTCTTTACGTTCGAATATATTCTCTTCTGGATCAAGGTTGAGCATATCCTCCAGGCCAGTGCACCGCTTTGGGCCAAGAGAGTAAAATACGTGTAGTTATAAACATCATTCACACAATAGTAGCAATAGGTTCGCTGGATGCTGTTCCTGCCTGCGCTGCTTGGTACTAACCCTTTGTTTGGGAGTATTTCATTCACCGTCTTGATCATAACAACGAACAGCTAAGTTGGCTGGTAGTGCAAGCGGCTAAGTTCTGTGGCGACAAATGTTGTCCTCTATTTGCTCGAAATCCAATAGATAATGTGCCTGCACAATACTCATAGAGCGCGAGCCACTTTTCGTATAAAAAAACAAAATAACAACGTGTATAGTAAGCTCAATCTATTATATAGCAGACAGGTAGTAACAAACTGTCAATTGTCCATTACCATCGATGTCTCGACATCAACAATTTCTTCAAAAAAATCTCCCGAAATCCCCTTGAGCAGTCTATCTACAACCTTGCAACCCGTCCTCCAAGCAGAGATCCATACATTAGAAGCGTCTTGAACTTCAAATTCATTATAGAGTGTGTTCAAGATGAAACATGAATAACACACGGCAACCAAAGCCAGTGCGGTTGAGAGAAAGAGGGCAAAATTGACGACGAGTAGAGCATATGTGTGGAAGCCTTTGGAATGGAGCGATTTGGGGCTTGCCTTTGCTCGTATCCCCGTGTTGCTCTTGCAGTATGGTCTAAATCGTCAGGGGAGCTTGATCTGCTTCTGCGCCTTGGCCTTGGCCTCGTAGCCACCAGCCTCGACAATCTGAGAGTGGTTGACGCAGCCAGCACTGTTCGAGGCAAGCAGGTTGGGGGACCTTGGATAGCAATGGAGATGAGGTCTTTGTTGAGCGTGTTGCGGGTGATGGGGGCAACAGCGAACTCAGATTCATCAGCAGTCTGAGGAGACAGGTCGTAGGCCACGAGGCAAGCAATGTGAGAAGAGGTCATGGAAGTGCCAGAGATGGTGGTGACGGCATATTTGAAGCTGATCCAAGTGGACTGGATGCTCAAGCCGGGGGCGAAGATCTCAGTGCGCTTTCCGTTCTTGACATAAACCGCCTCGGTCTTGGTAGAAATGTTTATTTTACGCCTTCTCTTCCAGATCTTCCTTCAAGCTGTCCATCGGGCCGTTTCAAGTAAACTGACGGCGGAGGTGGGGTTATGCCTCTGAGAGCGCCTTCAAGTGCCATGCAACCCTTCTGTCTGACAGATATAGTAGATATAGTAGATATAGTAGATGTAGTAGATGTAGTGACTGTAATCAAGAATTCGACCATCATGAGGCAAATTTGGGTTATGCTGCAAGATTCCTGGGACGATATACCGATAGGTTGTATCTCGAAGCTTTCCTTGGTCCGCATCATCCCCCATTTCTTGGCAAGACCAAATGCATAGCAAAGGTTGACCAAGTTTAGTTCACTCTTTAGTGCCATGAAAGCCAAACTTTGTATACACACATTCGATGAGAATGGTGAAGATCTCATGGTCAACATCAAGGATCGATCAGCCCTGCGGAGGCGGTTCGAAGACAGTAAGTGCAGACTGGAATTAGCTTTCGGATAGAATATGCATCGGTAGTCTAAATTCTTTGCCTCCAACACGAAGCCGAAGATGTTCGCTGTATGGGGCACGATGTCTTGCTTCAAACGACAAGACGTGCTGTTGGAGTAGATCTTGGAGTATATCGTGGAGGCAACACGCTTGTGCTGGCTGCGATTTTGGTGGCCTTGTAACCATGCAGGCTGATAAGAACGGCCGACTTTTCCATAATTGTAAGTTTTGGCGGCAATTGTTGCAAATTGGTCTCTTCAGCATGGTTTAAATAAGCCACTGCTAAGGCATAAACGTAAGGCGTGTGAGGGATAATGGCCGCTGGTACTGTCACAGTACGACATCGGAAGTAGTTGAAGGCCAGAATGTCTGGTTCTCTCGAGATATATTTGGTGCTGACAAACGGAGAGCTCCTTTGCAGATTCTTGTAGGGCGGTTGACCAGCTGAGGCCTCTAGTAGACCCCCCACCGGCCAGCCAACCTCCATTATACTCCGTATCGATGTCTTTGTGATGCTGACAAACAGAGCGCTCGAGTACTTTGCAGGCTGTTGTAAGGCCTCAGCTCGGCTATATGCCGTCTTTCAACTTCGCACTAGGTTCTTGGAGGGCGCTCTGCAGCCAGCTTGGTTGGCCAGCGAAGCAATTGCCAGTCCCTGAAGCATGGGTATTGGAAGGGGTCTGCCAGTTGTATCCTGTTGTCCTCCAAGCACCTGAGACTCGGGCATGTCTTGAATATATTGTTGTAACTCATAGAAACTTCCTGGGACCGGAAAGTATCGTTGAATGAGGGCAGATGTACGCCTACCGCAGGATCGTTCGGTGCCGCGGCTGACCAGCTGGGGCCTCAAGAAGACCCTCCGCCAGCCAGCCAACCCCGAATGGAGCAGGCTTCGAGATACGCACAAGCGGCGGCCGGGTTCTGGGCACCAGGCTTGCCCAGTGCGATGTTGCTGCTGCCCGTCTTTTGCGACCCCCCGTTATGCTGAATGTTGGCCGGCCAGCTGGGCCTCAAGTAGACCCCGGCCAGCCGGCCAACCCCCGGTGTACTGCGTATCGATGACTGACACCAGCTTTTTGGAGGGAGTAGACCAAGTCCAAGCGACAAAAGATGATAAGTCATTGACAAAGGTGGCTGACCAACTGGGGCCTCAAGCAGACCCCCTGCCAGCCAGCCACCCCCCAATATACTGCGTATCGATTGCCCAGGTCATTATATCTCCTGCATCTCCTATCTCCCCGCTATCATCCTCATGTGCTTTATCATGTACCGTTCGCCGCCACTTCCTCTGGGTGCTCGAAAGTTCTGGGGGTTGGTCATTGCAATGTCCCCACTATTTCGCATCATATGCAATGCACTTGGAGATACAATCGTCCCCGTCGATTCCTTGTAACAGGATGCCTTGTTTGAGCCTCAGGGTCTTGCGGTGTGAAAGGTCGGTTGTGCTAACAAGCAGCCGTGAACCAATGGTGGCTTCAGCTGTCTTTAACGTCGGCTACTTGGAGGCAATATCGGCCCAAGGGTGGCCGACCAGCTGGAGCCTCAATTAGACCCCCCGCCAGCCAGCCAACCCCCATAACGAGTGCTAAACGCGGAGAAGGTGAGAGTCTTTGCATTGCTCCCGGCGAGACTGGACGTCTAGTAGAGGGGTAAGGGCTTGTAGCAGCCGCGAATAGACTTTGAAAGTCGGGTGAGAATTCGGGGTGCAATATCGGAAGATTCACAGTAAATGACGATGGCTGAGTGACGGTGAACTGTAAGAATAAGATATTGGTTCCTGGGGCAACGGTTGCTGCGAACAGAGTTTGCGGTAGCTGGTTGTTCTCTACTTGACATGGTTAATACGATCTCTCTCTGATTGAAAGGGAATTGAAGAGGGAGAAGCCACTCGAGTTACATGGAATCCAATCACAGTCCAGACTAAAGGAAGTACTCGTGACTCACGTGGGCAGCATAGGTCAATGTAAAGAAACTTACCATGAAACTTGCATCTTTAACGGCTCGCATTGAACCAGCAGTTAGTGCAACTTCCACACGTCTGAATGACCGGCTCGGTATTGACCCGGCCGTTGAAGTCTTAGCCATAAACTATGCAAATTATGCCGACTGAGGATTGGGTGTTGTTGCATTTTTGACCGTAGCCAGTAATGATCCAGCCTTCTCTGTGATACCAGGTGTGGCAAGAATACCGGTTGAAATGTTTCTTGTGACTCTGGCGCTGGCATCGTGGCGTAGATTGCTACTGCGGCTCCCTCACGATTGCGGAGATTACAGCACGGGCAGAATCGTCTTGTCTTTTGGTCTTGTTGTTTTGAATTTGAACCTCCCCGCAACTCTTCGCCTACTTGATGGGCGGGAGTTTCAAAGGAGGTATTGGGTTTGTGTATCTCTGCTCTCAGTTAGTAGACTCTTCTGTCTCTGTCTCCAATGGATGGTTGGCACTTGTCTTACCATATCGGTAATTTCTCTGGGCTTCCATCCGTGATATCTGGCGTAGCATTCTCCAATGGACTATGTCTTGTGACTGTCGCTGGCATCGTGGCATGGATTGCTACTGCCGCTGCTGCCACCACCTGTTCCGTGGTAGGTCCCCCTGACCTTCCTGTGTAAAATTGCGGTTCGAGTTGACAGCCGCTGCATGTGACAGTTAGTCAGTGCCATTAGCCGTAGTGTCGCTCACAAATGAAGCTTACCCAGCTTACCATTCACGAAGGCGCATGACATAAAGGCGCATGACACAAAGGCGCATGAAGAAGCCGTTGACACCCCTTGTCCTGGGAGTCGACGGCGGCAATAGCCTGGATGATGTGGTTGTCGTTGCGGGTGACGTTGAACTTGACCTGAATTCTGAGCAAGCTGGCCGGCTCGGGCCTCTCGTAGACCCCTCACCGACCAGCCACAGTTTCCGTCCGTCTTCGTTCGCTGATACGTTTCAGCTTGAGAAATAGAGAATTTGGAATTTCTTGGGTCATTACTTACAGCACAGGGTGTCAGCTCGTTGTTGCTGGTCGTGACCGGCGCCGCTGATGAGGCCTAGGGTGCCCGCGGCTGGAATCTGCCATTTAGAAGCAGTATGGTCGCAAGGTTGAAACTTGAAGAAATTGACGCAAGGGCGCCACCGAACAAAAGAGAAAACGACTGGTTTGAGCGATCTCTTTCAGGTTTGGGCTGAAAAGATCCAAATAGCCAAGTCCGTAACGGTGTGTAGGGGGAAACAGGAGAAGGCAGAAGAAAGCAGAAGAAGAAAGCAACACAAAAAGAGCAGTCGCAGTGCATTCACGCGGCAGTGAATGCAAGAGCTCCATAGGTACCCACAAAAGGCACGTTTTCTCCGGAAAGTGAAGCCATAATGCACGTATGGCTGATGAATGTGTCTATTCAAATGATATCAATGGACATCTTCCAGCAGTATGGGCTCGCTCTTCAGCTGGGAAAGCAGTATCGTCTGCTGCGTTTTCTTCATCTAGAGCAGCTAGTTTGCGATTCTGGTTCATGTTGATCTGCCAATCGTAGCTACAAGATCCATGACCTTCACCTCAATATGGCCTCCATCTACGAGACGCGTCATATCGCCATAAGATATCCTTTTATACCTTTTTTTTTGTAGACTAGCATTCAAAAGTACAAGTGTTTCTGAAGCATACTTTATCCTCTACGAGATTGTGGTTTTATTGACGCTATCGAACAGTTATCTCTCCAGTTCTCCTCGCCCTGCACTCTTCCTAATATGTACAAGGGTAGACACTGTGCAATCAACGCTGGGTCCGTGCTCTAGATTACAAAGGATTCAATGTTTTTTTTTTCTTTGTTTTCTTCAGAAGCAGGGCCAGACAATTTCGTGGACCGAGGACTACACTGTCAGGAGCATAATCGGTACGGTCAAATCGCCTCAAACATATACCTTGGCCACACTGTCTAGAAGGGAATTAAATCAGGCCTTGTACTTGAATTTAACGGCCAATTTTGTTCATTTGATCTATTCTAGAGTTTCGCTCAGTAAAGAGTGGCTCGTGCTCATTCTGGCCCTGTTGGTGGCCGTGATTGGCCTGCTTCGATGCTACAGCGAACGGGGCTTCCGCCTGTAAATTAACAGACCTGTATTATTTCGGCAGCAATATGACAGCTGGGAGAGTCCCTCAGTTCAAGTTGACTAGAATTCGAACCAGTAATAGGATACTCATTCAGAAGTGCATTTCGTGACTCATTTTCATCAGTATGCTCTTTCTCAGCCGCACTTCCAGCTTACTGCCCACGCCCTCGGATACCAGGCTACAGCGGCTTCTTTTTCGCATTCTCATGGCTTCCAGTAGCGTAGATATCTATCCTAATATAAGATTCGGGTGCCATAAGTGATAGATTTGCAATACAGAAAAAATTAAATAGCTCTGTGAAATTACACCATCGCCTTTAGGCTCACGTAGTGACCCCCTGGACGGGTTTTGTTCCAGCTGAGATGTCAAAGCTGGACTTTGAGCACTGAGATACTAGATAGTGTTTCTTGATTGCAAATTGAGACTGTGAGATATGAATGTAAAAGACTTAAAATGACATGTACACCGCAAACATTAATGCATACAAAAATACCAATGGCATTTGCGCCAACCTGTATCCTGCATTTTCCGTTTCCGTTGCCTTTATCGATACATTGGTATACGCATTGGTTGCTGCAAAAGTAGCCAAAATGCTACTCAAATTCGACTGAGCATTCAAGTCTGTATAGTTCTTTGCGCGCCACGTGGCGGTCAGAGGATCTGCAAACATGAGATCCGATACATTGTAGCCCAGTCCCTGAATGGCCGTGATATTGAACGCATCCATCATGGCATGGTCCTCATGGATGGCGTTGTGGCAGTGGAACATGTACACGCCAACAAATGGAGCAAATGTGACAGCTATTGTAACTGTTTCTCTCGGGCCGAGGACAGCGACGTCTTTAAGAGCAACCTTTTCGTACGGCTCAACGGTGTCTCGTCCGCCTGAGCGAGATAGAATCTGGAAATCAACCAGGTGGATGTGAATCTATGAAGAAATATTAGCGAAGCGAAACTCTCGATGTTACAGTTTGGTATCATACTGGATGACTCCACCGAGGATTGTGATTCTCGAGCACCCATATCTCTGTGGCTCCGCTTTGAGGCGCCGCAAGCACTCTGTTATTGACGTCGGAGAAGGGCACGCCGTTAATCACCCACTCGTCATTTCTGCTCGACATTAGCTAAGACCAGATATGAAGTAGAGTCGAAGATTTACTGTTTATCAAACTTGAACTTTCGGTTGACAAGACTAGTTGGTGGAGCACCTATTGACACCAGAGATGAAAGGGGCGAGCTGTTGTTGACGTCGGAAGAAACAGTCGACCCCACATTGAACTGCATCACTTGATCGGTATTCGGAAAGTCAATAGAGTCAAAGATGTTTTTGCCATTCACGATAGTCACGTTGCGGTTCTCGTAGCTTGAAAAGTCAATAATAGCTTCCCATCTCTCCGCCATGGCTATCAGTAGGTTAGTAGTTGTTACAGGCGAACTCAAGAATCCAGAGTCTGATGCGACAACCTCAAGGGGCAAATGGTCCCCGCTGCCATTGTCCACAACAGTAATATTGAAGGTTCGGCTTAGAGATGAATTCAATATGCGAAACCGGTATTTTCGAGGTTCCACCGACAGGAACGGCCAAGGTTGGCCATTTACTTGGATGACATCGCCATAGGTACTTTCGGTTTCGTTAATCACTGAAATGAGGCTTCCAGTGGCGGTGTACTGCTTCGAATTGAGAGCAAGAGGGATGTCGTATTTATCTTGAGGAAGGCCAAGTTGCACCTCCACCTCAGGATCTTCGATGATGTAGAAGCCCGCCAAGCCACTGAACAAATTGACCGAGGTGATCATATTCGCGTGATCTCTTTCGTCTTAGAATCGCATCCCCGGGATGGGTGAAGAGGGCACGCACCGTGATACCAGAGAGTTCTAGCCGTGTTGGAGTTTGGATAGTAGTAATCTTTGTATTGGCCTGGTTGGATCAAGTCTTCCGCCCAGCCATCCCAGACTGCGCGGGAGTATGATCCATGAAGATGCAGTACGGCCGGTCGATCTATAGCGATGAATAACGTTAGACTGGACGTAACATGGCTCGAGGCGCGCAATTACCATTCTGATTCACAACGCGTATCACACTTTGCGTCCCGCGTCGTACCTTAAAGGTTGGCCCTGGAGATATCCCATTGTATCCAACGAGGCTCGTCTTGGCAAGATTCGGATATATCTGGGCCTGGAATGATGTGATGTTGAGTTGGAAGAAATCAATGGTAACGTTGCTTTCGGCATCTGTATATGAGCTAATTGAAACAAAAGAATGCAGTTAGATACGAGCGATGGCAGAACTAAATCTTGGCCTTCTCACACAGAGGACAGAGAAACTTACAGAGACGGAGTTATGACTGGCGGTATGGGAAGAGGAAATTGAAACATGTAATTGTAGGGTGGGGACAGTTTGCCCGACGAGCTCGACGGGTGACTTGATAGCACCCGTGTCAAGTCCGATGTCGCATGAGCGGTGCCAAGAAAGTCAAAGAAAAGCAAGAAAATGGACATAATTTTTGTCATTTTGAATTGGTTTAGAGTGGGTACCGGGTAGCACGCATTCAGAAGCAACGCTAGAAATGCACAGAAAATGAACGTTCAGAACAATGGTATTATTGACTTAATTACAGATCAAAACGCGAAAGTAGTTGACCTTTATTAATGACGCCACGAAATCGAGAAAAAATCACTTTTGTGCAGTCAAAAGTTGCATGGCGCGTCAACAGCGTAAGCTACCGGCCCTAGACGGCAGTCGAACTCGGCCGAGAGACTGGCTGTGCAACGCCCTGAAGGATATAACCTTACCAGGAAGCATATCAAATGCACATTAGTGGAAACCTGTACATAGCCTCGATTAGAGATATAAGGTCACTTGCCCTTACGCAATGTAGTAAAGTTGGTCTAGGCTCCCCTGACTGTTATCAAGGGTGGGTAGATTTACGCGTTCTCGGTACAATTTTATTTCACAAGGCACAGTTCCACTCAATTTGAAGATTACGAGAGAGAAGATAATTAATTTTTGGTCTATCGTATATGCCCATCCAATCTTTACTCTATTACGGCATGCAGGCAGCCGCTACGCAGCCACTCAGATGCTGCAAGAGAGATCTATGCATCTTCAAGTATCCAGACGTCGTCCATCGTCCAAAATCACGACTCCAGCACATTGATTGGAGTCACTCAATATACCTAAAGACTTAATTCAGCAATTAAACAACGATATATGTCACCAGTCCATACTTACACCACCAATCCAATCCCCCGTCTCAGTATTTATCCAGGTCGCAGTCAAGGCAGCCGTAAAAAACATGCAGTGTAGAGGGAACAACGTATCCGCCCCAAGTATGCCACCGACTAGTGGCAGTGGAATATCTTCGTTCTTATAGTGCCGGGTGATGAACCCACAGATTGTGAGAAAGAGTGATAATAGATAGATTTTGATGGACATTATAAATAAATGTGGTATGGCTTGTCTTCTCCAGAAATGGTATAAGGGCAATTCTGTAGCTAGTAGGCAACTGACTTTACTGACAGACGACGTCGAGCTGTGGGAGGAATAAATAATTATAGTAGAATTGTGGTAAAATTAAAGCATTGTGTAAGTTGTTTTATTCGTCATCGACGCGTAGCTGATACTAGGAATAAACTGTAACCGATCGGCCATTGACAGGCCATACTCGGCCGATAGAATGATGAAATACAACCCTACTCAAATGTGTTACGCGGCCTTTGCGGCATTGCCCTTTCCAAAAAAGATGCTATATATACGAGCCCCAAACCATATTTTATGGCTAAATGTTTATAGATCCGGCAAAAACTTCAGAACCAAGTTCAACAGCATGAGACCTATCTTGAAACAGGTTGAGTGATGTACTTCTCGCTCCCAAATTGCTATACATGCCCGCAACGTGTTCAGGATGATTCGACGCGGTGGAATCGCGGATCCTGCAGAGAGAGGCGCCTCTTGATGAGAAAGATGCGAACACACTGTCAGCATGGCTGCGAAAATGTCGCTTTTGAAGAGGCGGCTAATCAGGTCCGTGTTGTCTGGACCTCTTTGGTCTTCAAGATCTCGATAATGCACGAGGATCGCCAAACTACATTCCAGAGACGCCCAATACGAAACTGGGTACATTGAAGAAGCCGCAGGTTGTAGAGCGTAGGAACGGTGAAGAACAAGAAGAATGCGACGGAAAAATATGTCCAGCGCGATATAAAGCCTCGGTTTACCGTGTATCTTACTGAGCAAGGCATCCATGAGCTGCCGAACATAGTCGTTATGCTTCACAACTTCGTCGTACAACGGCTTGTCGGTGCTGCTGGAGATTCTCGAGATAATCTGACATATTGTCGGGTATACATCGATCAGCATTACCCACGGGTCATTTGTCTGGAAGATGGACAGTGGTATGCGTTCGGCGAACATATCCGCTGATACCAGCAATGGCTTTCCTGTAACCATGGCGACTTGTATGCAAAAATAGACGACCGTGGACCACAAAGCTTGTTCAGACTGCCAAACACTAGCATTTTCGTGATATGGCATGCGCTGTTTGTGCAAATCTATTGCAGTAGCAGCACGGGTGACCATACCGAGCAACGTCCAGCACGAATCAAAAGTGCGGCACGTCGCATTAAGGCTTTGCTTAGCAAGCACCATAAGGCATAGAGTCCTTACAGCTAATATATCCGGTTGAACCATAAAAGACGTCTTGCTAAGACAAGCTTCAGCGGCCATACAGAGCTCCATGGCTGATCGTTGATCTCTCGTTGCTGCAAAACACCCTAGTGCTAAAACCATTAGAAAGCTGGCTAGCCAGGCCACATCTGTCGGCCTTGGATCATTCCAGTAATCCTCGGCCATTGATGAGAATATAGCAGTATCGATAATAGGGAAACTTGACTGGTAGAGGGCGAGGTAGCCATCTATATAAGATTGGTATCTTTCCCGATGATGTTGAAGAAGATCATGGATAGTGTCCATGGATACATAGTTCGCGGCTGCTGGGCTGTTGAACGGAAAGTTTTCAGGTAGTACAAAATCGTCAGAAGTCTCAGAACTCTGCTGGTGTATCAAGTCTGTGACCATATGGCGGATTGCAAGATCATCAAGCCCAGCTTGCAACTTGAGCTGCAATTGCAGTTAGTTCTATCCAGCCATACGGCTTGATGTACTGAATGCTTACCGCAGATATAAGATCGTCCCAATGAGTGGCACCACGACGCCGTGCGAGCCACGCCTTGACACGGCCATCAGGGTCTTGTCCCGTCTTCTTTGGAGTGCCTGTATCCGAGGGTGGATTGGCTTTCTCTGTTCTAAAGCGGTACTCGCAAAATTTACCCCAGCCGGATACTCGACATCGCGAACAGGGCAAGTCTCTATCACACCTGACCTTGAGTCTATGGCATCGTGTGCAGGACAGTTGCGCTCGCTGCCTCTGTTTGACAACACTAGCATCTTGGGACGTAGTCTCATCCTCATTGTTTTCCAAGCGCAATTGAGGATCGAGCTCGGTACTAGACGGGGGTGAGGGCTCTGTCCCTGACTGAGGCGGCGTCTCGATTGCCGAATTTGAGAAACTAGCGGCGGAATCATCTGTGGCTACACAGGCCTCAAGTGAACATGTGACATTGGCCCTGGCACATCGCTGACAAGACGGCTTGGTTTGGTCGCATCGAAGTTTGAGTGACCGACACCGGCTGCAAGTCCGAATCTCCCTAACTCTCCTAACAGGCATGCTGCTGCGCCGATGGGGTTGGATCTGTAAGGGAAATCTGTTGACGAATACACTGGACTTGAGCAGAAAGATTAGCAGCCAAGATGTTACGCCGAATCGGCCATAAGCGGGCGATAAGGTAAGTTAATATAGGCCACCAGAAACGTCTCTATGATGAGGCTGTCTAGCGCTGAGAGTTGGATTCGGCCGAGAGACTGTGCCGCTTACTGCCGATAGCTGACGACAGCCGGAGAAATATCTCAACAGTAACGTCTCAAAGGCAGGGATATAAGCCAACTAGACCTAAACTATCCGCACTAATGCCAGGGCCAGCATGAATTCGACAAGCTAGCCCCAATCTGCAAAGCTGAAGACGCAGATGATGGCGATGTTTGGAAACATTTGGGAGTATAGCTGCGACGTCAATCATGCTGTCACCCATAACCTGGGATAGACTAACAATAGACTATGCATTTAGAATTAAAAACGATGACTTCTATTCATCGCAGAGGCCGGAAAATGCTGTGAAAAGGTCAACAGTGCCCAATCAAATCTACGCATACGAGAAGGCTGGTCCCTATTAAGATATGGATAGATTCAATTAGCCTTTCCAAGAGAATACAGGAGAGAGACAAGGGACTGTAGAAGATTACAGCTAATCGTGTAATCGTAAGTCAAGCGTGTGACGGTTAACGGGCGCTGGAACGATTCTTTTGACTTCAATGAAATCAGGACTTCGATCATAATGGTTGCTTCAAACGTTCCTATTGATCAGCTTTGCTTGTCTGTGTCTGTGAGGACTTTTCTGCATATGGTTGAGCCGGATTATATACAGCGTCTGAAACGCTATCGTCCCCATTATCGCAGTTGTCTCCTGAGACTTGACGCATTTGGCAATGCGTTTCACAGGCGCGTTGCATGCGCGTTGTCGTTTTCGCCGCTCTGTGTTCGAGGTTGAGAGCCTCATTCTAGCGCGTCTACCCATCCGTTTCCTCTGTACGGAAGATTGACGGTGTGTGCTGCCGGTATTTCATGCAAGGTGCCGTCGTCTTTGGACTCCCTGCTCAAGAAGTGCGCAGTTCGAATTGCTTGGCTAGAGGGCAAGGCCGTAGGGTCCATGGCGTCGGATCGCACTTTCGTGGTGTGGCTTAGATGTAAGCATTTCGATTCGGAAGTAGAAGACAGATAGCGGAAGCAGAATGCTAATGCTAAAGCACACTCGCCATCCTGTCAACAGACTTTTTTATTCTGCGAGTGAATCCGTGTTTATAATGGTGCTCGATCTCTTTCGAGCAGCTTTGTTTGATCCTATTCACGCTTCTAGCCGGCACTAAGCTTGTATATACTGATTGGAGATCTTTAATCATAGAGGGCAGTTCTGAAATTCCGAACGGGATGCGAAAGGCTGGTAGATTGTGGCAAAGAAGGTTCTGCTGGCGGAGAGTTGGAGCGCAACTTCGCTGAGCGAGACGGATGATGTAGAGAGGAGTTCTTGAGCGTACTGGTTCTTTCATGTTAGAATTAGAATTGCAATAGGTCTAGTCAGAAGGATGATGTATTTGCCTTGAGTTGTGATTTCTCAGGCAGACAAGTCAATGTTTTTGTCTATGTGCTAAAACTACGAGCAGAGAGAGATGATTGTGGGATAGGGGATAGATGTCGTAGAGAGATAAGAAGCAAGAAATAAAAAAAGACTTACATACATGTATACAGCTCGCAACTTCCATTACCACGGAGTGCAAGACTGAATAGTTATGCGTGGTAAAGATGCTAGGACGGCGCCCACTCAACCGCCTCTACCTTTCTAGCAAGTCGGCGGGACGGTCTATTGTGCGGCGGTAAATGATGATGTTGGCAGCCGATATTTATGCTGTTTTAGTTGACCGTTTTGTCGCGGGGTCATAGAATCGCCTACTTCAGCGATGATGGCGAGGCGGCTACCGATGAAGACGCAGATGAGGAGCTTGGGTTTAGAACTAAGTTGGCAGAATGGTTAGTAATACTGAATGCCGATAGTTGCACACTGACAAAGGAAGGGGGCTTCTCTTACATGGATAGCGTTGTAGAAAAGACAAAAGCAAGAGGCGATATGCTCGGAATAGTAACAAGGAAGCTTAGTATGCTTAAGCTAAAGGGCTTAGGACAGAACTTAACGCCCGTTAAGTAGAGAATTCCATCTCCGTACAGGACTTGGCGCAGCGCAAAGAAGCAGTAGTCGGTGCCAATCAACCTGTTTGACCTAGCTGCTCAGCATCGTCCAGCAGGCCATAAAAGAGGCAGCCAAGCTACCAACAAAAGATCGGGGGTCATCATTTGGGGCAACCCTTGGGCCGGCGATTCTTAGGAGATGGTCTTTGAAACCATGCAGAGTCTTCCCTTCCAATCCAAGCTTCTTATGCATAGGCTGCAATATCGCCTCATCCTTCACAAAGCAATAACCGTCAATAAAGCAAGCTGAGTTCTTCCTCACTCTTCGGCGTGCAGGCCCATCCAACCACCTTATGAAACTCTTCATTGGGGCGGAGTCTGCTGCAAAACAAGCCGAGAGTCATCATTGTTGAATCCATCTTTTTTGTCTTTTCTTTTCTGATTCATCCGCACTCTTGTCGGTGGTTTTTTTATCCTGTGAGTTGCAGCCGTGCCGTTGGTTTCGCATAGTCGTTGGCTTTGATTTGGCGACTTTATGATCATTGCCTTTTAAGATGGCAAACTGCGCGTTCGTAGCAAAAATTTGGGAAAGTCTTATTTTAGTTGTAATTGAAATCTGTCATCAATTGTGTCTGTAGCTGATAAAGAGCTTTTTAAAGAAGCAAGACTCTATTTGCCGCTTGAAGGGCCAAACTAGTGGACTGGTGATGTACCGTAGTTTGTAACAAAGTTTTTTGAAAGCTGTGAATGATTTGGATTGATATCGAGTTGAGTTCAGATATAGTAAGCCCATCTATACCAATTTTATAGCCCCAGGGCCGTAACCAAGGCGTTGATACGGCGGGTCCATCACGAATCCTGTTCCCATTTCACTTCCGGTTCTTGATCGTCCCAAATATTTTCACCCAATGGTTCTCTCTTCATCACTGCCGTCCTCCGACTTGAGCACCAGCACCATCTTGACGTGGCCCTTTTGAGACAAGCATATGACTACTGGCAGAATCAACCAGGTAACTATCGTCAAGGCCCCCATGTCTGTTTGGGTACTTCGAGGTGAGGGATGTGTTGTAGGGCAAAAAGAAAAAAACGGAAGCTTGAACCGTTGCCCAGGCGCCTTATCTACGCCTCAAGCTCTCTGCTTGGATCTCTTCCTTGTATGTCTGCAGTTTGGGTCAGCAACAAGCACTCAATAAGTCTCACGGTTTAGGCCTACTCACGTCTTCTATTTCGTCAAGGCCTCGAGTGTTATCCAACACAAGCTGCTCCACTTGTTCCTTGAAGCTGATCAGTCTTGGTTCCGTATCACTCTGCCCAGGCGCCTTGTCTACGCCTCGAGCTCTCTGCTTGGACCTCTTCTTTGTATGTCTGCAGTTTGGGTCAGCGACAAGCATGCTCAACGAGTCTCGCGGCTCAAGCTTACTCACGTCTTCTATTTCGTCAAGAGCTTGAGTGTTATCCAACACAAGCTGCTCCACTTGTTCCTTGAAGCTGACCAGTCCGCATCACTCTGCCCAGGCGCCTTTCTACGCCTCAAGCTCTTTACGGAGGTCTCCTTCTAAGCGAGCATTGTCCCCCCACTCATCTTGTAGGTCGTGAAGCTGCTTTGTCGCCTCTTCTAATTGAGCTTTGGCGCTTGCAAGATGAGTTGCGACGGTGGCCGAGGGCCTCAATGGTCGGCTGAGGCCTCTAGCAGACCCCCCGCCGAGCCATTAGACTTTGAAGAATCTCGGCACCGGGCTGACATGGCTGCTGAGGGGAGTTGTCAAAAACGGCGGCTGACCAGCTGGGGCCTCTGGTAGACCCCCCGCTGCGCCCCGTGGAAGAGCCCGCCCGTCCATCATTGCCAATAGGCGCTGGAACAACTGGAATACAGCTCTGGCCTTGGCGGTAGGTCGTACTCTCTGCTGGTCTGTGGCTCATGGCTGGCTGGCTGGGCCTCTAGTAGACCTCCCGCCGAGCCTCACGCATGGCCTGCTCATTTGCTTCTTTGTGTCGTTCCTCAGGTTCGGCTCAGGAAAAGGCCAACCCATCTTTTGGGGTATCATCTGCCACGTCGAAGATGCCCTCTGTAGAGCACTCTTCTCCGTCTTGATTGTTCCTTCAATCGTGTTAGCAAAGGGGTACATGCATGCAGAATTGAGAAGTTCATCTCGACGTACAATCTTGTCTTGTATAAAGCCGTCGACGACACTGCTACTTGTAGCGATGCCGTTCTCGAGTCCGTCCAGCGGCCACCCATCAAAGATAGTGAAGAGATCCGTATCATAGTTGATAAAGGGAGTACCAAACTGGATATTGAGTTCTGAGATTTGATCACAACGAGGTGGCTGAAAAATCGCGGTAGCCAAACCGCCCGAACCTCTCGATTCACGTGAAGAGGTGAGAATATGGCATGCCTTTGGGGCTGGCCAGCTGGGGCCTCTAGTAGACCCCCCGCTGCGCCCCGCGTATCTCTAGAGGCAAATCCACGTCACCCTGAAATCGGGTTGCTCGGAGATGGGCAGCGGAACAAACCAACAACGAGTTGGCTGAGCCTCTAGTAGACTCCTGCCAAACAAGCTGTGGTATTCTTTTTTCCTGAGTTTACCATTCAATGTCAGCCTGGGATGTTGAATCAGAATAGATCATCATTCCGATGATATGTACGCAGACTCACTCTTGTGCATATGGTTTTCCGTTCCCAGTGTCCTTCTGAGGGAACACTCAAAAGCGGATGCATAAACAATCGACAAAACAGTCAGACCCTAGGACACATGTCAGAAAAAGAAGCCAACCAGGAACTTTTGACTGGACCTACTCGATCAAAAGAGTCCGTTGAAGCCTCTAGCAGACTTCCAAGCAAACGCATTGACGGATGATCTGTAGTGATGATGAATGTAAAAGAAGGAATTTGCGAGCAGCCGTTTCAAAACGTATAGCTCTGAACAGCGGATAGAAGGCTTGAGTGGGAATGCGAGAATCTGGTCGGAAATATGGCTTCAAGATGAAGAACGCGGGAAAGCTGAGTAAAAGTTAGCAGCTGGCATACTATAAGGCGAGCCAAGATATATTACATACTGGGAACGCATAATGCTCTCAAGTTCTGATAGCTTTCCAAGAACTGGGGTGCATGGTGGCATTTTCAGGGCAGAAGAAACCATCCAACAGAAAGATAGAGAGCCCAGAAGGCAAAAAAGAAATGTGAAAGATATCGATATCAAGTCAAAGAGTGCCGGTCCGCCAAAAAAGACTAGAATGAAGATTCAAGGGAACGAGCGCATGGCTTGCTGACTTGGAGGAGATGCCAAAAGGCCAGATCAGAGAAGAATAATATGAGGAGGGAGAACAGAAGAACAGAAGAGCGGGGGGCGTAGGAGGAAGAAAGGGCAGCGAAAACAGCCGGAGCCGTTGACAGCAGCGATAGCGGCACCGGTCCACTGCCAGGCACTTGCTGCAAGGCTACGTGCACCTGCAGCCTCTCCAAGGGCTCGGCTATTGCCTCTAAATGTCAGTCAAACAGTTGAGCTCGTAGGTAATTGCTGCCTAGAGACAGTGCTTCTTCTCCGATACAGGGCGTTCTACGTGCTGAGGTTACCTCTAGGAAGGTGGATAGCTTCAAATCTGACCAAGAACTGACGGCTGTTTCTCTGTCTTCGTCGGAATTTCGCCAATGTGATGACTTAGAGTTTCCTTCTGGCCTCTCTATAATGGCGCATATATGCTCAGTAGGTCTATAGTTGCCATGGTAGAGAGGCACAAGGTTCAGATTGTATTCCAGTGCAGCCGACACTTATCAGTACAGAAGCTGGATGCAAAGGTGGACCGAGCAATTCTACTCCCAAGCACGCAAGCACGTTTATTGCAATTGCCAAATCTAGTATTATTTTCACCCATAAAATCATTTTGGTTGTAAAAGAGTGGTTGATAGAAAGTCGTGTCTTGTAGATGGTGATGGCCAGTTTGAGAAAGAATCGCACCCGCTGCTCAAGTAGTGCTCGCTCCTATCAGTAAACGTCAATTGTCTGACCGAGACGCGCCAGGGCAAGTTTCACGTTGCATCGGCGTTCAAGTACAGAATTGCACTACCATTGATCAAATACTGCATTCAGCCATACAGTGACAGTAAAGCTCGGAGAGTCCCAAAAAGAAAAAGCACAGGAGAAATACAAGATCCAACGAGAAGAATCAATAACAACGCCAAGGGCCACCAATGCAGAGTAAATCGTTATATTTTCGCATCTCTTGCCATCGCACACTGAATGTAAGTTCCCTCCAAAAACGTATCCGTCTGTACGACTCTAAACCCATATCGCTCATAGATCGGCTGACCCGCGGGAGAGGCATCCAAAAAGCACTCCACCTTGTCCTCGTCGGCCTTTTCAACGCCGTATTTCAGCATCAGGCTGGCGGCTCCCTTGCCCTGAAACTGAGGCTTGACCGCCAACAGCTCGAGATACCAGTGCGGCCGTTGCCCCATGGCCTCATCATGCATGTCGCTCAGCCTGCCGAAGAACATTGACGAAAACTCTTGGTCGCCCTCGCTGGGCCAGGCATCCACCGGCGGAAGAGGCTCTGGATGAGCTCCTGGAACAATCCATTTGGCAAAGCCCACAAACGTCTCGGGCGTTGAGGAGTCGTCCCAGACGGAGAGGAAGTGGTTATTTTCGTCGCGCATTTCGGCGTCCAACGAGGAGTGCCAGAACTCGTAAGCCGACTTGGTTCCTCTTGGGGCAAAGCGCTGGTGGATTGGGTCTTGGGCGAAAGCCTCAAAGTATGTTTCCACGATCAGGGACAGATCTTTGAGATCGCTGCGGCGAAGTTGAAGCGGCATGTTTACTTTGGGCTTTCTTTCGTTTTTCCTTGGTCTGCCCTTCTTTGTTCGCCGTCAGTATTTTGTTCTTGACAAAGAGGCGACTGTCCTCGTTGGGCTGTTCAAAAAGATGATGAGCGGTTGGCGGAGTACGAAATTAGATAGTTCTGATTCAATAGTGTGGTCTTTTTCCCCAGACTGGCTTGTGTTACCTTTGTGAGCGGACCACGTTTCGCCTTTGGTCAGCGTCTACGAAATCCCGAACTGGTAGAAAAAAACAACAGCGAAATGGGAAAAATGCATTTGAATGGCATAAATTGCTCACAATATATCTTTGTCGCTGTTCTCTACTCACCAAAGTCATGTATTTGACGATAATGACAAAGAAGCACCTATTTTCGTAGCCTTGCTTATTCATTGGCAGTGAGTCACTCGGTGAAGTGGGCAAGAAAATGCGACACTAATCACAGCTATTGTTTAACCCCAGATTGGTGGATTTGTTGCCGAACTTGCCTTGTGGGACGGATGAATTACCAAATGAATGCGGAAAGTAGTTTTCAATCCACCGTGGATATACGTAGCGCATGATCCTGTCTTGTATTTTGCTAAGCTGTAAACAACCTTTGTCCGTAATATTCAAGCATCTCGAGGTTTCGAATTGAACCATTACGCGCGAAAATAACAACTGACGATTACAATCCAATTCTGGTGTGGCTGTACCTTATAGAAGCACAACGCAAATCTCAGAAATATCATTTCAGGTCTGCCAACGATGCAAAAGTGATTGCGAATCAAAGTATTCCATTCCTGTAAATTCCCCGCTACCAACTTCGACACCATTGCGGCTACCCACCAACCAAAAAACAATTGACCAAAGGACGCCAAATGAAACGAAACACTCTCCCACACACTTATTACAGTAAAGTACAGCGCCACTCACTTCCCGAGTACAAAAGAATCCATCGAATGGGGCCTCGAATGAATGAATTACCATCCCGCCAATTGATTCCGACCGCCAAAGTTAACTGTTTGCTTGTTTTACACCACCCATGGCCCATAGTATAAGGCACTGAACACAAATGCAGTATAGCCACCAGGATGATTGCCATTTGAAGCATGCAAAGGCTGCTGTGAAAACTGTCTGCACCGAGCCGAATATTTGCAGCGAATCCAAAGGAAACAGGAGAACATCCAGGGAGTTTGGCTCCAGAATGAGGTGGCTTTGCTTGATGTCGGCAAAAGCTTGTTGATGAGAATGAAGGACAACCACTGGAAGAGACTCGAGTCAGTTGGATGCCCAGCTGATAGGATTTCGACTTTTGGGGAAGACTTACTGTGGTCAGATGGCGGACATCGAATCGAAGGGATAAACGGGCAATGTTTGATATCGCGTCTGGTCCTAGGGTCAGCCAAGAATGAAGACTGGCAAGAAATAGAACGGACATAACTTTTTGAGAGCTTGATCATCTTGTTGGACAAAGCAGAGGATGTTTGAAATGGACAGAGGCTGCTAGGAGAGTGGGTGTCATTGAAAGGGCTGTATGGTCGTGGACAATGCCTCCGGATTAGCAGAAGGCTGCGGGTTTGCTGAGACCACCCGAATCAAAAGAACGAACCATTTGTTTGGGCTTGGGGGACTCCAGTCTGGAGCCATCTGCTGGCAGCGGCTGGCCAGCTGGGGCCTCAAGTACACCCCCAGTCGACCTGTGCCACCTCAGTGGGCTTTGTCAAATTCGCTTTGGCATTGTTCAACCGCTTATATTCATCTACAGCCCCTTGTAGGCCTTGTAGCCGAACCGCAGGCCAGCCAGCTGGGCCTCAATAGACCACCCGCTGGACTGGCCCTTGGTTATGACAGAAAAGAGTTTCGCCTTTGCACATCTTTCCCCAGGGGAGTGTGTTTATATGAGGGAGAAGAGAGGGAAGACGGAAAGGGAAGAGGGACAGAGAAAAGGGGGGGGAGGGGGCGTGAAAGAACCAGGGAAACAACAGACAGGCACCGATAGAAGAGATTCGAACAGAATCGAAGGGCAAGAACAGCATACTTGCTCATTTCTCCTCAACATAGATGCATGAAGACGTCATTCCCGACTCACTGCGCAGTTGCCCCAGCCACTCACACGGCTTTCTCTCGTATTCTTATTTTTCATCTGGTCTTTTCTGGTTTGTTGGGGTGGGCCAGGCAGGCAACAAGCGGTCAGAGATGCAGCGACGAAAGAACTTGGTTCATTTTTGTTGATGATTGTATCTGGTACAGCCTGCTGCACTGTGGCTCTATGTAAATCTAGGTATTCAAATCAATCATATTCGAGGGCCATCACGAATCATTGTGGAGTGTATGTCATATCGCGAGAGAGCATATCAATGCCGTCCCAGAACTACAATTATCATAGCAAGCATCAATACCGTTCTATAATTGCAAGTGAGCTGTACAATAGCAATATCACGATATCATTCTACAGCTGCAAACAACAGATACAATGCATCATGATCCTGACAATGGTGTACTGCTCCTCTATGGATACTCTGCAATTATGTGAAACGAGCTGTGCATATCATGATGCCGTCGTACAGATGCAGCAGATCATGCGGCTGTCACATTTGATCAAATCTGCTCGAGCAGCATGCTACTATTGGCCAGCCAGAAAATCAGCAAATCGATCGGCTCCATATCTGCAGCAGCAAACAGAAATGCCAGCTGCATGGAGTGATCTCAGAGATCTGAGGAGGCCCCACCCGTGCCTACTTAAACCTCGCCTCCCCCCTCGAGCCTTCCTTTTTCTTTTCCTCTTTTCCTTTCCTCAGCACTGCCCATCCCTTCGGGGATCCTCGTCGCTGGAGCAAAGCTCCAGCATGGAACCCTTCGAGGTAGAAGTGCTCCGGCCTAGTGATTAGGCTCTTGGGCTGGCAACCCAAGAGCCAGAGGTGAAGACCAGTGCAGGCACTGGTCCCCTCTTGATGAAGGTCGCTCTTTTTTTCATTGAGCTTCGGGCTATATGCCTAGACTCGAAGAAGAAATTCTCATTTGACCACAACATGCACTAGACTTAGGGAAAGGAAATCATCATCTGTAGGACAGGTAGTTTGTCTCGGTCCAAATAGCAGGGCTAGATCATCTCCTTGATCGAACTTGTGCTATCATACTGGACACGCGCTTCTGGATCATAGTTTGTAGCAACATGGCGACGCTGAGACTGGGAGTCTTGCGCGTCTTGCGCGTCTCGCTATGTGCCTCGAGCTAGAGGGAGTATTTTGTCTGTGGTATATTGGCGTTGATATGACACCCACTCTATGCCGAGAGGAAAAGAATACAGAGCATTATCACTAGAGACATTGTCAAGGAGTCATATCATCAAAAAAAGAAGGTGTCAATAGTATTCGAGTGCAGTCGTTGAAGTGGTATTTCTTCAGAAGCAATTCCCTGAGCCAAAGTCTTAACACCAAGCCCGCAGTCCAGATCACAGATTCCAAAACAAAACAGTATCCAGTAGCTAGTCGCGAGCTCTCTACAACCTCAAGCTATTGAAATAATCATCATCCACTGTATCAAGTCATAAACGGCTCGACGCGCTCCAAACACCAGCCATACCACTTCTCAGCCATACCAGTCCCCCCTTCTTGTACGCTTCGCGATCCGTTGTCGATATCTTCTCGGATCTTGGCAAGTCGGCCCCATGGAATAGCTGCGACAAAAAGATGGTTAACATCAATATCCTAACAAAATCATCAGTGACGCGTACCATAGCTTCTCGACCTCTGAGCCGTGACCTCTGGCGAGAGACCGCAGAAGAGCTCCGAATATGCTCCGTTGATCGGAGGAAAAAGAAGAATTTTTCCGTTGATTTTAGACAGCAGTCCACGATCATGGTGCCGCTGGAGTTCAGATCTGAGATTTCCCGGATTGACAGACTGCCACTTTGTCAGCGGGTGCACTATTCACATCTTTGTTCATTCCGTCGGCGGGACCTACTATGCTGATGATTCCTTTATCTTTGTGTCGCTTTGCGTACTCTGACCCTTGATAATAAATGCCCGCCTTGCTAACGGAATATTTATAGAAAGTGCCCTCGTCTTTCTTCTCGTAGTTCATATTGTCTGGATCGAAGCCGCCGTTGGGCGATCCTAGTTCCGAGTACAGCGAGCTCACCCAGACGACTCGTACCGCGTCTTTCGAAAACGGTAGATAACTTCTAACTGTTTGAGCCAACAACGGCGTCAGGAGCTCTGTGAACAGCAAGTGGCCAAGGTTGTTCACGCCCAGCTGGAGCTCATATCCCTGCTTCGTCTTTGACCCTTGCGGCGGATGCATCACGCCGGCGTTGTTGAAGAGGACATCCAGTTTAGACTCTCTGGTGAGGAATTCTTTGGCCGATTTTGCGACGGCCTCCAAGTCGGACAGATCGAGGGCGAGGAATTCGAGGCGTCCAGTCGAAGAAGGACAAGCGGTGCGAATGGCGTCGATGGCCTCTGTCGCTTTGGCCTGGCTACGGGCTGCGACATAGACAGTTGCGTTCTTGGAGTAGAGGATTTGCGCGAGCTCTTTGCCGACGCCGGTGTTGGATCCCGTAACAATGTACACCTACGTAAAATTTAGCAATGGCAAGAAGAATGGCGGCAAAGCATAGAGCTTCGCACTTTATCAGTCAAGCTGTCCAAATTACGCTCTGTAAAGGCCGGTTTCGGTGGCCACATTTGCGTCAGAATACCCATTATGCCGGCAGCTGTGATGTTTCTTGGTTATGTGGATAAAAGTTGATATGGGCGATAAAGGTGTGATGCAGTTTGGGAGAGATTCTTTGGTTCAACATGTCTACTATATATACACGCCGAGCCTCCTTTATCGAATAGAAAGTTAATTACAGCTTCGAATGGAGTTCGGAAACTCGACTGATTTTTGATCTCCGAAATTCTACGCGTCCCGGGTAGTGCCTGACGATATGCGACGCAATCACGGCATTTGGGGGAGCCAAGTTCATTTCGCCACGCAAATTCAAGATAACGACGTTGACCAAACTCCGCTCGAAATAGGCTTGCCATTATCAAACTCAGCATATAAGTATGCTTGTTAAGGAGTCGGACATCCTATTGTAGAAAAATTGGCTGACACAAGGGCTTCCTAGCGATCGGAATCCAGGCGGCCGCTTGTGCATTAGTGAGCGGCCGCTCTCGACGCCTCTTGTAAATCTTGATTCATAGAAGCGACTCACCAAAACTCGTTTCTGTTTAGGCTGAGGTCACAGGCTGCGAAGCAATGGTCTAACAAATAGGCTTTTATCGTTCGATAAGTCAGTAGTTAGTGCATTCTAGCCAGAAACACTCATGGCTTTTGATAGCTATCGGCGGTTGAAAAGAATATTGGAAATTCGCTACTGTTGGCTCACTTCTAACAAGTATGGCCTTTCCTATCATCGGGCGGTTGCCCTTATTCGATTTGAATTGTTCTACATGTCATGAATACGCATCCATCAACGCCTCGAGACGCATATTCGTCGTGTTCGCAATCCAAGCATCCATCTTGTCCGAATCCAGCCCCAAACACAGGCTTACAAGACTAAACTTGTCGATATCCTTGATCGACGTTGCTTCACGCAGCCAATCTGAATCATGAGGCACCACAGGCAAGGGATCTTTCTGCTCCAACATGCGCATCCAGGTCGCCGCAGAAGTGGCGTCCCAGAGACCACATCGCGCCGTGAAATCAATGGTTCCGGTACAGCTAACAGTCCCATCGCGGGTGAGGAGATAGATGCACTGAGTGTAGGTGACCACCATCCAGACACGGCGCACATTCTCCATCAAGATCCAGTTGCGCCACAAGTGATTGGCCATGTTTATCTTGTCTTCAACGGCCAGGAACTCTCCACCGAACGTGTTGTGTAGAGTGACATCGAGGCTTACTGATTCCCAAAGCTGTGCCGTCCATGCTTCCAGCACAGGCATCTCCTTCTCAGCCAAAGCTCGCTGGCGAATGTTGCCGTCGAAGAGGCGGATGAACTGATAGATGAACAAGGCCAAGACTCTAGCCAGGTGTTGGCCGGTAGAAAGCGGCGTTGGGGAGACAAACATGTCAACCAGCGGATCTTTGTTTTCGGAATTCGCCGCCAAGAGCGCATCAGCTTTGTGTTGGATGTGCTGCATCACTACATGTTCGTTTTGTTCGTTCTTGTTGCCATAGACTGCGATGGCAGCATATGCGTCTTGAAGACATGGTGGCATTCCCGTGTCGACAAAGAGGGATGCGTGTATGAGGGGGCACTGGTTGCAGTCAATCCACTGCCGAAGCCATTTCTTGATGCAGCGAATGTACTGCTGGACAGCAGAACCGCGGATCAAGGGCGGCGTATGCAAGTTTTGATGGTGGATGATCCAGAATTCGGCCCTCAGAAACCAAGGGCGAGTAAACAGTTGGCGATTATCCACATCGAAGCCATCCAGACAAGTGCTTTCATTCCCGTTCTGATTCTCATCTATGTTCCCATCCTCACTCCCGGCATCGGTGAATAGCAGCGATGTTGTCGAGACTAGCGAAGGCTCCGACGCTGTAGCTGTAGATTCTGCACTGGAAGACGCATCACCTCTGCGGCGCGCATAGAGACGACGCGAAGAATAGTGGCATTTGATTTGCTTACTTAGGCATCGCTGGCAAAAGGGCTGGCTCTTGTCGCAGCGTCGCTTTGCTTGAGTGCAGGGGATACACGCCCTTTGCCGCTGAAACTGCGCCGACTGTGAGCGAATGTCGTAATCAGCCTCCTTAGTCATGGCGGTCTCCATAGCAGCGGATAATTCTTTGTTATCGGCGGGCGATTTCGAAACCCCTTGACAATGTGTCTGTATCTTTGTTCAGAAAATCAGGAGTGCCCTTTGGTTTCGCATGCCGGCGGAAAATTGTATCTATATGGCGGGAAGTTGAATGGCGGAAAAAAGAGGAGAGTTGTTTGAAGTGATAGCATCAGCTGCGGAACATTACGCGGAACATTGGCGGAAAACTCATGTTTGATAAGCTGGACTAAAATTACCCACGCCAGTGCTAACCACCATTAACATCCGGAGTCAAATGATGCCATGCGGCTTTGAGAGTCGACTTTACTCAGCATCTCTTCATGCAATCATCAGGCGGACTTACAATTGCGACTGGTGAGGCTTTGGGCATGTTTCGCTTTGCGTTCAGCAACTGCTTGATATTACCAAACTGGCTCAGCACCAGTGGAGCAAAGACGCGATTCAACCATCCGCAAAACATCCGCCAACTCGGAGTTAGTAAACCGCCATTCTAAGCCACCAAAATTCTGCATCACATCAAGAGACTTGACTTGGGGAAAAAAGGAGTTCGGACTCAATGATGGAACGCATAAATACTACAGCGGCTTCTCTCAGCCATGTCGTGATAATCGCCTCGAAACATCCAGAACAACCTCATCTCTTCGCTTCAATACAATAGCCTGCTTCCTCTCTACTCACCTTCTGTACATCTATCATCATGGCTGCCCCAGCTTTCCCCAAACCTGTCGCTGTCGACACCTTCCACAAGACGCCATATGCGGCCATATCTCCTTCGCGCCCAGAGCTTTCTCAGAAAGGCCGCGTCGTCTACGTGACAGGAGGCTCTGCAGGCATCGGTCTGGCCATCTGCCATGCCTTTGCTCAAGCCGAAGCCGGCACCGTTATTCTTACTGCCCGTCGAGAGGGTCCCCTGAATGCGGCTGTCAAGGCCTTGACTAAGGAACATCCCAACACCAAATTTGTTGGCCAGGTTTTGGATGCAACAGATCGAACTGCGACAGACAAAGCCTGGGCACAGCTTGATAGCGATGGCATTGTCGTCGAAGTACTGGTCCTTAACGCTGCGCACATCCCGGATAGACCTGCGTTGGTGTTGGAACTTGGATACAAAGATCTATGGCCCAGCTTTGTGACGAATGTCGGCGCGAACCTTGATCTCATCGATCGATTCTACCACCAAAAGAAGCGTGCGGCCGGCCAGAAGCTAGTAAGTTACTATCATCCGAATTTCAGCGCAAGAAGATGTTTAAATACTGACACAGACGCAGTCGCTAGTGAACATCTCGACCATGGCTATCCACATGGGTGGAATCGCCAAAACCTACGGTGGCTATGGTGCTACAAAGAACGCAGGAACCATGACGGTGCAGATGATTGCTCGAGGAGTCTCGCCAGAGGATATGCAAGTGTTGAGCTTCCACCCGGGCGTAGTTTTCACGGAATCCGTGGCAAAAGCCGGCGTTACAAAAGACAACTTTGACTGGGATGATGGTATGATGACTGCTTTTGATGACCCTCTTGTCCGTATACTATCTTGTTGCTAACAAATGCGCATAGCTAATCTTCCCGGCCAATACGCTGTTTGGGCAGCTTCCGAAGAAGCCAAGTTCCTTCACGGCCGCTTTACGTGGGCGGCATGGGATGTGGAGGAGCTGAAGTCGGAGGAGTCGAAGAAGAAGATTGAGGAGGATGAAGGTTACCTACGTGTGGGAGTCATCGGACTTTAAATGAGTTATTGAAATTTCAGAGCTCCAAGGAGTACTTTTCCGCATGATATGCCATATATACTTTTGAATTGCAAATAGATGCTGTTTTATCCACTATAACTTCACTCTGAAATGAGAAGGCTGTTATGCGCTCTTTGAAGCTTTGCCATAGTCCGGCATCACCAAAATGGCTACTCCTAAGATGTGCATCACCCTGTAGATTCCTTGGCAAAACGCCAGCAATATTTAGGTGTCATAGAGGTGCCAATTGCTACACGACAGAAAGACCATTTCCCCTGCGGCATATGAGCATTTCCTTGATGGGATGCTACTCCGCGTGCTTTTGAACGGATTATATACAAAAAAGCAACAACAAGATGGCAGGTAGTTACACTACTTAGTGGAAATGTTATTCGACATCCTCCCTCTATACTTTTGCCGTGAGCCATAAACAGGTCACTGCTATTAAGAGCTCTCAATGATTCGCCGACATTGTTACATCGCTGGTGAGGGTACAATGGATTCTTTGTGCAAGGCTACGAGTAACAGCTGTCATGTCTGGTTTGCCATGGTGCGTTCAAGCTGACAGCCCCTCTAAGCTTGAGACCTCAAGCCCCAAGCCCTTTGTTATTGCCCGTGCATATTGCTCGTTGGCTCACTCTCTTTTGGTAATTCCGTTCCGAGATCTGTTCTTTCCTCACCAACACTCAACTAAAATCTGCAGGCTCCAAATTCTCAAGCTCTCAGAATCCCCATAGCCGCCTCTTTCATTTGGTGAGGGTTCCGGGGCGCCCTACATTCCGTGCGCACGTCGCCCTGGAACTCTCACCAGCTCTACATTAGACAGCTGAGGATCTTGCCTGCTCTTGTCTACAAGGTCCTCGGCTGTCCGATATAGAGAACAAGGCCCGGCGCCACCACATCCGCCCATCGGAACGATTTGTGGCGGCGGGTCTTTGTGGAAGAGAGAGCTCTCCCAAGGCTCCTCTGGCGCAGACGGTTGCCTTGGGAGGGCACTCACTAACCGTCTGCGTCAGATGCTGTCTCGGCTTTGGACAGCAGCAACGGCGTGCTGCTGGAGAATTCTTTTCTCCAAATAAACCCGCCTGTCAACCACCCAGCGCATCAGCCATCTATCCAGCTATTAATATGGGACACTCAAAATATCATTTCGCTCTACTATGCTTGACAAACTCAGTTTGTGGTTTGTAAGCCGCAATCTCTGCATTATGACCTTTGCTGACGGATCTGCAACAGCTGCCTCTGACGTTTAGTAACGTTCACATCCTCTGAATCCACCCGAGGTCTCAAACATGAACAAGCGAATTTCTCCTTAAAGAGCAGCCCATCGCTCGCGCTACAATTTTCTTCCAACGGCAGCAAAAAGCGAATAAGGAGAGTTCGCAATCAAAGCCAGCCCCCGACCTGAAAGCTGTGGCTCGCTACCCTCAGCGATTTTCTCAACTCACGCAAGAGACTCTTCTTCTTCCTCTTCCTCTTCTTCATTTTGATAACGGATTAGGTCATTATTTTTTCGAACATGTAAGAGCCATAAGATTCTACAAAGATTTGTCCCGATGAATCAAATGATGCTAATCCCAGCCCTAGGCTTTTCAAGTCACATTGCAAACCTTGATGAACAAAGAGCAAGACCCAGAGAATTGGATCGGAAAGAATGAGCGGATACTTGCTGGATACACAGAGGACCTATAAGTTTGACGATGAACAACGGGAATGGAAGCGCTTGGAAAAGACATAAAGAATTCTTGGATTTATTTCTCATCTGCAATGGGACCATCGCCGCCTTCGCTAATTAGCTGACCGATCTTTCCCACAAGGTGACAGTAACTTGAAATGCAAGCGCGATTGCCACGTGGCTCTCTTACGCGTCATGATAGGCTTCACTTTCAGCGGCCCTTGTCCTGTTTCCTCTCTTTTCCTCCTCTCTTCTCCATCTTGTATTATTCTTCTTTTGTGTGGTCCTTTTGGCTTTTTGGGGATCCCGTTCGCCCCCCTATCGAGAGCATGAACGCTGATGACTGGGAAGAAGCCGGGGATTGGTCTGTAGTGCCTGGTCGGACAGCCGCAAAAACCAATTATCTTGCCGGTTCGGTGAAATCATGCATGAATCGAGAGTGGTTAGACGGAATAATCGTCGAATGATTTGGGAGTTTGAACGCTGTTTGGGTATAGGCAGAGACAATCGATAAGAAATTCTCAAAAATGAAGAGAGACGGCCTGGACGCTTCATTGCATGCTTCTTTCATCTGACTAGGGAGATCTCAGCAAATTCGCAGGTCTCAGCAAACCCGCAGCCTTGGAGAGGTATTGTCCAAAACCACACAGCCCATTCAACTACACCCACACCCTTGTCCTACACGGAGCAAGTAGGCCTGCGTGCTTTGCTCTATTTCTCTCTATGCCCATTTACTCTTTTGCGGCTCCCTTTGAATGTAAGTGATGTCCAGTGTAGTAGCTCACAGACGTCAAACGCTGACCATAAGTGTTATGAAGAGAATCTTCGAAACTCACCGTTCCTGATGCGCGACGCGCGAAAGACATCTGAGACTTCCGATAAGATAAATCCATCTCGAGTCAACCATTTCTCACGTCATATTTTACCCGGGCCGCAATCTGCCAGTTGCGCTCTTTTGCGTCCCTCCAACCTCTACTGTCTTTACTGCTTCTACTACTCCATTGGTAAGCTCTTCTTTTCTACTGAGCTCTTCATTCATGTTTTGTTCCTGACGTTTCTCAGAGTTTTTATCCTCTTTCATCAGCCTCGGGATTGGAAATATCGGTATTGGGGTTCTCTCTCATGCTATGTTCACGTCGCCGGAATAATGCTCCTATAGTTCGAGAAATGCCATTGAGCTTTTGGTATTCATATGCGGTTGGGACTCATTACATGGGTAGTTTAGATACAAAAATAAACGGTGATCACATCAGATTTGCGTCAAAATCGTGCATTCATTTTTTGTAGGCAGTGTAAGTGAATGCGTAAATATTTCGCCTCGCCAAGCTGTGTGCGGTAACTAACTCGCTACGAGGGTAGGCCATATTATCAACAAGCCCTCCCAGATTCTTTTTGGTGGGCGCTTGTCTAAGCCTGAGTCCATGGTAAGCTGACTTCTCATTCATATGGCTCATTCAGCTATGAATGAGACACAAGGGTCAGCTCAATTGACTTTAAATACGTAATGTGGCGTTTGACGTGAAGAGAGATCACAGCGTGAGCAGGTGAGTCAACTAAGAGTCTTTTCTGCTCAACGCTACTCTTAGCTAATATGTATTATTACCGCTGATGTTATTTGCACAGATTACGAGATCTTTGCTGATATGAAAACAGCCGATTTGATGGCAGCTGATATTATCGCAGCTGATAGTATCGCGGCTGATGCAGCTACTTCAGCTGATATCCTAAACATGGCGATGGCCTTGCGCAGCTCAGGTATAAAACAGTGATCAGATCCATACAACAGTAGCTCTTGGAGACACAAAGAAATAAAGACTCACAACCTAAAGCACTCTTTGAAAACATGAAAAGCAATCTGTTCGGTCGCAATGCAACACCCAAGGCTGGTAATAGCAAAACAGCAACCATGAGCGGCAAAAGGCCAGTGGACAAGCCAAAGCCAAAGAATCTCACGCTTCGTGTCCCCAATGTCTTCAAAAAAGGCGACTCCGTCCTTCTCATGTCTGCCAGTCACCGGGGAGACATGTATCACTTTCGGGCGGCGTTGCAAATAGAGAATTTCTCGGTTATTCTCTACGACTCCAATCACACTGATGATACAAAGCCCAAAACAAAGGATCTTGAAGACTACTTGGCTGAATCGGTGCTGAGGAGGGGAAAGCATATCTTTATAGTTCCGTGGAAGTATGGCGCGTTGCACGGCGACGAGCAACCTGATCCTACCAAGCCTTGTTTCTTGGACGGAAAATTATATGTAGAAAAAGAACACAGTCTCGCAAAGGTTCAATTAGGCACATTCAGCGAGAGAGCTTCCACTCAAATCATTGCCAGCGCGCCGGATGCTTTAAAGGACGTCATTACTGGGATGACTATCCTCAGCAAAACCATGGTGGGCAATAAGTTTCCCGATTTCGAACAACTTTTAGAGGAGTTTCCAACAGTCTCGGACGACTTCGAAAGGCTCTGGACGCAATGGAAGGACGCTGGGGTCAAGGCCGGCGAGAATGCAATCCTTCTCATGTATCGAGATACCGGTACGCGGGATCCCGCTCCGGTAGTAACAATGGGCGTCTACCCGGAGCTTGATAATGGAAAAGCCACCGATGATATTACTAAACTTGTCGCTGATATAGCAAAGAAGGAAAATAAACCGTTGACCATTTTCACATGTGGATTCAAGGATTCCGACATTGGGGAATACTGGAACGATCTTCGCAACATAAAACCCAAAGAGCCCAAAATCAGCACAAGAGACTTTGAAGCCTACTTTCTCAAGTGGTCATATGAAAAAAAGCATTTTAGGATGGCCACGGGGTTCCGGAGCGGCGCTTTGGATTTGTTTACCTTTATGGGCATCCCGACGGTATCGATTGGATTGCGCAACTTGATGGGAGAAGGGCGGCATCAGATGTTGGCACATGAAAAGTTTCAAAGAGTCAATATCCAATATGACAGCCCACGCCACAAGGTAACCGCGGCCGTGAAATCCGATCGCCAGGACAACTCGTCCAAGCCTGATCAAACTACATTTGGGTCTCCATTCTGGATCGACGGTTTCCAGCATCCAGAGAATGCCACAAAGAGGGCTATACCGGAAGATACGAAGGGAGAGCAAATGCAAAAGGCTGGCAACTTCGCTTCGTTCGACAAGACTGTCGTGGACATTGGTTACAGGTTTGCCTTGGAAAAACACATGAGTTTGGGACAGACAATCCGTACATTGAAGGCCAACCCCGAAACGAAAAGAAATGAGCTTCCTCGCACTATTACCACAAATGAAGCGAGATTCTGCTACCCACATAAACTGTCGGGTCAAAGGGAAGCCTTAAAGAAGTATTTTGACGACCAAGAGAAGCTCGATTATCAGGCTGTCACGGCAATGAAGGAAGCTTCTGCAGAGCTCCAGCAATCACCGGCAATGATTAAGAAATATGAGAAGGATTATGATGACAACTGGGACGAAATGATCATACTCATTAAGAAATCCAAGAGTATCGCTCCATTGGAAAAGAAGCGCGGGCCAAGGTTCGATAACACTAAGAAGTAGACTTCTGTTTTGGCTCAGTCGTTTACTTTTCATCTCTTCATCTGTCTCTTTGTTAGTCTTACCTTTCTCCGATGCGTCATTCAGATAAGATCCAGTCTCTGTTTGTCTCTCCCAACTGTAAGTTGCAAAGGTTGGCTTTGTATCAAGACTTCATACAGCCTTTTAGCTCAAATTCCAAACCGCAGCTCAACATCAAGAATTAAATCAAGGCGTATCAGTTTTATGGTTGCCAACAATGTTAATGTCAAGTCTCGGGTGGATCTGTTGCCTAGATGCCGAGTTCTCAACGGTGACCAAGCGGATTACCAGATAGTGCCTGAGCTGTTTTGGTTGGAATACTCTTTGCTAACTTTTCAACTGAAATAGTTGGTGTGCATGCTTCTATGCCTATACCGCATATTCGTAGGATGGGTGACAGATTTTGGAACCTAGAGCAATGCGATTCTGTATACTAGAGAAGAGTGAGAAGTAATATTAATGGCCACGTAACCGTATGTTTATAACTAGAGTCTGTGTACTGGTCGCGAACAAAGATTGCATGCCTCCTTTGCTTGATATTCAGTATATTTAAAGAGCGATTTCTTTTCGCTAATCCATCTTTTATATCGTGGTGCAATTGCCGTTCAAGTGATGCCTATGGTATTCGGCGACGGCAGCTTTCTTGACAGAATAATCAATGAGCTTGCCAGTACCTGGAATCAAGGCTTCCGTAAAATTGAACCCTGATGGGACGGTGAACCCCCCGAACTTGTCCCTGACAACAACGTCGTTCATGATGCCGGTCTGGTTGACGGTAAAATCGTTGAGAGGTGGCGAGATCTCACCAGAGACAGGATTGGTTGCGGAAGCATATTCTTGTGTGGCAACGGCCTGTGAGACGCCCAGTTGTTTGGAAAGAGCCTGGATGGAGCACGCCTTGTTCTTGGGGTTTAACAAAAACTTGTTCGCAGCGTGCATAGTGGTCATGAATCGGGTCAAAAGGGCGGTTTCGGTCTTGTTGCTCAGGGAGGACTCGCGAATGGTAAACGCGCTTGATGTTACCGGCTTAACAACTTCGGAGATTCGAGCAAGAACATTGGGTGTCTCTCCAGTTGGTAGAGCTTCGCCTTCAACAGTGAAGGGATACGTGAGGATCGTGGCGTACACAGCGGTGCCGTTTGGAAGAGCTTCGTTGATTAGAGCCGAGTATCTCTGAGGAGTTCCACCGACAGTCTAACGCTCAAGGGAAAACTAATTAGCCATCTTTTGAGCTCAACTCCTCCGTCATGTAAGCTCACCATAAAGTAATAGTCACCGTTGGCGAGCGACAATCCGTAGGCTGATAGCACATCCTGGAGCAGGTACGCATAGCCACTGACAGGTGAATCGACAATGATAGGCTTGCCTTTGAGCTGCTCGACGCTGGTAATGGAAGGTATCGAGGCAAGGACAAGATCTGGGCCCTGGTCTAATTGGCCAATCACCGTGACGTTCTGGTTCTGGTTGAAGCGGTAGTTGAGGGCATTATCAACCGTCGCGGTCAGAATATCGTATTCGCCGTCGAGGATGGAAGCGAAAGCCGCCGTGCTATTAGGAACCTGGTTGTAAATGACCTCGAGGCCGTTCTCAGTGAAGAAGCCCAATTGATTGGCGACTGAGTAGGTAGCTGTAGCTATGCTGTGCGTGAAATGTGTCATTAGAGACTATTCGTGGGTAATTAAGAACGCAAAGAAAACTCACAATGCGCCATATTGGATTGTATCCAAGGCTTGGCTACAGGCCACAACAGAGGCTAAGACAAGAGCTCGTGGGTGCATTGTCAATTCCTGAAATGTAGAAGCCGGTACTTATCGTTCTTTTTCGAGGTCTCGTTTCGCTCGCCTCTCAACATGACGACTGGCTCCAGCACTTGGCAGAATAGCAAATTTATAGCTGAATGCCATTTCGACAAGGGTCGCAAGCACGCAAGCTCGTCCTGGACGCCCAGGAAGGATGCAAGCTAGCCATGCAGTGTATATCATGCAGCCAACACGCTGTGGGTTCGGCCACAAACCATTGACCTCGACTTGAACTGGGGCCGGACAGAAGAGCCTAAAAGAGAGTCGCTGTGGGCTGGACGTTCTCGATTTGGAGGGAAAACTCCCACTCAATGTCTTTCTTGGATCAATGCCATCTAGAGGGCCTGGTGTAGCCGGTGCATCGAATTTGTATTGAATTTGATAGAGATGTTGCTTCGAAAGTTTCGAGGCAGCGTCGAATTCTGTCAAAGACTATGGCCATCTTGCGATTCCAAGAAATGCATCGTTCCGAAGGAAAAAGGACATCTGTTGGTGTAAACGGCGGACCTAAACTGTCGAAAAGATCAGCTTCGGTCGATATGCCACGTTGAGATAGAACCCTGAGCTTAATCCCAGTAAATACCCACATCGAACTGCTCAATATGCCGCCGATGCTCTACAGCATGCAACGTCCACATAGTTGAACTCGTCCTATTGCTCGTCACTCTTGGCATTCGTACTCTCTTAGACATGGCGGGTTCGAAACTTGTAAACAAAAACCCCAATAGATCCGATTCGGGCGCGCAATATGCATTCTAAAATCAGACACCGGACTCGTGTGATTGGCTGGATAGCTGTCGCTGCTTGCTGGTGGTGGTATTGCGAAGTTGAGCGTTATTGTGCTACTGGTCGTAAATAATTTCTTCTTGCTTGGACCAGGGGCGTTGGACTGCTCGTAGGTCTTGTTTGGCGACTTTCAGCTCTTTTTTGAAGTGTCGTGGTTGGCAAGTTGAGCTGGAGATTTGGGCATACGGTTGATTTTGTCGGTTGGCTCACGGCAAAACGGGCATCCATTTCAATTTGTTGGATGCGGCCGAGGGCAGCGGCACCAGAGTGCTAAAATGGCGGAATACAGCGCTGAAAGGGCACTCTTTCAGCGCTAGCTCGCTGGGCAAAGCAAAAGCTGACTAAGCATTTTTTACAGCACCTTCAAGTTGCTTTCCATCCCAGGTCTAATTTCTCTAAGGCGCAGTAACTGTCTTTGTCTATTGAAGTCAAGCCCTTCCAATACTGCTTGATTTTACTTGAACTCTATTTCAATTAGAAAAACCTTCATACTCTGATTTGCTATACAAAGATAATAACAATTTCATATCCAATCCGCTTTGGTTTCATTACTCATAAAAAAAAAAAAAATGCTCAAGACTGTTAGGCATGCCATATCTAGGCAGCATCCTTCGCAAACAGCGCTCCCTCCACAATCCTCTCCAACTCCATCACATCTTCCTGCGTCTGGCCTCGTAGCCAATCCTCCGCCTTTTCAACAATGAGTTCCCACACATCCTTTTCATCTGCCAGCTTCTTCTTCAAGTACGCCACGGCACAAAGAGTGGCCAGCACAGCTTGAAGCTGGTCGTATTGACCTGGAAGCTCAATATCCGCCAACGCGGCCGACTTTGTCACTCCCACAATCGCTTCCAGTCTTGGACTCCAATCCCAGTTGCCGATAAAGGTTTGCTCTGAGAACAGCGTCGACATTGGAGTGTCTGCTGGACCTGACGCCAACTCTGGAGCAGCTTCGTCATCAGAGTAGTCTATCATGTCTTCCGACTTGTCTTGCGAATGGCCTATAAAGCTGTCAAAGTCGAAATCCGCCAAAACGTCGTTGGAATTCACCAATTTCGGAGAATCACCAAACAAATTGCCTGCATTCTGCTCCATTGATAGCTCTCCAGGTGGAGCATTTGGGTGCATGGGGCTTGAACTCCCGAGTCTAGAACCTCCTTGTGCCGAATAGTTTGAAGCTGAATTTCCAAGCACCACGGGAGAGTTGCTTGAAGAACCCCCCGGATTTCCTTGCTGTTCCTGACGAGCCATCATGAGACGTTTCTTATTTTGCTGCTCTAATAACATGCACTGCATTTGATAATCTTGCAGCGCATGGTTTCCAGATTGATTCCTAAGCTGCGGGTTTGTCGCCGGTAGCTGTTGCGCAGATTGCATTTGATTCTGTTGCTGCAGCCCTCGTGTAGCCGGATAAGTAAATATTGGGCTTGCTTGGCCTTGCATAGGCATACCCATAGCTTGTTGCTGTTGCAGCATTGCTCGCTGGTGAGCCTGTGCCTGTGCTTGTGCTTGTGCTTGGCCTTGCATAGGCATACCCATTGCTTGGTGCTGTTGCAGCATTGCTCGCTGGTGAGCCTGTGCCTGTGCTTGTGCCTGAGCCTGTGCTTGTGCCATGATCTGTGCCTGAGCCATGGCTTGTGGACTCATTGATCCCGCATTACCTGGAAGGCGCGGCATGCCAGCCATAGACATGTTAGATATTGACTGCTGTCTTAATGCTTGCGGTTGCTGTTGCTGCATTACTTGCTGCCGGGCCGCTAATTGCATCTGATATACTTCTTGCGGTGAGACCACCTTAGCTTGGTCAAATATCTTCATCCTCCTCTCTTCATCAATCTCATTTTGTGCTAATTGTCGCGTATTAGCTGTCTGATTCTGATTTGGAAACGGCCTCATATGTAGCTTACACTTTCGCTTGGTCTTCCTAAACCGTGCGCTGGCCGCAGTATTCCGGCGGCGAACATCTTGGCCGCCAGATCTAGTATCCGCGCTCACGTTGGTAGCGTTTACATCGTGGTCATCTATGATCACAATCTCTTCATTCTCGTCGGCCGTGTCTTCACTGTCTTCAATGGCAACGAATGAGCACCACTTGCCACTGACTTGGTACTGCGTGCCCAACCGTACGGCTTCTCTCTTGACCATGTCGCTGAATTGGCCTTCGTACCGCTTTTGTAAAAGCTGTCCTTTATCGTCTTTGGCATGGAAAGTCCAGCCTCGGCCGTCTTCAAGCTCTCTCGTGGCCTTGCGAGCCGCTAGCTGATGTATGGTAGTGCCTTGTTCCTCCAAGATGGTGATGGGAATTTCCAACGAGAGCGGTCCCTGGGTGGAAGTTCCTCGGAGGATGACACTCTTGGGCTGGCGGTCCGGGGTCGAGTCGGAAAGCAGGACATAGACAGTCGTACGGCTGAATGGGAAAAGGGGTGGGATTTGAAAAGGAGCTTGGAGGTAGCGTGGAACGGCGACAGCTGGCAGATCCATCTTTACCTTGGAAGTGTCGGACATTTCCAAATCTTTGTCCTGGACACTTTGGTCAAAAAGCGAAATGGCAATCTGGTATTTTCCTGCAGCATTGATGTCGTCTGACTCAGTGGGAGGAAGCTCCAGCGTCATGGCATCCATAATCTTTTCAATCACCTCAAAGTCGTCGTCGTCTCCCTCTTCTCTCACCTCATCACTGCCATACTTGATCTCCAAAGTATAGTCAGTGATATGGGGTGTAAGAGCCCCTTTGAGCATTCGGATCAGCATCTTATCCACTCTTTCACCATCGGCTACAGCCTGAGAAAAACCGTTACCCGCACGGGCAACTCCTTCAATCAAGGCGTGACTGGCCATTGCTCCCACGCCCAATGCAAAAACTCGAATGGCCCCGTTGGTTTCGGACACATTCGAGTTAATAAGCTGGAATAATGCCTCCTGGTTCCAGGTCTCTCCATCAGTGAGAAGAAAGACTTCGAGATTCATGTCGCTGTAGCGTCGTTTAAATATCTCGGCCATTGGGTTGTACATTTCTGTACCTCCAAAGTTGGCGTCAAATGAGCTGACATGGTTGATGGCCACTCTAAGCGAATTTTCGTCGTAGGTCTGGGATCTCTCCCACAGAAATGAGTGATGTGATCCAAAGCTGCAGATATTGAACTTGACCCCGACAGGCAAGGACTTGAGAAAGATTTTCAAAGCCTCGACGACACTTGGTATCTTGATGCCGCCGCCCATACTGCCGCTTCTGTCGCACATGAAGACCACTTCGGACATGGACGTTGGCAGATTGAATCTGGGAACAAGCGTCGCCATCAAGGCCCGTTGGTTTGGAATGGCGGGATGCGCTTCAAGGATGGCCACAGGATCACCGAGGCCTGTGGCGACAACTTGGATGACAACGTCTTTGTTCAGCTCTGCTGAGCCTTGGGATAAAGTAGCATGCGCCCTCTGCAGAGATGGCGGCTCGGAGGTTGCAGTAGAAAGGGTGCCGATATTGACAGAAATGGGATGGGAAGGCGATTGGACGCTCTTAATGGTCGAGCTGCCAGAGACATCAACATCGACGGTGATATTGATATGCTCTCCGCCCTGAACAGGATTCACTCCTTGAAGGGCGTGATGTCCATATCGCGGAGCCACGGCTGTGGGGATGGTAAACCGCAATCCATCAACCTGAGCATCATGCTTCAGTTCTCCCAAATATGTCACTTCGACTGTGACTTTTTCGCCAGCGGGCATATTGCCCAGTGACGTAGTAAAGACATCGGAGGCCTCCAAAGACTGCTCAAGCAATCCTGCCGTCTTTCCTTGTGCAACGGCGGCATTAAAGGCCTGCTTGGCTTCATTTCGCTCTTTTACGACGCCCTTGATGACGCGCGAGCCAACGGTGCAGGTGAATGCAACTACTGATACTCCATCGTAGAGAGGGAATATGTAGCTCACGTTCTCAAGATGGTTGGTGGCAGCTGTCTTGGGGCTTTGGAAGGTCTGTGTCAAGACAGTACGCGAGGTTGAAGAAACAATGGTAGTGTGAACATCGAGAGAGACAAGAGGGAGAAAGTGGCGGAAGCCATTGCGCTGGTCGGTATAGAGGCCACAGATAGGAGGAGGAACAGGAGGAACCATCCATGCAGCCTGGGACCGATGGTTGGAAGCAGAAGACATATCTGGGACAGGTATGAATAGGTTGATTGTGATGGATGGAAATAGGTATTAAAAGCAGTAGTAATAGCTCTGGGCAGTGATAGTAGCGCAGAAGAGTTGGACGCAGAAAGCTGCAGTTCTTGGGAGTGAAGAGAAGAAGATGTGGGAGACGTGACAAAATGAAGTTAGGGGACCATCAAGTGTATATAAAGAAAAATGAAACAGCCAGACGTCCAGTACACGTTTTCAAGTGAAGAGCCTGAAAGCGGTACGAAGAGCGTTCAGATGATGGATGTAATGACGTCCGGTGGCTGAAGCCAGCGGGGTAGAAAAGGATGAGGCGAAAACCACAAACGACAAGATTGTGCGCCGCAAGGGAAAACAAGACAATTGTAGATAATTCAAGAAGAAGAGTGGAAGATTGGTGAAAACTGATGAAGTCTCATGTGGATGAGGAGACGAGAGGGAAACAGAGGCAGGACGGTCGAGGCTTTAAGTAGTTTTTCCTCCTCTCTGGTGATACCATCCAACTCCCAAGATCCCACTTAATACAGCCAACCATCTTACACGCTTCTATCTTCACCCAATTGCGAGAACCGCCTCACAAAGGCGAATCGTTGTTCCGGTGAGGCAGCAAACCTTGGCTGCCGCCTGGATGCGAACCACCAATCACATCTTCAGATGAGTGAGTCATCTGAGCATACACTGTGCTAACATTCATGGCTGCCTTTTTTATTTCTCTTGCATCTCATTATAATCGAGACTATGTCGAATATTTTTCTCTTGTTTAAGTCCAGTGTCCCATACTGTGGCTGCGGATGGAACGACCAATACGGACGCCAATGACGAGACGTGTGTCTTGTGCTATTGGTGCCCTCATATGGACGAGCGAAATGCATGTGCGGTTCCCTCACACAGATCAGATAATTTATCAGCATTGAGTCATTCACTATCTGATGTCGCTATTGGCATTTCTAAGAAGGTAATCGCCTCGTTCGATTGCCACCTAGACATCTTGAGAGATCAAAAGTGTAATTTTTCAGCTATTCAGCGTAGTAACTCCCGGTGGTTCGATCATCTCACAGTGCCCCAAAACAGCTCATACGGCCTCGATCCTGCGTGACAGAAGCTACCCCTCTGTACGGCAGCAATTTCCGGATAATCGATATCAACATTTCCAATCAATACGAGAAAAGTCATTCATTTCTTCATCTAGCTAAAGGCAGAGTGCGGAGTTGTTTTTTTCTTTCTTTTTTCTTTTTCTTTTTTTCCCCTTCTTTTTTTTTCCGCCAATTGAAAGTATGTATCCGTCGCGAACCGTCATGAGATCTAGGGTATTGCCATTTCTGAGTGTGCATGGCACGCAGAAATACAATGGGCTTATCCGTATTTCAGTGATTTTTCTTAAAAAAAGAATGGGAATTCTTCGAAAGGAGTATATACATTTAGCTAGCTATCTCCCATCCTTCAACTTTAGAAGAATCAAGCGTGTTACACCCAATAAATCCTCATACTTTTAACACGGATATCTCCTAAAGATTCTAGCTAGATCTCTCTCCACATTGCCCCCGTTTCCCTCGGCATGTCCTCGTGGCTGATCTAGACCGTGCCTAAGCTTCCAAGCTCCGAGCCCCTCCTATCTCAGGCATGCCGAGAAAAGAAAGGGAACACGAATAACCACGGCAGCTAAATGTTGCTTACGAAGAGTATGGTCGTCTTCGAAAATGGGTGGCACAAACAGATTCACAAAGATGTACATGCTGACAATCCTCCAAGCGATAAACAAGAATCACCCCCAGTCTTTCATCAATGTCTAGCTCTTCGGGGTTGACCCGTACGAAGCAAGTATCGTGCCAGTATGTTTCCATTTTCGACAGCAGAACGCGCATACTCTAGAGTACTTGCCAGTGCATCGGACTCCTCTTAGACCTATGATCCATCTCAAGAAGAGGACATTTGTGGCTTTTAGATCCACTACCGGGAGCACAGAATATTTGTTCATGCTGGTACTGCATCATCCACGGAAATTGTATAGTTAAAAGAGGCAGAGTTGTCCTGTTTTCCCTGCGGGGTTGAACAAACGAGTGACGGAGGAAGATGAAGGTTTCGAGGTGCTATGAGAGATTGAACGTCCGCTATCACTTCCCGGCCTTGCTAGAACTTGAATAAAGTACTAAATGTTAGCATATCGAGGCCTTAAATGTAGTTGATGATCAGCTAGGAAGCCTTACTTTGATCCGAACAGAGGTATGACTGCTGTCTGCCTTGAGAATAATAGGAGCCAGAGAGAAGCACAGAAGCTCACAAAGCTTGTCTTCAGCGTTGGCAGAAATTTCTCCCATGAATCACTTGCTGGCACTTGGATATCAATTTATTGGCAGCGCTGACTTGGTGACCTTTTATAGCTTTACCTTCACAATGAGACAATGAGACAAATCTGCTTCTAAACTTGACTTTGACCTGCTGTCTCATCTGGCTGGCGATATGGAAGTCTTGCGGTGGTTCAGCGCTCTGCAGAAGACTCTTTCCGATGTTATCCTGGATATACATATATTTCTGTGCTAGAAAAACGAGCCTGAAAATGATCTTGAAAAACGGAGAAAGAAGAAGAAAAAAACAGATACTTGAGCTTACAGAAGGCCTGGAAAACAAATGCAGAAACTAACTATCCGGGCCTACAGAGGGTCTAGGAAGTGAACGTAAAGAATAGCCATCCAGATATAAAGAAGGTCCAATTAAAGAGCTTGGAAAGACATTGTCAACAGACAGGCCACCCGCGCACCAAATTAACCACTGACGATGCGAACTCTCTAGCATTGTCCCTTCCAACAATACATAGGTAGGTACCAACGCCAATTGATACTACCAGCGTTCCAATCAGAAAGCAATCGGTTTCTTGGTGGTTATCCTTGCTGAAGGGTTTTACGCTTTAGACGCGGCTAATGCTTTTCTAATCTGTGGAGCCGTCTTGATGGGAGGATGTCTTCAGTGCCTCCGACAGTGTTATGCGACTGTTGCCTATGGAGCTTATCCCTCAAGTCAGTCCTTAAAGATGGGCATTAAACTGCTACTGCTGGACTTGTGCTCTCCATCATAAACGGATCTGGTTCAGCTAGTAGCCGAGCGTCTCCTTCTCACCCGAGAGCGAGCCAACGGTTACTATTGTCCTGCCACTTATTTTACCGCAAAGGTCATGTCCAACACTATTTTTTTTAGATTCACTTAGCCGATTCTTATGGATTACATCATCTACCCAATGGCGGCTTTAATGCTAGATTCGGCACACGTCTTGAAGTTCATGCTTGTTTTGGTCCTATTTATTCTGGCAGCGGCAGAATTCTGTCTGTTTATCGGCAACGTTTGCAAAAACAGTGATGTAGCTGACCTGAATTGTGGTTTAGTGGCACGGGCTGTTTAATATCTTCTTCGTTGGCTTCTCTGCCACGCTACAGGGTGCTCTATGGCTTTATACGCTCTCTATTTCCCACTATGGCTTCGATATGGCTTCGAATCGCTCATCGTCAACGAAGCAGTTGAGCTTGAGCCAGCTTTTACTCTAGGCGCAGCATCTCTTGTTACAACCCGACTGCCCTTTTCGGAAATGCTAATCTATCGAAAGAGTTTCTTTCGCTTGGGTTGAGCACGCTCGATGGGGAGTGGTTCGAGGTCATCACTGGCTTCGTTGCCAAATTCGAGAAGAAGGTGGTCTCTCCGTTGGAGTGAGGTCTTCGCGATTACAACCATATGCCTGCAAAACAGCCTGCTGGCAAAGGAGTGGAGACAGATGCCGAAAAGAATAAGACGAGGAGCATAAAGCACTATCCATCCCTTGATCGCTTCCTTCGCACTTCTGTGTCAAGCTATTCTAAATGGATATCTCGCCAGGTCGCCCCCGTTGCGTCTACGGCGACGCCATCACGTTTCTCGCCAACAGCCATATATAGACTTTGCATGGGAACAAGTTTCCCATGTCTGTGCGTGCAAAGGTGGCAAGGATAAATAGCCTGAAAAGCTCTCTCTATTACAAAAAATGGAATGAAAAGAAGATACTGACGAAACGCCTTCCAGCTGAGCTTCGAGATCCTGAGTTACTTCCTCATCTGAACAAGCCAAATCCGCGCAACTGAGCCATCTGTGTGAGATTTTTGTCAGTGGTAAGCATGTCTGACACTTGACGTCATATGTGAAGCAATCTCTTTGAAGTGGTTGTCAAGTCCCTCGGATTCCAGCTTCCGAACGTATGGTTGAACTTTTCGTGTCGTCGTGGCGATATCTTTTGGATTCCTTCAGCATTGTTGGCTTCTCAGCTGCTTCGTTGAGTTTGTTTTCGGCGATGTCACGGAGACGACCTAGCAATTGATGTCTAGGTGTGTGTTTGGCTCCCCAGGGATCTCCTGAAGGGCAGTCGCCTTCCATTCGTAGGTCTCTCTGCCTTTGCTTGGCGTTGTTGCTCCACTGATGGACGCTTGGTTTGTGTTGGTGATTGCCCACATCTTGAAGAGATATTTTTCTCGTCGAGGAAAGACCAAAGATAACGAACTCGCAGCTCCAAGAAAAACACCTGAAAACGCCACTGTCACCTGGAGCTGATGCTTTTTCAACCTGTGCGACGTCGGACATTCAGAAGTTCTTGCTTGCGGTGTGCCGCCTGTGTCCTCACAACAAGGGATATTGATGTTTTTCGTTGTATTGGACGATGACCTCGAACCGGCCAAAGTCTCGGAGGAGCTCTTCGTCCTTGACGTTTTTCACGTATCCTGCAATTTCTCTCCAAATAGCCAAAGCCAGGTACTTCGGGGCCCATATTTTGGCAATTTGTCTTTTTCCCTCCCGGTCCAAGTATACACATGAAGTTCCTAATTGATATCCCCCTTCCAAATAGTAATATGGGAGAAACTTTTGACTTCCATTCAGTGGTGTATGAGGGTCTTACCAATCATATTAATGGCTTTGAGCTGGGGAAGTGTCACCTTGGATAGTTGGGTGTATTCAGGCCGATCATTGTTCGCCAGTGCCTTGAGCGCATCGGTAAAACGTTGCTTTACTTAGCTTCAAGTAGTGCGCACGGGAGCTTGTATGACATGATAATCAAACTTCTAGAATCTATCAAAATGTCGCCTCTTGCTAGAGTTCAAACATTGTTCACCAGCAGTATCGACAAGAGAAGCGCCACCGGGGGTTAGAACTTGGGAAGCCATGAAAGATATGACCCCCATTTTCTATGACCCCCATGTTCTATGTCGACATTGTCTCTTTAGTTCTGTACAGTGTATCGAGAGATGCCGAGTTTGATTATAGCGTCAGTGCGGTCTAGACGAACTGGCGTTGAAGAGCCTTGATCCAGTTTTCGACAGAAGCCTTGGCATGTTCCTTCACCTGCAGTGTCGGTTTTGTTTTCGTCAGAGGCCGAGGGGCAAGAAGCCGTGGCTTTGAGTTCTGCATCTTCCAGCCTGGTCAGGCGCAGAGACAGACGTACGAATCCTAAACCAGGCCTCTTGCCTACTGAACGACGTCCCCATCCAACGAACTCGACATGGGACAAAACCAACGTATCACCTCCGTACTAACCCAGGACTTTACTGTCTCTGCAACAGCGGTAATTTTTGTCATTCCATGCCGGGAGCGGAAAAGTATAGAAGCTGTTGCAATAAACGACACGCAGAGACAAGCTTGACCCCTTCATCATCTAAGCCAAGCCCAGCTCGTCGCCTAGAGATTGCGTTCAAGACCATAAGAAAGCTTCTCCTGGTCTAATACACCTCGCTCCCTAACACACGTCCGTATACCATTCTTGAACACATCGCCGTGTCGTAATCAACCTCTCTGCCTGACATGGTAAGATATCTGCCGAGCTCGACGCCCGACATGTTATGTGATGAATAGAACGCCCTCGGGCGCCGAACAACACGCGCAAGAGAAACGTCCTGCCCACGACTGGTAGCTTAACATCTGTCTCTGGATGTGACGGCTGGCGAATTTTCTCGTGGGCAATTGGTTGAAGTAATCCAGCATTCAAGCCTCCAGCTTGAATACTCGCAGATCGTCCGTGTCCTAGGTGTCTTCTTCTCCCATGTATTGCTTCACTGGTTCCTTGCAGATGACTCACATGAACTTGTTTGATGCGTCCGGCGGCTTGTAGGATATGTTTTCCTCTGGAATGGTTTCGTCTTCCATCAGCGATTGCGCTTGTGTTTGTGCAGGTGTCTCACGGGCTGCTCGAGCCTGGTTGACGTTGCAGGCCTCGGTAGAGGGGGCTTCGTCATCCTTGAGAGGTATCTCGTCCTTGTTTGCACCTGCCTGCGTGGTGTTTCGTTGTTCTTCGTCATGCTCTCGGCTAGAGTAGGAACAAAACGTCCGTGATACTGGTCAGGAGTGTAAAATACCCAGTCCTGCCTTCTTTCAACGGTGGCTCGCCGGCATGCCGTACTGCCCTCGCGTGTGAATGTTCTACTGACCGGCAGATTTTTAGCTGAGTATTATTCAGATGTCTCAGCGAACATTGGCTGTTGTATTAAGCTTGCAGCGGTTAAGGAGCCTAAACTGACTATCTCGTCAGGTGGAAGACCTGCGGAGCAGAAGAAGACCAATGGATTAAACGCAGAGATTTGATATGTTCAGCAAAAGACCTTGTACGTCTGTACGAGAGAGACCATCCCACAGATCAGTTCCCGCTAGAGGAAACACAATCCATAGAAATCGACCATATACCTAAAGCAACATTCGAGTCATCGTGCCAAAGCGGGCTTTGAGGCAGTAGACAGCTGACGACTAATAATGTGACAAAAAAAGAAAAGTGACAAAAAGAGACAAGCACCCAACCAGGCGCCAAAAACTGTATAAGTTCAACACTAGCATATGAAACGAGCACAAAATCATAAATTTCTCTCACAAAACCTCTTGCTTGTGTTTCTCACCACCGAAACAGACAACTTCTCGCTCATCATTCCCAGCACGAGCACGAGGGTCGTACTTGATCGAATAATACCTCGAAAGAAACTCGAGATCCCATTGAAGTACTCGTCCCGGTGCTTGCCCAGTTGGGCTCTTAAAGGATTTTTGGCATAATTAGATACATGTGATCCTCTTCGGCTATGCCCCAGCTCTGTTTGCGCCGCGTTATGGTGATGTTGCTGCGGATAATAGTCTGTATCTTTGTGATTCTCGAGATCATAGAGGAGGTACCCAATACCGACACGGGGAGGTAGTGACAAGAAATACTGGCAAGATGCTAGTGTCATTGGTGGTGGGGATGTACGGGTACGTGATACAGGTAAGCGAACATCGGAAGCATTCTGTTGTTGAGAACTGTCTCTGCCTGATTGTTTCGAGAGATTGGCCCTGGCGTAGTACCTGGCGCTGGACTGAAGTCCAATCGTTGGGATTTGGCGGTTTGCTTTATGAATCTTGAATTCAAGGTCAGTCAATGTTATAAGAACGTGATAGACAAATAGCAAACAACTTACCTTTCCAGCGCATCTCCTTGCTCATGGTGGCTCCTCTTGCGTTTCGGCTGCGTTGCTTTCGGACCATTATCCTTTGATCCCTTCTGCGCCTCTTCTGACGCCATCGAAGGCCCAGGGCAGAACTGCGGCTGGCCAGCTGGGGCCTCAAGCAGATCCCCCGCTGACCAGCCACCTTTTTGATCGCATATCCTTGTCTCTCCAGCCTCTTGAGCACCACCTCGGTCCGCTCGCTGGCCAGCATTCGATCGGCGCTGAAGCGCATCAGGGACCGCTGCAGCTTCTGTTTGCTGATTTCTCTTCCGTTTTGCTGGCAGGACGCCCATCGCAAAAGGAAAACCAACCGCAGGCCAGCCCGCTGGGCCTCAATAGACCACCCGCTAGACTGGCCGTTGGTTAAGACGGAAAGGTCCGCGACTAAGGACATCTGACGAAGTCATCTCCAGGATCCTCTCGCCGTCCAGGCGTGGCAGGATGCCCATTGTGGGCCTGTGAGTCGGGACGTCTGGCTTGTCCGAGGTCATAGAGAGGATGTCTTCGCTGTTGTAGCCAGAAATTATTCCGGATTGTTGTGGAGCTGTGCGAACGGTGCTGAAGGCAGTAGAGTAGTCTTGTTGTTGCAATCTATCTTTGCTGGGCCGGTATATCTTCAAGAAGGGCTCTATGTGTGTTGGTCGTCGCAAAGCTGGTGAGTCGCGCCTTGACAACTTCAAAATGATGTTCGGAGACGATAGAGCGTGGTGTACTCTGTATGACTCTATACACAGTTAGTACAAGCAATAAACGCAAAAGCATTGCAGATTCTGACTCACAATAGTGCGCGGTACCAGTGATGTCAAACGCTGGGGCTCAAAAACATGACGAGGCTGTTGAACAGACTCTAAGAGAAGCGAGTGCCATTGGGATACGTTCTGTCCATTGGTTTCAAGAGAATTTTGACGATGTAGCATAATATTGGTAAAGTAGATGGAGTGGTGGATGATTTTTTCTTTTGCTGTGGTTGAGTTTCTGTAGCTGGCACTGCGAAATGAAACAATAATGAGCAAGTTTGTGCCTGCTCATAGATCTGCACGTGACAACTTGGGACTTCGGACTATGACTGCATTTGAAGGCCCATGTCGCAGCTATTGCACGAAATGATTCTAGATGGTAATGTTTTTCCCGTTTTGGATTTGAGATGGAAATGTTTTCTATTCAGATAGCCTGGCTCTCTCCTGCCTTATCAACATGCTGAGGAGAAGGTACAACGGCACTGATACGCCAGACAAACAAAGGAAAAAAGCCTTTTGTTTCCGGAAGCTTCGAGAGACAGACAATTTGCATCCGAGGAGATCAATCTATACCCATTGAACTAGAGCCATGAAACAGAAAACAGCTTTGCAGACCTGATCCAACAGCCTATTAACAAGAGGAATGCGGCTGTGCGGAAGAACAATGGAAAACAGCATTTCATTTCCATGCGCAGCTAAGCAAGATTTCCATTGCTTAACTTGCCAACTTTGCTATAGCCTTGGGTTCGAGCTTCGATACTATGTAACGCGGAGTTTGAGTCTTTTCATTCTGTGACTCTGGGAACAATGCCACTGTGTGAATGTATCGAGATCTCCATTATTTTCAAGTCTGTATCCTCTGACCTTATCCGCAGCTTGGCCTGGCGAACAATGGAACTAGACTAATGATAATGCCATTGAGTGTATTCAGAAAGACCTACACCAATCGTTCATGACTCTTCCCGGGGCCAGTGTCCTCTGTACTCCTATTCATCTACCCCTAGGTATCGCGACGACCTCGTTCCTTCGGCAATATGCCCTTAGCGTCTATCGAAGAAAGAACAAGCATAATAGTACGGATATCAGCTTGAGCTTCGAGCGAAACCAGAGTTCGATTTCTAGCGTTGTTAGCACTTGTATTGAATACACACGGTGGATCGATCCACACACCAAAAGAGCTACAAAACGGAAACCAGACACACTGTTAAGACTATATCTAGCACCCAATTCAATTATGATGGCACTTTTTTCTGTGTAACACCGGACTTTTCAGGAGCTTGGAGGCATCCAATCATGGCAAACACTCGGAGGGTTGGAATCATTGCCTCCAAAGCTTGATCCCCCCTCTGACCGAGTTATAAGGCATATCCATAATTTACTCGACCTGGATTAGAAGCAGCAGGGAACTCTAGCCGGACAAGAGTCATTGGCCCTTACAGCAGCTGAAGGATCTCAATCACTTTATGCAAGTTTCGTCCAGAGAGACAACTTGGCTTGTGTAAAGGTGAGATTTGATTACTCCTTGCCTTCTCTTCTTGCTCTTTATGTTTTAATTTTGCGAAGATTGTGGTCAGCTAATTAATTCGTTTATGTAAGTTAGGTCTTCGACTTAGCGCGATTCGAGATAGACGCTCGCAACAATAACTCGGACGACTCATTCTCCTAAACGAGCCATTTTTGCTATTGCTTTGATCGTGTACCAGCAAATAGCCTTGGGCGAATTCAGATTCTTGCTTACTCGCTTGAAGAATTCTACCAAAATTACATGGCCAATAGCTATCGTGACAGCTTCTTCCCTTCCGAACTGAAATATGGGATACCGGAAGACCAATCCGCTCTCTGATGTGTTCTCGTTCTCGTTCGCGTACAGTAGTCTCTGTTTTAGCAAGGTATCGAAGTGCTAGGGTCTTGTGGAGTCTACAGATACATCCGACACTATAAACAAGTTAACTGGCTTTCCACACCGCAGAGACATTCAAGATTCGGATAAGCTTCTCTCCAGCTACAATGGGGCAGCATTTTCCGTTTGTAGATTGAGAAGCCGCTCCATCGGCCAGGTAGCTGATGGTAGACGCAACGATTCCATGTGTCTGGAACAACTGTCATTAGATGGTGTGGAACAAGCAGGATAGTCCGCCATTGACGAGGCATTAGTGCTAGCAGTAATCTCTTCGTCGGTTAGCAATAGAAGGTCCAGGCTTCGGCGATCAACTGCATTGCGTCCCATCGCGGAGGTTCGCTCTTCGTTGTTCAAACTGACTTCGATCGCGCCTGCTGGTGATTTGGCAATTCTCGAGTGTTTGGGTCTTTCGAGCCATCCATCATTGATGGGTGTGGATAGATTCCTATGCTGTACCAAAAAGCCCCATCGAATTGTCTCTCTCTTCAAGCCATTTTGTCTTGTAGTCATCTGCATCAGAATAAGAGTCAGTATCAGCGCCTCGTTCGCCTTTGTAACACTGTGTAGAGGATCAATCTCCTCATCGGATCTAGCTATTATGGTCCAACGGTTAAGACATCAGTTTGTGGTATTCCTGCAAACCACTGAAGACCGAGGTTCGACTCCTCGTAATGGCACATCTTTTTGCCTTTTTTCTATCTCTTTTTTTCCTTTCTTCAGCATCCTTTTTTCTCTTTCTTCCAGTGCTGTTCTGCCCTGCGTTGCTGTTCTGCGCTTGGAGGTATATGCGCCTCGCCTAGCCTAGGGAGCTTTTCAGGATGCAGGTTTTGGGAGCGAGTTGGCCATGGAAAAGATTGGCAGTACTGATATGTCGATTGATTCTCGCTTTGGATTCTAGTAATTCGGATCGTCATCTTTCTTGTATGAGCTGATATTTTGATCCAGAGGTATCACCAAGAAGAGGCGCGAAAAGGCGAGGCGACTGAAATGATTGATGCCGCCAAAGGGGAGAAAACTGCGACGGGAGCTTGAACAAAGAGAAGTTGAACAAAGGAAGCATACATCTCTTGAGTACCAGTCTCCTTGACCAAATATCTTCGTCAATTATGCGGGCTTTCTATTAGCAGGTCTTCTTTCATATCGAGGCACTGGCAGCTTTGTAGCTCCTTGCTCAGCTTCTCACGAGGCAGTCAATGAGGCACCAACGTCAAACTTGTACATTTTATCTTCATCATCACCTAGGATCTAGACTTCTGTCCAAAACACAATGCCATCCAGCTCGACAAAAGTATTACCACATCATCCAAGCTATGTGATCTTGCCAAAAATAATCCGTTGACTGAAGCCTTGAACCTTGCCCCAACAAACATTCTACCATTGTACAAGAACCTTTTTACCGACAAGGAAAGACGACATGATTAACCAATAGCTTGCTCAATGAGGCTGATATTGAGATAGATCAGAGATGCCTAGATCGCTCGACTGAGACCAATAATCGACTCTTTTTTTCTCTATGCCTTTGTATCAGGCCCACAACCTTTGAGTCTTTGTGTCGGATCAAGTTCAAAGAGATCATTACGCCGTTGTAAAGGAGGACGATGGAAGCAGCAAGAAAAGTGGATGATCGGGTTGAGCCGGCGATGGCCTTCATTAGGTCGACCCTCTAGGGGTTGCGCAGCTGAAGGGGTAGGGCAAGGGGCAGGCAGAGTGTTGCCAAAGGCTGATGTTGCCAAAGGCTGGTGTTACTGACTAGATGTTGAATACCAGCGGCAGGATGTTGTGTTGTCTTGCGGATGGAGAGGTCTTGGCACATGCCGAAGCCTGATTTCGGCAGTAGCAGGAGTAGCCTATGCTATAGCTGGAGTGCTGGATAACCCAGAGGAAGTAAAGAGTGTTTCAATAAATCCCAACACGCAAATGTGTTCCCATAATTCCCGAGTGTCCAGCAGATAATAAGCAAATTGGGGGTATTTGCGTGTAAAAATGATCAAAAGATCAAGAGTTCATTGCGAAGTAGATGCGCAGATGGGCTAAAGGAAAGCCGACCAGTCTCTGAAGGGCCAGAGGATGAGAATGAACAGAACATTGGTGCAAAACCAGAGAATAAGACCCAGATCCAAAACTCCTCCTGCGATGATTCTGGTCGAGTATAGCTTGTTCGATAGTTCGGGGCACGCCACAGGCAGCTCTTCCACCTCATGACGCCTAAGGCAGGCATCAGCACATGTTCAAAGAAGTGGCTAAACGTATGTCCTTTGCCATGAAATTACTTACCGGAAGACCGTAACTCGTCAGGTCCGAGTGAGTGAAGGCTCTTTGAGGGGCACAGTGTCAGGCAGATTTGTATTCTTTGGATCCTGGCTGGGTGAGTCTTCCGGCGTCACAGGCGGCTCTTCCACCTCATGACACCTGCGAGACGTTAGTACATGTTCGAAAGAATCACCAAATGCATATATCTTCCAATAAATCACTTACCGAAAGACTCAACCCAGCCAGGTCCCGAATGCAGAAAGCAAAACAAGTGTATTTGGGATGGAAGATGATGGAGGAGAAAGGAGGGAAACAAAAGTGGCTGCCTACAGCTGCGTAGATATCGACACGTAAATAAGAGGGCAGCACCTTCCAGTTACAAGCGCCACGAAAGACCTACGGTAAGCGCTGTAGAGAACAGCCAGCGGGGAGGAGCACCTTGGATACAGGACGTAATCCACTAGATTAGAGCACTGAGGCGTATTTCTATGCACTGATAGCGCACTATAGAACTGATTTAGGCTGCTAGGTCCGCCGAAATGCAGGTAAAGGCCTAGAAACCTGGGTGGTCGACTGAACTCTTGCATCGACGAGAGCGTGGGATGCGGCTTTGGATGAGGCGGCAGACTGAGGGATACTATGCTTGCAGGATCAGCCAGATGTGAAATGAAACTGAAGGGAACTCGAGCACTGCAGTAGCCTTTCCCATCATACCAAGCAATCGTAACAAAGACCAGAGGGAGCTGTATCATATGGCATCATGCAGATGATTCGCTTCTCGCTGTCACGAGGAAAAATAAAAATACAAAAACAATCCCCTATCATACCAAATATTTCATTTCATTTGCCCAACTTTGGCTTCTGCTGCATAAGATTGATACAATTGTAAGAATAGTGCGCTTAGTCGAATCTAGAATCGCCTGCATGATAAGCAAATGCTCAAAAAGGGAAAGGCGAGCGAAGCAGTAGACTTGCTCCCAATGGGATGGCTTGACGTTCCTTTAATCGCAGCAATATGGACACCAAAAACAATAGCATAGTGCAATTATAAGCACTCCAAAAGCAATATTGCCCATAGACTACATCCCAAACTTACACACAAGGCTCACGTAAAGATTCCTCGTCAGTACTGAAAGACGCGCAGCTCCAGCTCCATCTCTCATGCCGCTCACCTTTGGCTACAGCACCTGGTTCGGGTTTCCTGCTGAAGATTCGAAATGCTGGCACATTCTAGGATTTGTACCCTGCTCTCTCCGGTGAAGATGGACGCTGCTACTCAAGATGTCAGTCGTGATCATGATGACAGTGATGGCTAAATGAATGTAGCTGTCAGATCACACAGATTTATTGTCACAGTCCAAAACATCCGTTATCCCACTTGATCTTTTAACGCACCTTTGCCGCTCTGGCGACAATTGGTGGTAAAACTTCTCCCTTGTTTCTTGATATACGGTCAACGTCTCACCTTTCTCCCGAGAGTGCACCCATGCCATAAGCCCGTTCTACAACGCTGGATCCGAGTTCTCGAATTTTTCCACAAACCTCGTTTTCAGCTGCGCTTACTCTCGAGTCTTCTCTGGGTGCTTTTCCCAGCGTAGCTCCTTTCCCCTTCGTTCTGATTGGAAAATTTGCCGTGGGACCATGTGTCGGCTTTCTTGGCTATGTTGGACTGTCACGACTCGATGTACTGTATCTTCACGTGAAGCCTGAGTATGGCGATAGGGCTACGAAGCGTAGGGCTACGGACGATAGGGTTTGAACAGTAGGGCCACGAAAGCTTTGAATCGTCGAGTTTAACTTAGATCGTAACCCCCAGCGCCTCACAGATGGATAAACGCCACCTTTCTCACCTCGTATCCACCGCAAAACGTCGTCTCGATTAATCATTAAAAGATGCCAAGACCTAGCTCACCGAACGCGAGTTTCACATGCCTTATCATCAATTTCGGCTACAAACCTTCTGTCCTCGTGTATTTTTGCTCAGTTCTACTCCGGTGATTGCTTGCGTACGGCAAGTAATCTCCATATATAAATTTGACTGCTGCAGATTGCGTGTCGGGGCTGCGAAATGGCTCCCTCCGCTTGAACCCATTGCAGAAGAAAATGAACACACAAATAAATAAAAAAATCCCACTTTTTTAAACAAGAAGCCTCAGTAGTTTAATTTTTCAATTTTTCCCCAGGATTTATGGCGTAAATCATATCTTATTGCATGTCTATCAAGGTACACGCAGCCACTTCCAGACGCCTCCGCATGTAAACTCTGGGATTTACCAAAGCAAAAAGGAAAGATAAGCATCTAATCTTGGTCAATCATGGCGAATAATGAAAATTTTTATTGTGTCAACAAAATCAGATTTAGAAAACGTGCAATAGATGTGCCCTTTTTGCGCGCCATGCAACGCTTTCGGCCGGTTACTCAACTTTAAAAAGGGGGGAGGGCTTGGAAAAAAGAAGACCTCTTCATGTACTGCGACAAGCATTTTACTTTTGAGAATCGATAATAAATATACCTATCCAAGTATTTAGTGGTTACATTGCCTTGGTGCAAATTTTTCGTCTTCTAGAATGCCGCCACTATCCCCATTCTTTGGCAGGCGCTTCCATCTCAATCTCTGCATTCACGATAGTCCTCCTGGAGTCGCAACTGGACTGACGATACCAGATCGCTTAGTAGCCAGATACATCGCCCAGACAGCCGTATACTATGCGTAGCTGATTTTTTGGCTCCCTCTTCTCTTTCCTTCTCTCGCCGCTCTTCACCTTCTTTTCTTCTCTTTTTCTTTGGAGAGCATGATTTTAACCTTCTCTACGCTTTTGCGAACGACACGAAGCTCCTTGGGAGGTCTCGATGCTGTTTGTGATCAGCCGCTCAGCTTTCACAACAAGGGCAAGTTAGAGAAAAATCGGATAAATGTGGTATCTGTAAAGACTTTTTTGTGTAACAAACGTCCACAAGACAACTCCAGTGTGTACTACGGTACAACACAAGAAAAAGTTTTTTTGGGTGGCATAAAACGTAGATACGTACCTACGCCTATAAAAGAGCAGACCATTCTCAAAAATATCCAAGACTTACAGTCTTCTTTATACAGTCAAACAATTGTTCAAACACCACCCTTAACATCTCTTCATTCCCTAGGCGTTATTGCTGCAACATCCCCCCCTGCACCAAATCAACGCTATATTACTGCACCATATCATCGCACCAGATCTGCGTCTCACTGCGACTGGAAGGAATAACACCTCGTCAAGGACCTTCCCAATCATTCATAACCATCATCTTCTGCCACGGCTGCAGTCTCTACATCCATCGTACCATACCAAAATACCTTGACAACCTTCTCGTCCAGCAACAAGACACCAATCTTTGCCCACAATGTCCGACATCCCACCCTTCTGCGTCTACATCCATGGATGCCCAGGCTTCCACAACGTAGAAATCAGCACAGAGCTGAGCTTTCTCATAAAAAGATCAGAGGTCCTAAAAATGGGCGAAAATATCGACGGCATAGGCACGCGTGTGCCATGGGCTGAACTGTTTGCCGAAAGCATGCACCATATCTTGCTTGATGCAGCCAGTGACGCCGATCAGGCAAAGCAACATTCGTGGATCTTTTCCGACTTCCGCGGCAGAGCGACCCTACCTGCAATGAAATTGCCTGTCGAAGCCTACGAGAATGCCGCCGACAGCTTGGGACAGCCCTTTGTTCACGTCATCCTCCGCTGCAAGTCGGAAAGGCTGAATAGCTACAACAGGCTTGGGCGAAGTGTCCCAACCACCAATGTTCACGAGTTCTCGGTATTCGAGGAGATATGGAATGTGGAGGAAATTAGGGCTTCGCGGAAGGCGAACGAGCTGGAGGTGGATATCGGGGATATGGGGGCAAAGGAGGCCGCGAAGATGATACTCGACGGGATATCCACGATTCTGCATTTTTAAACAGGAGTTTGCATTGCGTTTGGCTGTTCTGGGAGCGATTTAAAGAAAAGCCAAAAGCGTACTAGTTTTCGTCGGCAGACTGTAACAAATACCCAGAGTGTAACAGAAAAAGAGAAAAAGAAAACATACCCCTGTTTTACGAAACAATCTTCTTCTAAGCCAGGTACATTCACATGGAAGTCTATAGTATCAATGACGAGCCAAGTAAAACACATCTTAAGCATATTTACCACCAGTGTTTTTTTCTTTGATAACTCCAATCTTCCAATTGCTGTCCTTGAAGGAACTTCTCCAGCTCTCGAATCAACACACGCGTCTACAGTATTAACTGTCATTGGAAACAAAATGCACATTGAACGTGTTCACTAGCAAGGAGCAGTACTTTGTTCTTCATCCTTTATTCCCTGGCATTCGGGTTCTATTGAGATCCATAAAATATGGCTGTGTAATTCTGCAGCCCGCCGTGTTATTGCACGTTTTTGCCATCTGATCTGACAACCTGCCATGGCGTCAAGGCACCCACGCCAACCGCCTCATTTACGGCAATGCGGTGTCTTCTGTCTTAAACTTTTAAACCTCTTTTTCTTCTTCCCCTTTCATAAAAAGATCGTCCCTTCGTGATATGCAATTCGACTTCCTTCTATATGCGGCACTCATCTAGTCCTTGTCCAGTCGCACGGCAGCGTTTCTTTCAATGAAGTTCAGGTCTACTTGATGACCAAGCAGCTCACGGATGTTCTGGATGGCGTATTTGATCATGGTCGGTCTCTCCAAGCTGAGGCCGAATCCGTACACTCTCAGGTCTTTGGGCAGTCCCATAGCCTCCAACATCTCTGGTCGGAACATGCCACTGTTACCAATCTATCAAAGTATTCAGTTAGTATTTCCGATATGTCTTGGGCGATAGTCCTTTGCAGTTCTTACCTCTACAAGCTTTTTCAAGCCCTTGTGGTAGCTGAAGAGCTCCATACTAGGCTCTGTGTAGGGGTTGTATCTGTTTCTTGTGTTAATAGAGAGCAATATACTGCTAGGATAGTCTGTTTTCTTACGCAGGCTTGAATTTGAGACTAGAATGTTTGTTAGCATGGGTACTTGCACAAAGATTTGTAAGGCAAAAGATTAATACTCACTCAGTCAATCCCATCTTGTGGAAGAAGGTCTCAAAGAATTCCATCAGACCACCGAGGGTCAAGCCGTAATCGGCAATAACACCTGTAATTTTTATTAGCTTCTCAACTTAAACACTGGATGGGCATCTAGAGAGCTTACCCTCGACCTGGTGGAACTCGCAAAGGTGTGTCGCATCGACAGCCTCATTTCTAGGACATGATAAGCTTCTGTGTCTTGCCATCTATAGCTGAACGCATCTGTGCTTACCTGAAAACTCGGTCGATGGAGAAATAGCGGGCAGGAGGAACGCGTCCATCGGGGCCCTTCTTTGCTGCCAGCTTATGCAGCATAGCAGCGGAGACAGAGGTTGTGTGAGTGCGGAGGACGAGTCTAAGACTTGTTAGGCTGAAATAGATCAATTACAGCTTTGTTTTCCATAAATCCATACCTTAATGACTCCTTCTCTGCCCAGGGGTATCGGTAGCCAATTGAGCCGTACTTTCCGTTCTCGTGTACCTGCTTGACGTTCTCGAAGTACTCGTCGTAGTTTTGTCTGTCGTCTGCAGAGACGGGACCAGGCCGGCCAGCGGTCAGGGGGTCGGAGATGTAGAAGGTGTCTTGCAGATCACGAGCCGGGTGTTGCTAGTTCAATGTTAGCGATGGTAAGAAGTGGAGATTGGCGTTGAATTGCGCTTACCTGAGGAACGAAGAGGGCATCGAAGTTCTATAGTCCAGTATTAGTATTCGCAAGTGATATTAATGCTTAAATACACAATACCACCAATGATAAAAACAAAGGTATCCATAAACTGGAGTTCGCAGATTGATACATACCCAGAAGCCAGTCTCGATGTATTGATTGGTAGGCATCTCGGTGAAGCCAGTCTCGAAGAAGATTTGCCTGCCCAGAATATCATATTAGTACCCAACTCCCCATCCAAGCCTCTTAAAGCCGCCATTGAAGAGCAGAATCAACTAACCGGAATTCATGTCTCATCTTGTTGAGCGGGTGAAGAGCTCCAGAGACCTGATTCGCGCCCAAAGCCTTGAAGTTGTATGGCTCTAGAAGTCAAATGTCCCATCGTTAGCCAAGCTTGCAAAATCAAAAGTCTAATCTTCTTATTAGGCAGTAGCACTGACTGAAATTTGCCGACTTCCACGATCCAGACGCCAGCATGTCGGCCGTCAAATCAGTCTCCTCCTTGACAATCTCCAGCGCAAACTTGGGTCCCTTGGACACCTTGAAGGAAATGACCTTTTGGGTGTTGAGCAGCTTCCGCTTCTTCAGGTCGGCAATGATTTTGGCATCGTGTGATTTCGTCTCCTTGATGAACTGGAGCTGAGCTCTCGTTACGTCCTCGATTGTGTCGACCTAAGCATGACAAGTCAGGCCCATGTAATCAAAATTCCATACTCAAAGCCCAGACGAACCAGCGCAACAAGCTTGTTGTCCTCCTTCTTGATCCACTTCTCCCTAAAGGCCTTGCCCTGGCCAACCTTTGTCACATTCTTGTCGCCAATCGCAGTCTCCAAATCGGAAATCGAGAGGCCCCCCAGAGCCTTGTGCACCGCATCGAAAACGCGAGCCTCGTGGCTTCCGTGCTGGACAATCTCCTCGGCCTCGGCCTCCAAGATTGCCTCCTGTCGCTCAATCTGCTCATAGATAACCATGGACCGCGAAGAGAGACGGTCCAGGGCAGCCTTTGCGGTGTCAAAAGGCACGTTGGGGAACGCCTCGGTCGAGAGAAGCTGGTCGGTGTTGGCCAGCGCCTGGAGAATCGCCAGGGCGATATCGCCGGTGGGATCAGCGGATACGGGAGCCATGATATGACTTATGGAGGCGCTGGTGACGTTTTTTTGGTGTTGGCGCAACCGCTTCTCTCTTTGTTTTTTTCAGGCGTTTTCGGGCTTCGATATCGGGGTCGCTCTCGAAAGGCTCGAAAAGGTGACTCAACTTTTGGTTATCAAATGGAGGGGGAGGGGCAGAATCGCGGATAGCGCTGCAACAACATTGTTCCGAGCCGCCGAGGCGATTTGCGGAGGACACCAAAATTCCAGCCGAAATACGTGAAGTACTAGGGTAGGCAGCTTGAGAAACAGTAGAAATGGAAGAGGGAGATTGCAAGAAATTACTTCAGGGCAGAAATAGAAAAATGGAGAGAGAGGATATTAACCGCATATGCCGGGCTAGATTACTTCTTTTTTCCCTTTGCCTTGGCTTGATTGTTTCGATATAGGTTTATCTTGCACTCGACATCAGATTCCTACCCTTTGTCAATGTCTCCCAATTTGCCTCGACGTCTTTCGATACGCCACATTCTGACAAAAATAGAGCCTCCAGAGCTCGTTTATTAGTACACTTGGGGATGCTGGCCTAGTAAGCTTGTTCATGTTTCTGCTTGTCTTGCTTGGCTGTTCAGAATACCGACTAGACCAGGAGTTCGCTTCATTCCTTGCGTTGGTCGTCTATGAGGCCTCTGACTGTCACTTCACGAGCGGACTGTCTTCGGCGTCATAAGATTGAGTCTCGAGTTCGTTGGCCTTTGGTGCTAGAGTGTGAAACCATGATTGCTCTGACAATTTGTTTTCGAATTTGCTTTCCAAGTAGCGCTAAATATTACAACACAATACATCACGATGCAAATGCCAACAAAGTACCAAAAAGCCAAAATTGTTTTCTATTTTTTTTTGTATCTATCTAATTTTTAAATTTTTTTGTGTCTATTTCCTTCATTTGGCTTGATATCGCAAACACAAATTGGCTGCAGCTCAAATGAAACTCCATGTCAAAGTACATCACCTAATCTCGTGCCCTTGTATCCGTCCAAAAGTTATACCTCGAAGCAATATTTGTTCACTCCTCGTCAGTGGAGTCATCCTCAAAGGGCTCACCATCAATGTCCTCATCGGGGTTGGCCTCATCGGGCCTAGCTTCATCACCTTTGAGCTCATTGTCAAGAGTGTCAGCATTGATATTGTTTCTGGCCTCTTCGTCTGGGACCATGAAGTCGAAAGGGCGTCTTGCACCAACGCAAGAGCCAAAGACGTAGGCGGCGCTGGACGAGCCCAACATGGTGGCTTGGGCGAAAAACTTCTCCCTGGCGACGGGGGTGTCTTTGACGAGACTGTCAGAATTGCGGCGTCGCTTCCGGGGGTTGAACATCAAGACTGGTGGAGGAATATGCTTCTCAGGCGATGGAGAGTCGGGCCTCTCAGACGATTGAAGGGTGGAAGTCTCAGACGTTTGAAGAGTGGAAATCTCAGAGGATTGAAGGGTAGAATTCTCAGATTGAAGGGTGGAATTCTCAGATGTTTGAAGAGTGGAATTCTCAGAGGATGCATGGTTGATATTCTCAGATTCAAGGTTGGAATTCTCAGGCGATGGGGGGTTGGGTGATGCAGCCGAAAAGAACTCATCCTCTGAACCATGGCTCAACGCGCTCAGTGGCGTGAAGCTGCGGCGGCCCACAGATCTTGCGGCTTCTGCTGCCGCGATCAAGGCACCCTCCTGGGCTCTCGCCAGTTCAGCTTCAGTTGGCTCTGCAGTCAAGTCTATCACGACTCGAGTTGACGCGGCGAAGCTGCGCTCTGCGGTTTTCTACTCCGCAGTCCGCTCGTTGCCACCTCGCCAAAGGCCGTAGAAGCCCTCGCAGTTCTTCCACATCTTGATAGTTCCGTCCTCCGAAGCAGTGGCATAGAGTTGGCCGTCAGGTGAAAAGGCAATTGACCAGATGGGGCCATGGTGGCCCTTGTGGACGTCAATCACAGAGTCATCATCATAGCTGACAACTCTGGCCCAAGTTCCAGGCTCTTCTCCGACGACGACCTTGCGTCCTTGGACGTCAAGACCAACACTAGCAATGGTGTAAGGAAAGACAATGCTCTTCAGAAGTTCAAAGGCACGTCTGCCGCCCCAGAAGTAGGCAGTCTTGCCCGCAGCGACGGCAAGAACAGGCAATCCTCCGCCAATGTCATGCTCAGAAGACCATTCGGGCGCCAGGGAAACCATTTCGCAGGAGCGGATCTCGCCATCCAAGACCTCCTGGTGAATGACAGAGCGGGAGGGAATATCCAACCAGCGAAGAGTCTTGTCACAGGCAGTCACGAGTACGTTTGGATCATTAGTCCAGCAGATGAACTTGATGGCGCCTTGGTGGGAACCCTCGGCGATTTCAAAACCGGCCGAGGCAGGGATGGTGATGGGCTCACCAGGGGTGGACTCGATCTCAGAGAGGTCAAACACGCGCAGTTTTTTCTCCATGCCGCCAGTGGCCACCAGATCCGAATTGTCAGGCGCATACGCAACGGCACGAACAATGTGCTCATGTTGAAGGGTGACCCGGAGCTCTCCCGTATGAGTGTCCCAAATCTTGCTGCATGCCCCTAGTTAGAAATCGTGTACATGAATATCAAACAAGATGCTTCCACGAGCAGGGTGAAGAAGAGACGGCATGATAAAGAAAGACGGCATGAACTCACCAGGTAAAGTCAGCCGACGCGGTGGCGGCATTGGAAGCATCTGGACTCAAACGACACCCCCAAACAGCACCCTTGTGGCCCAGGAAAGTGCCAATCCTGGTAGCACAAGATTAGCACGACGTCCCATTTCTGACAGCGCAGCACAAAAAGAGAGAGACGGAGTCTGCATGTACTTACCAATCGCCGGTGACACCATCGCGGAGCATGGGATTGCCGTCTGCAGGTCAAGGTCAGCACAAATCAAGTTCAAAAGAAAATCGCCGCCTGCTGCCGGATTGCTACAAGACATGTGCATACCTTTGCAAGCTGAGAGCAGATAATAGGTCTCCTCTTTGACGAGGTGGGAGAAGCTGATATGAGGAACTGGACGCGAGTGTCCGTGGCACGTCAATGGCACGTACTGACGGGGGGTTTCCGCAGCCATGGTGATGGTTGACGATCAGATCGCGTGAACTGGTTCGACAGTTGACTGGAGCAATTCCCTCAAGGACAGAGATTGGAAGACCTGGAGTTGAGAAAGAAATTCTTTCAAGGACAAGAATTGGAAAACTTGGAGTTGAGAATGAAAGGGAACCCTTCAAGGACAGGAACTGGAAGAATTGGAGTTGTCAAAGATTCTTCCGGAGAAAGGTTGAAGAGAAAGGGAAAACAAAGTGGGCGGTCAGAGGGGGGCCAGGAAATAAAAAGGACAGCAGTAAGTGACTCAAAGCTGGCAGCTGGCGAGGGAAAGAGCGTGCAGACCGAGCTCTGAACTCAACAACCGGGAAGGAGGAGGGGCTTGGCGAGTATAGTCTGGCGGTCAAACTCCGCGAGGAAGGAGGGAGAAAAGACCAGAAAATTCGTAAAGCTTCGTCAACGGCGCCGCAGAGTATTATCTATTATATTCGATCGGGTATTCGATCGGTAAAGGAAAACAGATTGAGTCTTTTCGAACTATTCCGTGCGGTCCAGAGTCTATGAAAATCAAAGAAAAGCGTCGTGTCGTATTCGCGTTCTAGTTTGGTCCGTTCATGCAAGGGAAGGAAAGAGCTTCTCGCAGCAGGAATCGTTCGCTTCGTTCGCTTCGCAATACGTCAGAGGTTGAGCCCAACGCAACGGTGCCTGCCTGAATTCGAGCGGTGGAAGAGGCGGTGATGTAAACTGCGGGCAAAGAGGAGAGAAGAGAGGAGGGGTAGGGAGGAACGGGTGAGGAAGAGAGAGAGAGCGTCGTTGCAAGCCCCTTGGACACGGAGGTTTCAGAGGCCAGAAAAAGACGAGATTCAGAGTAGCAAGACGCTTTTACGCTGGGTGCTGGGGATGGAGACACGGCGGGGCCGCTTAGCTATCAGTGGCTGTCCAGCGTTGGCAACAGATCACTGGAGCTGTAGAGTGCCAAGGGCTTTGCAAAAAAACAGGGACCGACAATGAATATACACATTCATAAAAGCAATAGAGGCACTATAACCATCTACGCTGATGCTTTGAGTATGTGCGTGTGGCGCGCGTATGTGTGCAGATAATCCCTCTAGTCTCTATTCTTCTGTAAGCCCCCTAGACTGCTAGCTGTCCCCTGTTTCAAGGAAATTGGAGACCTCAGCCACGAAAGGAGGGGTAGATAGAGCTCATGTGGCGCTATGGGATTCCTTATTTGCAGGATTCTAAGCATTTCAACGTCTATTAATTTTTTTTTTGGCTGTGTTCATTTCCACGATAGTACAAACTGGAAACTTTTCTCTCTTATATTTCATTTCTCCTCTATCTACTCAAAGCTGCATAAAATCAATACACCAATAACAAGCTACTCTTGCTGCTACTTGCTCTCACATGCTTGAATGACTCTCCAGTCTCATTGGACACCATTCGCGCACAAGCCACATCTTCCACTGTATTCTGCTGACTAACGCACCACCCCCTCTGTATCCCCCAAAGCCAACTGGAGCGCTGCCCGCTAAATTACCCGCAGAGGCGCAACTTCTAGTGGGGTTGGCAGCAGTCATCAGCCGAGTACGTACTCCCGGCGGTTGATGAGCTTCCATCATCATCCATTCAACTCTGTCTCTTCTGTCCCAAACGCGCCCAATCGCATGACAAAGCAATTCAGCCTTGCTTCATTTTAGCGATTCCAGGCCACTCTGCACCCACTGGCCTTGCCTCTCCATTGCTCTTTTCTGCTTTGATTGCTCCCCCTCGTCTTCTCTCTTACTCATCAGCGACATCATCGTCATCAGCTCCCCGCCAAACAGAGAATCGCTCCCAAAGCATGGCCGAGTTCAAGCTTTCAGCGCAGCTTCTTGGCCACGAGGCTGACGTACGGCAATCTCTACCCTCCTCTACCCTCCATGATTCAAAATAGTTCCAAGATTCAATTTGCTAACCCCCCTTCGCCCCTGTAGGTGCGCGCTGTCAGCTTCCCTTCTCCCGACTTTGCCCTGTCTGCCTCTCGAGACTGCACCGTCAGAATATGGAAGCGAACATCGACAAGCCCCCCAAACTTTGAAGGCAGCCTCGTCAGCCGTGGCTCTGAATATGTCAACAGCTTGGCCTTCTTCCCGCCGAATCAAGATCACCCCAATGGCTTCGTCGTCTCTGGAGGCAAAGACACCATCATTGAAGTTAAATCACCCAACGCGGCGGCCACCGATAATGCCGAGAGGCTCCTCATTGGACATGCTCACAATGTCTGCACTCTTGACGTCTCGCCCAAAGGAACGTACCTCGTTTCAGGAGGCTGGGACGGTCAGGCCCGCGTGTGGAACCTTAGCAAGTGGGAGACTGAACTCCAGCTTGGTGGCCATGAAGGCATGGCGGTTTGGAGCGTTGTAGCGTTCGATGAGACCACAGTCGTGACGGGATGTGCGGATAAGAGCATTCGAGTGTTTGACCTCAGGCAGTCAACAGGCGGCGAGGCTATGCCTGTGGCTACCATATATACCCCCGACGTTGTTCGGGCTCTGTGCAAGGTCCCCAAGGGACATCCCAGTGGCGCAGACATTGCCAGTGCAAGCAACGATGGCACCTTGCGGCTGTGGAAACTCAATGGCCAGCAGGTTAGCGAGTTGCACGGCCACGAGAGCTTCGTGTACAGCCTCGCAGGCTTGCCCTCTGGAGAACTTGTCAGCACTGGAGAGGACCGAACGGTCAGGATATGGAGAGGATCTGAGTGCGTTCAGACCATCACCCACCCTGCTATATCTGTCTGGACAGTTGCTGTCAACCAAGAGACTGGAGACATCATCACGGGAGCGAGTGACGGCATTGCACGCATCTTCACCCGGCGTCCAGAAGCCACAGCCGATGAGGCCACTCTCAAGGAGTTCCATGACTCTGTTAAAGCATCAGCCATTCCCCAGCAACAGGTTGGTGGCATCAACAAAGAGAAGCTGCCTGGCCCTGAGTTCCTGACCTCCAAGGCAGGGACCAAGGAGGGTCAAGTGCAGATGATTAAAGAAAGCAATGGCAACGTCACAGCGCACACCTGGTCCATGGCTCAGCAGCAATGGATCAACGTGGGCACCGTCGTGGATGCAGTTGGCAGCACGGGCAAGAAGGTCGAATACAACGGAAAGTCGTACGACTATGTATTCGACGTCGACATTGAGGATGGAAAGCCGGCGCTTAAGCTTCCCTATAACCTATCTGAGAACCCTTACGAGCGAGCTACCAAGTTCCTCAACGACAACGAGCTGCCTCTGTCATACCTTGACAACGTTGCCAACTTCATTACCGAAAACACCAAAGGAGCCACTCTTGGCCAGCCTGAGCCTTCTTCCGGGCCTGATCCTTATGGAACCGAGTCGCGTTACCGCCCAGGCGAATCGCAAGCTGCAAAGGTATTACCGCAAAAGGAATACCTTAGCATATCTGCAGCAAAGTACGAGGGTAAGTTTTTAAATAACCTTTGGCATGCAAATGCAAATGCGAATGGAATAAGATTATTAACAGGTTAATCATAGCTATTCTTAACAAAATTGGCAACGTTAATAAGACTATGGTGGCGTCTGGCCGCAAAGACGTGGCTCTTAACCCTGGAGAGGAGAGTGTCCTGCACTCGTCCAAAGAAGCACTGGATTCGTCAAAGCCCATCTCGCTTCCAACCTTGAACGTGATTCTCAAGGTTGTTACCGAGTGGCCATACGCTGATCGACTGGCTGGTCTTGATCTACTCCGCTGTGTGGCTAGATTCCCTATCGCAGCACAATTTAAAGGCCCAGGAAACGAAACCCTTATAGATATAGCCACAGCATCGGCCATTCCTGATGACTTCCCCCCCAATGATAACGCGGCCATGATGGGCGCTCGAACACTTGCCAATCTATTTGGCTCAGCCGATGGCCGAAGCCTGGCGAAGTCTCAAGCAGATAAGGGTATTTCATTCTTGGAGCGCATAGTAGGAATCAAGGGTGGAGAGCCGATTGGCAAGTTTAATCGAAATGTGCTGGTTGCGGTGACAACCGTGGCTGTCAACTACTCTGTTCTTGTTAATAAGGAGAAGCTGCTGAGTCCCGATCAGCGACGACGGCTGGTTGCTGTGCTTGGCGCAATCCTCAACGACCAGACCGATTCCGAAGTGCTGTACCGTGCTTTGGTGGCGCTTGGAACCATCTTGTCAACATCCAAGGACGAAGCCAAAAGCCTAGGTAATGCAGCATGGATAGAAGGCGCGGCGACCAAGAGCTCGGAAGACAGAATCAAGGGAGTCGCGAGCGAGTGTTTGAAGGTAATTCCGCGATAGGCGCGCAGCGATAGATAAGGCGGATATACATAAAGGGTAAGGGAAGACAAAAGGAAGGATATGAATAGACATGAAGCACGATAATGAAATCTACTTATGATTTGAAGCATGCATAGTAATTACAAAAGTTGGCGTCTTAAGGATAAATCGCGTTGCTCTCTACATATATTGCAGGACTCTAAGCCATATGCAAGTACCATATGCAAGTGCCATATGCAAGTAAAGTAATTGTAATAAAGATGTATAAATAGATTTATATACAAGAGTAAAAGATGGCTTCTGCCTCCGATTTTCGTAAACACCAAAAACGCCACTGTCCTGTTCCCACGCCATGAGACCGAGAGATTGACAAGAAATTAAGCAGAAATGGCACCAACTCTCGTCAAAACAGCGAGAATCCAGGGGTATATAATGAATTATGCAAAACCAAACAAAGAAAAGGCCGTTAAATATCAGGGCGATGCTTTATCATCTTGCGACACAGAATCAACGCCAATCGCCGTTACCACAGAGTCAGGCCTATCGCCCCAATAGCCAGTGGCAGCCATCCCGCCCAGCCATTGCTAAGCAGCGAAACAGCCGAGGAGGTTGTTGAGGCGACGACGTCGAGGACGGGGTTCGTTGTGGTGACGGTGTAGATTTGGGCGAAGCCGAATTGCGTCGAGTTGAAGCAGTTTGTCTCGTTGACGATGGGGATGCGGGGGTCGCCGGGTTCGGCAAAGATGATGTCGACGCACTATTTGTACTTGTAAGCATTTAAATTCACCTCTAAGGCCCAAAGAGAACTCGTTAAAGTCAAAAAGGCCTTTACACTTACAGAGTAAAGAGCCGCGCCATGCTGAGCCAGCTCAACAACCTGGATCGTCGCCATATCGCCCGCCTTGACAGTCGCCCCAGCAGGAAGCGGCACCTGAGGCAAGCATACAGTTCCCGGGTAAGGGTTATTCGACGGTCCCAGGAGCATAAATGGCTTGAGCATGATGTTGGACATGTTTGGCGGGCCGCTGTCGGGCCCGTCGGTGCCGTATCCGAGATTGATCTGGAGCTGGGCCTGGAGGTGGCCGCGGAACCAACCTGGCTGGAAGGAGACGGCGCCGCCGGTGGTGGGCCAGTATGTGCGGTTTCTGGAGGTTCCTAAGCCGCCGCCTGGTTGGGGTTGTGTTAGTTGGATTTCAATGTTGTTGTGAGATGATGCTGCTTACATGGATACATCCACTGCATGCCGTAGGGAAAGGTGTCGTTGGTGATGAGATTGTTGCCTCGCGTTCCGGGATAGACGAGGACGCTGTGGGCTTCGATGAGGGCCGTCAAGGCGAGGGAGAGGAGTAGTGACAGCCGCATGTTGTTGTTACGTGTATGTGTATAGGTATGTGCGGGTGTATGTGAGTAGCTCTCTCTTTCGTATGAATAAAGATGATCGGCTTGGTGTGATAATCGACGTGTGTCTCAAAGCTTAGGCCTTCTTTCTTTGCGGATCGCTTCGTTTCCAAGGTATCGGATAGAAATTTGAGGTGTACGTATAGAAGGAATCGCAGATCGGCAATGTAGCTGATTCCAACTGGCTTTGAAATGTTCTCTTCCTCCGACTGCAGTAGTCTCACTCTCGTAAGTCGTGGGGCGAATGTCCAAAGGCCCAGCCTCTTTTTCTCTTTCTCAGTCTCTTTCCTTCAATAACAGATATATGCTTGCTGGATATCCAAATTGTATTAGCGATAGACCAGAAGAGTCTTCAGTCACAGCGATTGCGTCGTTCGCGAGAACCAACAGAAACACAAGAGTGTAGGAAAAAGGGAAGAAGCGTGCGCAGCCGCCAGTCTTAAGAAATGGTCATCTGGGGGCCGAAAAGAGAAGCAAGGCCCGCCCTGGCCCATCCATCCGTCTTAGTGTCCCAGTGGGTGGTGTGTGCCGTGCAGCACAAGTAAAAGAGAATGGGGAGGGAAAAAAGCCGCCATTGCGTCTCGCAGCCGCCCAACTGCCTCTCGCCCTTCCCTGAAAAAGGATAGACGCCACCCCCCGAGACGGGGACCAGGCCGGGCTAGGCCAGAGCTGGAGAACAGGCGAGAGAGACGCCGCCGCTGAGTGGACAGCAGATCGAGAAGCTGTCTTGTCCCAGCGGATTTTCCCCGCTGTGATTCGAGCACTGCTTGGCGCGCACCGGCCCAATCAGGGAAGACGATCTCGTAGCTGCAGCCGTTGGCCCTTGTCCAGTAGCCTCGATAATTCCGAACTAGACTTGGGCCACTCTCTGGTTCTTGTTCCACAGAGAGACGGGCAACGACAGCCGGTTGGATGCTTGCGCGAAGCTAAGGCGAAGGAACGCTCGTACAAGCTGCAGAAATCTTGGGCCGGAGCGAGGACAATGCTTGCTGGCTGTCGTAGCGAGATCAGTAGAAGCAGTGTTAGGACTGGAGCCATTGGAACAAGAGTTGATTTTGGCTTTTCCGTACTCGGCCGGTGCCTCGTGTCGTCGGCACGTTTCCCATAAAACGCCACTGCTTATTCAAAGCTTCTAGAGCTGCCAACGTCAATACCTCCGACGCCACAGCGGATGTAAGATTTGTAATGGCCGAGTTTACCCTGTTGATACAATCTCGCAACTTGCCGCTTTCCAGGAGTGGTAGCACAAATGTACATTCCACATGCAGTCTCTGAACCGGTTCAAGCTACTCGCAAACGACTCGCCCAACCAAGTTTCTCCTTGTCTCCTCCTCCTTTCCTCCATCCAAGGCAGGAGCCGGCACGCCAAGACGGAAAAGGATCGAGAATCCAGCGCTGCCGGCAAGGCCAATCAACTTCCCGTGGCGCTTTCTGAGGCGTCACAATGCTGATGTGAGAAACCGGCGACGCTGGTTGGCCCGCGGGCCCTTTGGCTGTGTAATGAATTAAGCGCCCACAACCCTGTCAGTTTCGCGAGCCGGTGGGCTTTGCGGAGCGAACATCCCCCAGCCAATCGCCAGCGGGATGGGGCCATGCGCTAAAAGGGCACCTTACCAGATTGCAGATGAAGTATGCAAGGGCGGCCACTCGGCGATGGCCCAATCGCAGACAACGAAGTTGATGAGCGTTTTCTTTTGGGACGGAGCAGCTGCAGTTGTGGATCGATATCTCGTTGCCTGTCTGGGAAATGGCGCAGGATGTGCTTCCGTTGAAGACTGCAGTGACGAGGGGTGATTCTTTTGTGATTGTTGGTGATGTCTGGCAGAGCACGCATATGCACGTTGATATGGATGTGATGGCACGATGCTATGGTGATGGTTCTAGTTTTCTCTCAACACGAACTTTTTGTTAGCATACATATTGCCGCATCTGTCCACGGTGGCTCGACCTGCTCTGACCTACTTGTACAAGCAAGAGAACAGCCCCGGAGATGATATGCTCGTAGTAGTAGGTAGTTCTATCCAGGCACGACAGCGGCTATTGCGGCAAAAAGGGACCGAAGCCGCGGACAGGCATTCTAATCCCCTAGCCCTCGCAGGCGTAGACTTCGTGCAAGATGAGCGTCCGATCAGCCGATATACGATTTGCTAGCCGCTGTCCATCCTCTGCTAAGAAGACAGGCGGCGGTTAGCCAGGGGAGCTGACGGTGGAAGTGGAACCAGAATTGCTACCTAGGTACTTACCTAGGGCTCTTTGCTATGCGACGACGACTCTCTTGAGCTCATCAGACGACTGCCTTGACATGTATAGCTTTGTCGGACTGGAAGCGCTAAAGGATAACGGTAACTTGCAAAAACTCGTAAAGCTAGTGCTACTTGGCAGTCATTGAGTCGCTATGGCGGCGTCATTCGAGCGAAGTGGTTTAAAGCATCTGTAATGCATTGGACTTGCGATTCTAGTTTTCCTCTCGATTATTCACCCTCTGTAGTATCCCGATCAAGTTTGCCCGTCTCCATTATGCTTCTAGTTAATTTGCCAATGCCCACAATCCCTCAAGAAAAGCCATAAGCAATATAGGAAAAGCCCAATGTGGTGTTTCTGTTGAGCAGGGGCAGTGGTCGCAAATGGTTCTCTTTGGCCGTCGTGGTGGCCTGAGTGAGCTGAGGCTGGAGAAAGGCAAATTGTGTTTTGGTAGCTACTCTCTGGTCAGACTACGCAGCTCAGCCGTGAACAGACTTTGGGAATCACTTACCGGAGAAAAGAATGACGAGTGATGCGCACCATTCAGGTGGTACAAAGGCCATGAAAGAAGTCTGACGAGCTGAAAGAAGTCTGACGAGCTGAAAAAGGACATGTTAGTTGTATTCTGTCTGGCTGGAGTGTAGAGGAAATGGGCGAGCACAGATGTTGAATGTGAGAGAGAGTACATACCTTGGTCAAAAAGTCGTTGCAACCCGCTGCCAGAGCTTCATGTCGATCGCTCTGAACAGTATAAGATACTCAAATATGACAAAGAAAAAGAACAAAAGCGAACTTAAAAGACTTACCTGGAGAGGTCTTTGCCCGACCAATCCCCCTCCCCTCCTCGAGGCAGAAGATGTGACGAAAAATGAAAAGAGGAGGGAAGGGAGAATATGTTGTGAGTGGAGGGAGGGGGGTTTTGGTGGTGGTGGTGGTTTTTTGGTGCTCGTGGCAGAGCGATGAAGGAAAGAAGAGGAAGAAATCAAAGACTGGAGGAGAAATCTACTAAAGAGGAAGATACAGTGGCGGTTGCTGCGACAGGGCGGTGAGGACAGTGCTAAAGAGCAGCAGCTGCCGTCTGCTCTAACTAAAGGGCAGTGACAGTGGCAGCTTGAGGAGTCGTCCAGGAGGTGCCGAGTAGCGGTTCAGTGGAGGACACTGAAGTTCGCCTGCTATCTCTGTCTCGAGCGTTCTCCTTTTGGAGAAGAGAGTTTTCGTTTGCGGGCTAGAATGCAGGGGCTGTGGAATCGTAGTATCACGGAGACTGGTTCTTGTTGTATTTGACCCTCCATTGCATCTACGTAGTACACAGACCAAAGGGAATTGTCTTTCAGGTGTAGACGGCGTATAAACGCGCGTAGATACTGGTACTACGACGGACTATCTACATATTGGCATTCATACAATCACAAATGTGTAATTCCGGCCGGTATAGGTGCTGCTGGTACGGTGTTTTGTCTATGTGATCGTAGGCATACACTGGCAGCATGCCTCCTAGCGTGCACTTCCGCCTTTCATGCTCCCACTATCCGCATTTACCATCTAACAATGCCCTCTTTCAGCTACGGATTGTCGCCAGGATATCGCTTGTTTGCGATGAACAACTTTGATAACTATTCCCGGCTCCTACCCTTTTTCGCCGACAAACAAACAATGACACCTTCCTCTCTACGACGCAAGCTACTGACAACAACATCATCGCGGGCAAAAGAGACAAAATCCACTTCATCATCTCTGGCACGTTCCTATAGACCCCAAAAATCTTCCAGTGTTTGGAGAATCATCCTCATCCAGATTTGCTAACAGCTACGCACAGATTATCACGCCGCCATGTGCCGATTCGAAACCCCCATCACGATTTGAGCACTGCTCTCACTTCTTCGCCGACAGATGATTTAAACCGGCGCGCATACAGCATATCAACGAAGGTTTAAACTTCGATGCTACAACCCGAGCTCTTTTGCCTCGAAATCTGTCCGCCGTTCTGAAAAAACTCGAATAGCCAAACCTAGAAGCGAAAGGAAATGTTCCCTTCAGCGCACAAGGACAAGCTTCAGCCGCCTTCCAGCTTATCAATGTTGGATCCATCCAACACCAACATAGACCCATACTAGCGCCACCCTGTGGGACAATGGCTGATGGTAACTGTGGCAATCGGTCTCAACAGAGTGAGTTTGTTTACAGTGGATTCTTTCGCCGCCACGAAGCTATACTCGCCTCTGATCTGGGACCACGGAGCTGCTCGGCCGCATGACTTGGTGACTTGAGGCAATACGACAAATAATGGAGTGCAAAGGTAAATCTAACTTTGCTTACGCGGTTGCTTGTTTGCTTTTCATCCACTTTCATCCGTCTGCTTTTCTATATATTTCCCACGTCCCCCTCTCTACCTCGCTCTTTTTCTTCTATATCTCACCTTCTCTTGATACCACAATTTCTACCACCATCAACATCCTACTCTTTCCGATCGGCTTGAGCCGATAATCTCTCTAAGAAGCCAGCGTACTGCCAGAGCAATATGGGCTGTTTAGCAGGTTGACGTCTCGTTTATTATCGCAGACAGGCTCAAGTCAATCCGCACGGAGGCGGAAACGTCTCTGAAGAATCTAGCGACGACGAACTCTATTCTTAGGATTGCTCCTGAGGACGAAGAATCGAGAAAGAGCTCTCAATCTGTCAATCCTCATTGTGTCTGGGCCTGGTGAGTTTTCCCGGTCCGGAACACTCGCGGCCAACTTGCTTCCGACTTCGTATAACCGTTGATCCAGCTGGTCCAACTGGGCTTGCGAGCTTGGCCGGATTCGGTCGAGCATTGCCGTTGGTCTCGGTGTATACTTGTTCATGGTAAGCAATCCAATCACCCAGCCTTGTTCTAATTACAGTTCTAATACATGCGCGATTTCAGGGCCAGTGCTTTCGGCAAGCGAGTTGTTACACAGTCCTTGGTAGATTCTGACTTCCATGGCCGCCGTCCTACTGTCAAAATGTACCAGCGCCTTTTGTGGTGTCTGATGAGCGTCTACTCTGGCACTTTGACCTCGCGCTCGGTTCATCACGCATCTCCAGTTCTGCTTACCAAAGATAGCCCACTGGTGTTGATAAACTCGAATGCCCACGTTCAACTAAGCAACAAGGGCTTCTTACATATTTAAAGTTGGAGGATGGATGAAGGCAATATCGAGCCCCCAAGTTCAAGCAACAATAAAGGGCTAACCGAAGACAGAGAGGGTTTCGTGTCGGGCGTCGAGAATAACATTCCGGGATGGTCTGTTGAGGCCTCAGGAAGCCCAGCTTGGCCGGATTCGTATGGAGCCGAATTGCAATGCTCTATCCCCAGAACGACGGAGATTAACAAGATTACCCAGGTCTTCTGGTCAAGAGTGCTCGAAGGCTCTATCTGTGTAGTGCGCGTGCGGTCCAGAACATCCAAGGGCATTACAGATCTTGAGTTTCCTCTTGACTCTTTTTCTGAGTCTTCTTTGCTCTTACAACCAACAACAAAGGGCTAACCGAAGATAAAGATGGCTTCGTGTCGAACATCGATAAGAGCTTCCCGGGTTGTCTATTGAGGCCTCAAGCCTGGCTTGGCTGGATTGTATTCGGTAGTCTTTTGAGGCCTCAAACTTGGAGCTAGGATGGATTGAGTATCACAATTGGAATGGGAGGGAAATTACAATCATGGTGGAAGCGGAGAGGGTGTCGGGTTTAGCTAGAGGATCTACTGAGGCCTCCGGGTACGTTGATGGGATATTAGGTGGAAAGGAGGATGGGCAAATGGGATAAAGGGTAGTAGGAGGCGGCAATACAAACTGGTGGCAATAATCATTCAGTCTTCGTCTCTCCGTGATGGTAATTTGTCTTGTCTAGCTGTAAATATTTCCACTCTATTTCTTAATCCTCTATTTCTTAATCCTCTGGTCCAATCCTACTATTGTAAACACCATAGGCCAGCTATAGTGAATGAATATCAGACAACAGACTCCGCATGTCCTTCACGATCCCGCAACACCTTCTTCAGCCGTGAAATCATACCATTGACGCAAACCTGCACATTGTCCCCTACAACACGCTTATACAGGGCTTTATGCATCCGACTCCGTCTCTCCGGCGTCATAACCAACGCCTTATTGATCTGATCCGCCACCTGTGCAATGTCCCACGGGTTGATCTGAATCGCCTCTTCCAAATTGCTCGCCGTTCCACTGAATTCAGAAATGATGAGCGGCCCGCGACTGTCTCGCTGGCAGGCAATGTATTCCAAGCTCGTGGTGCTCATGCCTTCTCTCACGCACGTGTTGATGGCGACGTCTCCAAGCCGCAAAAGAGCAAAGTACTCGTCTTGCGAGAGTTTCTGGTTATGTAGCTGCACTGGACCATAGTCTAGCGAGCCGTAGTCTTGGTTAACCAAGTTGACGAGTTCGTTGACCTTGCGGGCGTAGGCAATGCTTTCGCCGTCGTCGTCCTCCATTGTGGCAGGGCCCGTGACTTGTAGTAGGACAACTTTGCCCTGCCACTTTGGATGGTGCTCCAAGAAGTATGAGAATGCTTCGAGTTTTTTGTGGACGCCCCCAAAACGGTCCATCGGGTCGCAGCCAATGACGACTTTTGTCCCCTCGAATAACTTGCACAACTCTTTATACTTTTTGTCAACCGATTCTGAAAAGGCCAAGGAAGTGATTTTGGAGATGTTGATGCCCAGTGGATTGACGCTCATGTAGGCCCGCCCCCTGGTGGTATCTACCCATTCACTGCTCGCAGAATAGCCAAGGATTCTCTCGCATGAGTTGGCGAAATGCTGCGCATAGTGGTAAGCCTGGAAACAAATGAGGTCTGCTCCAAGAACGCCTTTAAGAACTTCCTGTCGTCGATGCAGGCACCGCACGAGCTCGCTGGTGGGAAAGGGGGATTCGAGATAGAAGATGATGTGCATGTCTGGATGGCGCTGTCGAAGGAGTTCTGGCAAAATCATCAAGTAGTGATCGTGGACCACGACAATGTCTCCCGGCTGATAGGCTTTGCTGATTCGATCTGCATACGCCTCGTTTACCCGGCAGTAATCATCCCATCGACCATCTGCCTTGCGGCCATTCGTCGGAGGGTGTTGCTTGTAATGGAACAGTGCGCAGAGATCGTGCTCTGCATAGCGTCTCCATCTCCATTGCTGCTTCAGCTTGATTCCATCCGCCGTAACGTCACGGTCATCGGCAAGCCAAACTGGCAGAGTCCGTATTGGACTATTGTGGTATAGCATTTCTTCAAGCTTTGTTTTGCTCTTGTTGGTGACGAAGATTTCCTTTGCGGTCGCCTCGTCGTCGTTCAGAGGCTGCTCACACTGCGTGGCGGTCGTTGGCATCGGAATCGAGGCTTGGGGCGTTTCGTCAGCCGAAGTGCAGGATATCTCCCCTGTCCAGGCAATGACCGTATGGTCCCAGGCACAATCATCGGAGGAAAGATAGGCGAGCGAATCCAAATGAGCGGAGCAATGATATGTTTGCTGTGATACTTTCTGCTTCGTGTTAGTCTAAACCTCCCTCTAACGCGCGGAAGTTTCTTTCCAGCACTTACCCATTTCCCTCCTTGACTGTATTGGATCGCCTGGGGCAGAGTGAATGTGGCAGAGAGCACCTTTCCGCTGAAAACAGCTCCTTCGTGTTGCGGCTGACTCGAAATTGATTTTAGGGGCGTTTGGGCGTCCTGAGACTGTGCAGAATGGACTGAATCGGAAAAATACCCCAATTTTGCGGACTGAGGTATTCTCAATGTTGCTGCTGTCCCACCGGGATATCTCTGATATGTGCCCTGAGAAATGCCTGGGGTGACTGGGACGCTGGTGATGGACTTTGATTCGTGTGGCGGGAGAAGCGACTCGGTTCGTTGCTGGATTCTTGGCCTACTGGAATGGCGCGGCACTGAAAACGGTGTATTGGACATTGTGAATTCTAGTATGTATTGGAAACAAGAACAAAATAATGGGAGGCGAGATGAGCGTGGCTGTAAAATAGAATACTCTAAAGGTGGGAGCGAGAATGGTTTATAGATTTCGCTAGAATCTTAATATTCTATTTCTAGCATCCAACCAACTCAAGCCATTGACAGATTTAATCGCAGTGACCAGTAATACCTTCTATAATGGAGAAATAGAGCGGACCAGTAACGATTTTTCTGGGGCGATAATGGCAAAAAGCCCCATCGAATTGAGTTGATGATCTCAAGATGCCGTTACACACTTCCGTTTTCCATCCTTCCATCCTCTGTCTCACTCGCTGCGCCGGAGCACAAACTCCGCCACACATCGGTCGTTGACGTCAGCCGAGTCGTGTCTCTGTATCATATCGCACACTGGCTTTGCTTAATCTGCAAATCCAGTAGGGGCAAAATCCAATAGGAAATTGGCAGGATCAGAGTGCCTAAAAATGCAGAAGCTTAGTGGTTGAACCAACGGCATGGTCCATGCCAAATAGCATGTGTACAACAGCATCCTAAAAGTGGCGGCATTGCACGAAATTCCATGCCAATGGAACACGTCATGATTGGTACGGGGAGCTAATGGGAAAACGAAAAAAAGTGGCCTTTGGGCGGCCAAGGAGGGGCCGGAGATAAACATATGCGTGAACGAATCAGCGCTGTTCCCGTGAAGTGAGTGGAGTGTGCTCTATAGGCGCGCGTTGCTCTACGCGTAGCTGATGAGCTAAAAGGATCTATGATCGTCATTTACTTTGATGGTGGCGTTGGGGCGCAGGCATTCCGCCGTCACAATAATACCGAGCTTTTATCATCTGTGTATCCTCTCGAGTACAACAATTTTTGAATTCAGTATCAGCGTCGTATCAAAAAGATAAACCATAACTAATACACAGAATAACCAAATCAGTAGCTGCCAGCTCTATTTCTCGCCGTACTTGTACAAGCCTTCCTCAAGCCCCTTAATCTGCAGCGACAACGCCTTCGAGTAGTACCGACACAGCGCCAGACTGCTCCCGTGGATCCAGAAACCCGGATGGCCAGTCCGCTGGAAGATGTTGCGCAGCTCGCCTCCCTCACCGAAACCCCAGACATCGCCAATCTTGTCCGCAACAGCATCTCCCAGCATGGCGCGGGTCTTTTCTCGCATGTTTCCGTATCCCGTGGCCAAGATGATCTCGTCCGCCTCGAGCTCGCTGCCGTCTTCGAAACGTAGACCGTTGGGGAGCACTTCGGCAATCTCCTTGCCCTGCTTGACCTTGATTTGGCCGTCCACAATCAGCTTGGAGGCACCAACGTCGATGTAGTAGCGCCCTCCCAGCTGGAAGTACTTGAACAGGAGGCCTGCACCGTCTGGACCACTATCCACGTTGAATCCGACTTTACGTAAGCCCTCGAGGGTTTCTCGGTCATGCTCAGTCTGTTTCTTGGCAGAAGACGTATGCAGGGCCTTGAGCACCGCGGTGGGCTGGCTGTGGAATAGCAAGTCCAGATCCTCTAATGGAGGGCCACCCTCTGTAAAGTCTCGCAACAAGATATCACTGACAGACTTAGATGATGCGACAAAGGTGCTTGATCTTTGGACCAAAGTCACGTCGTAGCCGTTTTCCACGTAATCCTGGGCAATATCGTGGGCCGAAGTGCAGCAACCGACGATGACGGCCTTCTTTCCTGTGCTATTCGGCGTTGATCCGGGGAAATCTGAAGAGTGGCAGAGACGATCGCCCTTGAAATTTTCCATTCCTTTCAGCTTGGGCACAAATTTGAATCCCGAGAGACCGGTAGCTTGGATGATGTGATGCGGGTGGAAAGTCCGTGTCTCTGTCGTGCCGTCTTCTTTTTGTCGCTGCACCGTGACAGACCAGCTGTTTGTAGCATCCTCCCACTTGACATCTCCAAGCTTCGTCTTTGTCCAGACATTCAGCTCGAGCAGAGTTGCGTAGGCCTCGAAAAAGGTGGCCAGCTTGTCTTTAGGAGTAAAGATGGGCCATTGCGGTGGGAAAGGAATGTACGGCAGGTGCTGGTACCAAACCGTATCGTGAAGCACGAGATTGTGGTAGCGCTTTCGCCAGTTGTCCCCTACGCGGCCATTTTCCTCAATGATCAAGGCATTGACACCAATTGCCTTTAGCCTAGCTGCCGCTGTCAATCCAGCTTGTCCAGCTCCTAGTAGACGGTGATAATATTAGCAAAAGCCAGTGAGAACAACAGGATCAAGAACGATGCCCATATGCCTGAGGAAGGTAATTGCAACAAAGTGAGAATCCTTACCGATGATTATAACAGCTGGCTGGGCCTCGCCCTGGTACGTAATCTCTTGTTGTCTCGTCTCAGCCCAGTTCTGAGGGCCTCGCTTCTGTCCATGCTTGACTCCCTTGGGTCGTCTTTCACCGAGCAGCTCTGGGTGGCCGTCGATTTCGTCAAGGGCTGTGTATATTGAGAAGAATTTCCAGGTTCCATTGTCATTCACCAGTCTAGCGACACCGTTTCCAGATCCAATCACAGTCTTAAAAGTAATGAAGAACTGGATTCCCGGAACCTCGCCTTCGGCGTCAAGAGCAGCCACTTTGGGTGCTCGCCCCGCCGAGCTCGTATTTATTGTAACCTCCTTCAAGCGAAATCCATCTTTCGACTTGGAGCTATCTTGCAGGAGGCTGGTGATGCCCTGGGTTCCTTGAACCGTGCGGAATTCCCAAGTCAGAGCCAGGTGGTCTCTCCAATAGCCTTGGTCGACAAAGAGCTTGGCGGCAGTCGAGTAGTCGGCCTTCTTCAGCGCTTCGTTCAGCGCGTCGACTGCAGTGGTAGCGGTGCCGCTCACATCCAGGTCTGGAGATGGAGCGGATGCATTCTTGGGGAACACAACGGGAGGAATGTTGACAGACCCAAAAGCTGTGCGGTTATCTGTGGGGATCTGCGCGTGGAGTTGAGCCGTCATGGCGAAGTTGGAGTAAGTCGATTAAGCTACGTTTCAAGACTCAATGTAAAGCTTGTAATCTTGCGACTTGAAAAGAGCTAAAGTCCAGTGGATATATCAGATCTGAAAACCCGGGCAGACAAGAGGTTATTTGTAGTCTAACTGCCGGCTTGATGAACCCCCAATCCTCTCCGTCTGGTGCAACGCTATGATGACGGCGGCAGCAAACACGTACGACAGAGATGGATCGGCTTTGAAACCGGGGTGGATCTGAGAGCACAGTCACAATCAACGGATGATTCGACATGAGCACTCTCCGTGGGCCGTCTTTGGCAATCTCGCTGTTCGGTAGGATGCCGTCGCATGGGGGGCTATTCGCTATGTTGGGGTTTTCGGCGATAACCTTGTGATCTCATTTAGTAATGAGCTGGCAGAGGCCCGATTTTTGCCTCGGGTGGATGAGCCAGCTTGTCGACAACTCGCCTGCAAGAGATCCGCTTGTGCAGGAATGATGGAGCCAATAGGGAACTGAACACAAGAGGATAGAGTTTTCCAGAGGAAAACTACTCAATGAGGCAAATGGACTCTGTTGTGTCTGGGCTGGAATTCAGCCATGGCGAGCTACCGCTGCTGCTAGTAGCAGATAGCGTCGATGGGAATTCTTTAGCGCTCGTACGGCGAGCATGGTGCAAACGGCTTCGTCTGGGGTAGGACCCTGAGATTCACAAATGCGTCAGCCAACAAGGAGCTAAAACTTGGAGATTTGGAGTGAAGAGCAACTAACGGAATGAGCCGAGCGAGGAGAAGACACGGGGCAATGGAAGCCGTGAAGTTGGCGGAGCAATGGGGGCTTGAAGCCGGTATACTTCAAGAAGTAGCAATACCGGTAGCCATAATGAGAGGTTGAGACTTGTAGACCGAAATTCATTGACCGGGGTCCTGGTGCAAGTTGCCGGATCACACTTCGGCTTCTTGGTATAATTCCGTGGCGTGTGGAAAAGAAACCGGATGACTAAGCCGAGCTTGCACAGATGGGCTTGCGATTGCAATTGAATGTAATTGATCCAGCTTTGTAGGACGAAAAATCAATCAAGTGACTTTTCCGGCATCATGAATGATGGATATTTCCTATCGCCGAATATTTGAAATAGCTTTTTTTCTTATAGAGATGATTATCGTCATAGGACGCCTGAAGCTGTTTGCCTGAAGCTGTTTGATTTTCGAGGTTCGTGAGCAGTCATTACACTTAGTCACCGTTTCAATACTGTAAAGACCGGCTGCCACCGTCAAGAAGACGTCGAGCTGTACTATTCAGCATTCTGGCTACTAATAGCATCCATAGATTGCTGCTGCTACTACTGCCACTACATCTGCTGTTATTTCTAGGCCTGGTGTACATTTCCTTTGCACATGTATGTGGACTCTCTACCTTGTAAAGCTATAGCTGGGGCGCTGGATGATAGAATCTGGAACTGGATATCTAATGTTTGCCTCCAAAGATCATAAGAAACAAGCGTTTCATATTGGATTGCTTTTAATTCATCATTCGTCCTTCATTCAAGGGTACAATTTCACCGCAAGCCACTACTGGTCACTACTACCATACAAGCCTACAGAATTCCTACAAAGTGCCTGGCATTGAAATTATCTTCATAGAATAGGGAGCACAGAGTGGGAGCCGCCGTGTGACATGCATCAGACTAGGACCAACAAGTGCTGCACCGGTAATATGTCAAAAGAGCTTAAAGCAACCTCTGCCTCGATTGTCTATATCGATCCATCGCCCTGCCAGCGGGATGCTCTACGCTCAGCCTCGCAGGTGCTCAACATCGTATATAAAGCCGCTTCATTGTAACCACCAGAAAATCAAAACAGAGCCACAAACCCACCGAGAATGCCCTTCATTATCTGTGCTTTTCCCCTTCTTTTTGCGCCTTCTCAAGCTTCTTTTCTGTGCAAGTTGTAATTCTCGAAAGTGGCCCGTGCGCTGTCAAGCGTTCAGCGCTAGACCTTTTCGGGGACAGCGGCATCATCGCCTTTCCTATTTCGCAGCAGGAATTTACACCTGTTTGATTCATTGTTGTTTGAATGTCAGTTGGATATCAGTTGAAAATCACTTTGATAGCAGACACTGCTCACAACTGCCACCACCTGGCGAATGCCTTCAGCCTGAGGTGCTGAATTCACGAATGTCTTGAGGCCTGAGGTGCCCTATATATAGCCCTCCTCCCCTCTTCTCTTCCTCTTCCTCTTTGATTTCCTTTCCTCTCATCAACCGCGATGGAGGACGCCGCGATTGCTGAGATGATGGCCGAAATTCAACAGAACCCTCCCGAAGAAGAGTGGACACTCGTCCCCGTGCGTAAGGGCAAGGGCGGTCGTCCCAAGCCGGTCCCTGATCCTACGGATGTTAAGGCCATCCTCTCGCAGCCGACTATGAGACCCAGATCTATCCTCGCCTCCTCCAGCAAAGAAGCCATTGCCGGCCAGCACTTCTACATTCTCCGAGACTACAAGGAGAGTCGTGAGTGCCGCGTCCTCCAGGCCCTGATCAACGTGTTCAAGGCCGAAATCAAAGGCTCTGAGGATCCCATCACCAAGGCCATCTGCCTTGGCATCGGCTCGTTTGATCCTGACAACGGAAGCTGGATCACCAAGGAGAGAACTCATATGCAATTTGCTGCATTTTCAATCATCCTCGATGAGCTTCGTAAGTTATATCTCCATCTTTGTGCTCTTCATCCCTTCTTTGCAGTGACCATCTCGCTTACGCAAAATGAAAACGCTCAGAGAAGTTGTGCAAAAACAAAATAAAAGTCATCTTCCAGGAACCTGCTTTCAACGAGTCCGACGCTGAGTTCATCACCTCCTTGGGTCACGAGGTTGTCGAATCTCCCGCCGCCTTTGACAAGGTTGATTCCACCACCTTTGTCTTTGGCATCCACCTATACCGGGACATTTACGCGCAAGTCTTTAAGAATGGCGAGTATCCCGCCCTATTCGTTGGCACCGGCTGGAACGTCTGGTCCAAGTACGTTTCTCCTCTCTTTCTTTCCTCTTCACCGCGTCGTTTCTCGGGCTTTAGATACTGACTGTTAGTTCCTAGTGTAAGCTTCCGCTGGACCGCGGAGGAGAATCACAGCCTCGCCCTCCTCAAGGCCATGGAGACAACTCACAAGAGGTTTCCTTTCCCCGAGACCCCTGGCAAGAACATCTTCTACGGCACCTCCATCTACTGGGCGTCCACTTGACGCTGACGAGACAATCAATGCACGAGACTATGCAGCAGTCTGTTATTAATGATTTTATACCCATTTCGGTCGCATGTGTTTTAGATACACATTTTAAGGGAGTTTATAGGAGCTTTAGGCTAGAGAAATGGAAAACGGTACAATGCCAGATTTTACAGTAAACACAAGTTTTGCCTGCTTTGCATGTGTGAAAATGAAAGATGCCCGCCTTGGGGAAATGTAGAAAAAGAAACAGACACAAGTAACCTCGCATGCTCTGTCCTAAAACGCCCAGCCTTCTCTGTGGAAAATGATACGATACATGCGTGCTATGCCATGTCTCGCAGCAGACAAAAAGTTAAAAAAGTAGCAAAGTACAACAGTACAACAGTACAACAGTACAACAGTAAATGACATGAATACCCTCCATATGTGATGATCCCAGCTGTAAACAATTAATCCAGCATAGTATTGGGAAGAAAGAAGGCAATATGGGCAAGACGAAGCAGAAAAATCGAAATGAAAGAAACACGCACAAGAGAGACTCTAAAGGTCTATAGCGTGAGAAAGTGATTAAAAAACAAACAGATAGAATCGGTAAAACTCCATTTTCCCTCCCAGTCATGTGTCATCATCAATCAGCCGTGCAGAAGAACATATTACTTTTTGATGTTTTTTCTTTTTTTGTTGTTTCCAAAAGGGTGTAATCCTCGAATAATAATTCTGGTTTCTCCCCTTTGTACTCCTTCTCTCCTCATCATCTTGATGGGGGGAGTTGTTCTTTTTTGTTCTTCATGAAACTGTCTTGCCGCCGCAGTCGGGAATCTTGACGCCGTCTTTGAGCTTGCGGTTGGCATCCATGAGGCCCCATTTGTCCTCCCACGCCTCGGTGGCCGTGTTGTAAATGACCTTCCACGGCTCGTCAAAGGCCTCAAACCAAAAGTAGTTTGTGCCATTCTCCAGCGCCTGGCAGACCCAATCACCCATGAAAGTGTTGAGTTCGTCTATTCCGGCCACGGCTGGGTCTGTACAGGTGCTGGGACCGCCGCAGTCTTTGCCGCCTCCCGTGGGCCAACCGGTCTCGGAGATGATGTTCTTGGAGGTGTCTTTCTTCCAAAAGGGGCCGTCATGGCCCTTCCAGAAGCTGTACGTCCAATCGGCAGCCTCGGTCGCCGTTGTTCCACTAAAGAACGGGTGGACGTTGGCCATGATGTAATCGCTGTCGTCGGCGAGTTCCTGAGTCCAGTCGTCTCCCAGGTCGGAGGTAGCGACTGGGAGATCGTACTTCTTCTTGGTGAGGTTGGTTCGCACGTCGTCGAGCAGTTCGCCGAGGCTGGCCACGGTAAATTGCTTGCGGAAGAGCACTTCGTTGGCAACGATGATGCCTTCAAAAGGGTCATCACCGTACTTGTCAAGGATATCCCACATTTGCGCGAGCTGGCGGGCATTGGTGGTGGCGTTGTTATCCTGCCAGACACCCATCCAGACCTTGATATCGCTCGTCATCTCGAGGGCAGAGATGGAATGGAGGACCATCTGCGTCTGGTTGCAGTCGGTGCCGTAGAGACGGATCTTGTTAGTCAGCTGGCTGAGAACAGCCACATCGCGAGTGATGTTGTTCTGAGAGGGGGGGTCATTCAGGCAATCGGGATATTGAGTATTCAGAGGTGTGTAGTCGATGCCGGGGAAGACCTTGTGCAGGTCAGGATTGTTGAGCAGATCCTTGATCTCTTGGCTGTTGATGGTAAGATCGCTGCCATCATCATCACCCCCACCACTTCCACTTCCACTTCCACTGCCGCCGCCTTTAGAGCTGCCGCTGCTGCTGCCAGACTTGCTGCCGCTTTTGTTGGCGACGCGGCTTCCGACGACACCGCCAACGACGCCGCCGACAATCAACAGGATGACGATGATGGAGATGATCCAGCGCCATTTCTTGCTCTGGGAGGAATGCTGTGCCATCCAGGCGGATTTTTCTTCGGTGCTACCATTGTCAAAGATGCCACCAGCTTCAGCTCCTGTGCCATTGCCTTTGCCCTCGGCTGCTTTTGCTAAACACGAAACATTTGTTATTAAGAGCCTCAGGGGGGTAAGAAGGAGAAGAAGAGAGAGAAGAAGCAGATAAACAGGAATATCAAAGGGGGGGGGAACAAGCCGGGGAGCAAGCCGGGCAGTAACATGGTAGATGTAACTTGGATACAAAGGTAGAGAGGAGATTCTTCACTCACCACTGCGTCCCAACGCACTTCGAATCGCTCCAGCTCCAACCGCCGCCGTCGTCACCGCCGCAGCCCCCTTGGCCGCATCAGCGCCGAGGGTGGAATTCCGCTGACTACGCCGAGAATAGTCCAGCCCCTCGTCGCCATCGTCCACAATCTCATTAGGATTGACTATGCCGAGCATCGGATTGCTATTTCGAGAGCCCGCGGCATACATCTGCGGATAGTGGTCGTCGGCGTAGGGGTCTCGTGCGCCGCGAGACTCTCGGGCGCTGCGAGAGGGCGAGCGCGAGCTGTTGGCGCCCGATACTCCATCAGAGCCTGGGTGGTAGTAGCCGCCGTTGCCAGGACCGTAGCCGTAGCCGTTGCCGTAGCCGTTGCCGCCGTCGGGATATCGAGCGTGAGATGGTGGAGGAGGAAGACCGCCGTGGATCGCCTGCATGCCGCTCTCGCGCGCGTTTCGCTCTGCTACGCCGTAGGCGATGCCCGCCATGCCTCCCGCGGCCATATCGCTGAAGTTGTCAGAGCCGGGCGTCACGTTACTCAAGGTGTATCCACGGGAGTTGGAGTTGATTCTGATCTGTGGCGCATACCCGTCATTGTGGCCATTATCGCCTCTGGCAAAGTAGCCGGCGTTGCCCTGGTGCCGAGGCGGAGGAGGCACCTGGTCCTCGTCGGATTCATTCTCGTAGTCGTAGTCCCGGTGCTGGGGCACGGGCGGAGGAGGCTGGCGGTGGTGAGGCTGAGGCGAGACATTGTCGTGATAGGGAGTCTCGGGGGGGTACGCAGGGCTAGGAGGAGCCTGATAGCCATCGAGAGGCTCTCTCTCAGGAGAGGAGCCGTGCTCACCGTAGCGCTCCATGGCTGGCGAGCTCGGGGATTTAGAGTCAATTGAATTTCTTGCGACAAATTGGGCGAGATATTTCGCGACTTAGGCCGTGGGGAACCGATAAACTGCAATTGCGGGTTCGAAATCGTCGCAGAAAAGCTGCAGCTTCGTCGATTGACTCAACGAGCGTGGGTTGAACTTCAGGGCGATCTGATGCGCGCCTTTTTTTGTCTCTTTAGTTTTTTTTGTTTAGCTATCTGAAAAAGGAACCCAGCCCAGTGGCGGGCCAACCGCCGATCAATGAATTGGATTGGATTAAAAGACGGGATAAGAAAAAAAAAGAGGATCTCGTGAGGAGCAGGTTGCGGTGCTGCTTTCTCCAATACGTAGCTGACCGACAGGGATTCGGGGTGAAGAAAAAAGAAGAGGCGCACAGAGATGCGGGTGAGCACAGGCCGCGCGAACCTGCAGCTCTGCACGATGAGACAGAGGAGACGAAAAAAGAGGGCCTGGGGAAAAGGGGAGAATCAAAGACGATGACGACGACGATGGGCGAGTCTCGGTTCTTTGGTACGCAGCCGGGAGAAGAGGCTGGTTCAGCGATCGTAAGAAGTTGCAAAGTGAGTGACTTGTAAAGGGCTCGTCTCGATGCTCTGCTGCTGTCGCCTTGGAATTGCCTCGTCAAGTTAGTCGTGTCAACTGTGATGGGAAAAGAGCGTGGAAAGGAAGACAAACGAGAGCGTGGGGAGAATGGAAACAAAAGAAACCTCAAAGCAGCTGCCCGAACGCAACGCTCCACCTGTTTGGCTTCTAAGTCTTCCTCTTTATTCAATCACTCTGCAGAGAGAGAGACACGACGACAAAGCAGATAAAATAGAGAGCGAGAGAATAAAAGTTGAAGGGGACAAGTTTCGTCAGCTCGCGATGCGCCAGAGTTTCGCAAATCGGCATCACGGCAAGGTCAGGCCCCCCCAAACCCGATGCTACATTAGCCCGTTGCTTAGCAGCTCGTAATGGCTACTGGCTAATAACGACCGCTGAAGCTCAGCTGCTTTAAGCCGCTGCCTGGCACCAGAAAATCATTTGATGCACTCCAGGGCCACTGCGGCGGCGGCTGAGGCCCTTCTGGGCTGCCGCTAATTCCCAATGGCGCAGGTCAACCGCATGGGCTGCTAACTGAGAGTGGCCGTAGCGGCATGCCTAAACGAGCCGGGGAGATTATTGTGGCGGCCAGGGGGTGGAATTCTAATGAGGGCGAGGCTGATGGTGAGATTTCTGTTTCTCGGTCTCTGGGGATCTACGGGCAGTACGACCCAGGCTAATCCTGGAGGGAGATCCTGCTCAGTAGAATGTCCTGGTCGATTATTCTCCAGGCAGCATCGATTGCAGCGGTCACGGTTCCTCTATAGATGCGCTTTCACGGCCTCTAAGCTGGTGGTTGAGGCGCAAGAATCAAAGCCATTGTCCCCTGTGCCGTTATTGGTACTGTCTGGGCCCAGGCCTGTGGGGCACCGGCGACATCTCGCTCGTTCCCCCAGATTTTCTCCCCCTCGTATGTCTCATCTAAGCATGGCATTTATTCATTCTTCGTATTTTGTCAAAGCCGCCTAAAATGAGCGGCAGATTGGGAAAATAAAATCATAGAGTGAGACTGCATGAGCAAAAATGTTGAGATGCGGGAATAGCGGGATAGACGAGGGCGCCGAGAATGAAGCTTTCAGCGATGCCCGCAGCGCAAAAAGCATAAACGGATCATTGCTTCGTATGAGTAGAAGTGTCAGCACTTTGTTTGCAGGCACGGCGTGCTAAATATAAATTGTCATTGCGAATCACAACATCAAGTATCTGTCGCGGCCGCAGTGCCGCTGCGCCCATTGTTGGTCTTCGGCGCACGTTTCGAAGATGTCGTTCCAATTCTAGTCGATTAAAGCACATATTCGTCATCGATGCAAGTCGCAAATGAGAATCAAATCTGCGATTTGATCATTGATCAGCCAGGAAATGTTTCCAAAACAAATGTCCAATTCAACGCCTTTTCACGAAGAGGCGCCTGTCAACTTTGCGTGGTCACGCTTTGAAGGCGCCTCGGCATTCTGAGCCGTGGAACTATGGCTGGCGCCCCCTCGTAAACTTTCCTTTTGCCTGTAGGTGTCATTTTAGCCTTTACCAGGCACTTCTCGTGGGTGCGTTGGGGGACACGTCGACGCTTTCAAACATGCAGCATCACTCTATTTAATACGAAAATAAAAGACATCTGAACCTTTTGCTTTTTTATGCGTCTGCTTACGAATATCTACTACAGAGTGAGCAAGCCCAGCCTCGAAATTTCTCGCTTTTAATTAGAGCCGGCCATCTAGTTTAGATCGTACATACGGTGCATCAGCATCCATATCCATGTCCACCTACTACTGCACGCTCTTAGAGATCACAGCTACTGAGGTCAACTGCCTTGTTTTCCCCATGCTCTCTGTAGCACGCGACGAAGCCAAGACAGCAGCTTCAGCAGCTAGGCTCAAATCACACAGGGAAAGCAGATGAAAATTGCCCTGAACGGCAACGCCAATGCGTGAGACTTTATCCACCAAGGCGATTAGCGCTGCCGCCAGCCTCCACCAGCGCCCTATCTTGAGCCCTTGGCGTTCTGTCACTTCTGCAGCGTACGGGCGATATAAAAGTCAAAAGTCTCCTGTCTTGTGTGTTGTGCCGTTTTGTCCATTCATGGTTTATACATGTATTTTGTTGGACGGAATGGGAGAAGGCGAGCGCTCTTATTCACTCTCTGGTGCTTCCAGCTCTTGGCAGTGGATATGATGCCACCAGACGGCATTACTTGCCTTGCCTGCAACGATCGAAGAGGGGCGAGGCTCAGCCCCAGATACAAAAATAGAAGACAACGGAGGGATTATAAAGCGACCATGGCGTCGTCGACCATCCGCCGCCTCCACTGATCTAGCTCCTACCCAAGTAATGAGGAGCTGAGAAGCTGCTTGTAACTAATCTTGGCACGATGCATGATACTACTTGGCATCCTGGTTCCATGCTCGTTATCCGGCACTTGGTCTCTAGGAGTCCCTCGGTCTAGATAAAAACAACATGCAAGGACGGTAGTTAAAGAAGAGCTCCTCTGGCCCCATACCTGCAGGGCTTCATCGAATTGGGGCTCAGTACGGACGACGGGAAAGACCTCAAATAGAGCCACTGCAAATCAATCAGATACAGCAGATCAAACGCCAAGCAACTCACACGTTAATGCATCCCACCTATAGCCCTACAACATGACGTGTTATTGACGGCTCGAATATTAGCCCACCGGCGCCGGGACCCTTTGTTGATCATGCTACCTTGCTCCAGGGAGAAAGAAACGGCGTGGGATGGTGAATTTTGTGGGCTGAGCTGCCCATAGTCTCGTTTTCCATAGACAAGCTTCTGTTACTAGCAAATTTCCGATCCCGTCTTTGGCAAGATGCTTACGAGCTTCGCTAATCATCACATAAGCACTCGGGTCTAAGCAAAGTTCCATTCAGAGAATAGAATGTTGGAAACGGTTTAGCTAATCATCCATCGTTGCTTGCATCAATTCCCGATAGAGGTATTATCCCGATGGAGCTTGTGGGTAGTATCCCACTTCAGATCTCGGGAAACCTTTTGTCTTTTGTAAAAGGATCAACGCTATTGCCTCGCCCACATTGATAAGAGCAGCTCGGCAAGCAGTTGTAAGGATTATTCCAAATTATCCCTGCTGCATGTCCATCAGGCTGGGCATGTCACCGCAGGCCTAGTTATTGCGTACCGATGTTTGCCTCTCTTTCATGCTGGTCACGGCCGCAAGTGAGGGTCCATGGTCCCCAGCAAGATCATGCTGCCTAGTATGAAAACACGCGTATCGCGGCATCGAATATTTACAAGGTTTTCTCGTGCTAGGCTTTGTCGATGGATCTCTTCACGTGGCTCGCTTGGCAACTAGTGAAGAAGGGAAATATAGGTCCGTGTTAAAGTTCTCGCAGCACGGGTAGCCGATATAGATGCATGGATGTATTCTTCGCTTTTGCCCTTCATTGTTGTCTCTTGTCCCTTGTCAAGTTTCGACTCATGTTCAGCCGCTCGTGTCTTGAATCTCGCCATGTCTTGCAAAAACCGATATGGTCGACTCTCACAGCCATCTTTGTATCAAAGAAATGTCGGGCTACAATGGTGTCGGGTACCAACGGAAATTCTTTTGCTTCCCAAAACTCCTAGCTTTGACGTCTCCTGTCCGTCGCAATTGGGTGGAAACTCTCGGAGAATTCTCTGGAAAGAGTTAGCTAAACAAGCCTTCTCCGATAGGGATGAGAAAGCCACTTGCCATGCTCTTGAGACACGTCCTATTGGTCAACAATCTCCGTGTCGGTTAAAAGCCCCGTAGACTTTGGGGAAAAGCAAGGAAGAGAGAAGATCGAATCCATCCACGTGGTGGTGTTGACTTTTGAACTCGGCACTTGGCAGCTCTTGACAACTGCATACCACATAGTACCCCGAAAGAGAATAACGTTCGGGGTTTTGGTATTATTCTCATCCACTATTGGAGGATGTAATGCCTAGTTAGGCAATACAAAAACTTGATTAGTTGATAAGAAACAAAAATATATTGGTCAGGTGCCTTCAATTAGGTATAGCCCTTACGGCAGTTCTCGTCGGTGACACCGTTTTCGGCGTCGAGGATAGCGCCACCATCACGAGTGCTAGATGGACTAAATGGGGCTGTGGAAACGCCTTCTATGCACAAAAAACATGGCAGCCTGGCAATTGCCCAGATTGATTTAGAGAGCTCGGCTAAGCTTATATCTCAGGCGGATGCTAAACTGTCGTAACCTCTTGAGCTCAATATGGGTGTGACGCTATTGCGTATGCATGGTGGCCATCAAGATTGGGGTTTCCGCGGCACCGAGCAGCTTTTGGCCATTATTTCGTAGTGTAATTCTACTCTTGCCGTGCAACAATGAACTGTATTGAAAATGTCAAAAGGATCACCATATGACATACTATCCGCTCTGGAGATTGAACAACTGTCGTAACTCCTACTGCCTTGAGTGATGCGAGCCTCGGCTTGCGGGAACAAGCTTCAACCTTGCCACCCCTTGCATAGCACCTTTTGAGCGAAAGATACGCTAGAGATATGTTGCCGAACATGACAAGCTTGGAGAGCCTCGTATTGCCGAGACACTTTGGTAATCAGCTTCTGTCTCAGCCCAGGTGACGAACGGGAAAATACTCGGGAAAACAGATCCAAGCGGTGTTAATAGCAGTAGCACCGGTACAGACTAGTATCTGCCTCAGCATCCATCATTTCTCGAATATGATCAACAACCGGATGATACAAGCACAAGAGTCTCTGCCGCTTCTCCTCCACCTGTAAGTCACATCAAACCCATCTCCATGGCCAGCCCCATATTAAACCGCGCTTCAGCAGCACCAACCGTCAGCTAAAAAAGATCCAAGCCCCCCCGTTCAGGCGCCGGTTTCTGCTTCCGACCAAGCACCCCTTGCGCGCTGAAGCCGTGAGGAATAGCGGCATGGCATCTTGTTTTAAGCTCTCCACTCCTACCTGCCAAGGGCCAAGGTGCAGGTAGCCTTTTTTCCTAGACTAGGGGGGTTTCTGCTTTGTCTTTCTTTTGTCTTTGATAATCTGGTTGTCCTGCTTTTTTCCCTCTTAACCTGCCCCTTGTCCACACGTTGTTGCTGCCAGCGGATACAAACGTTACATCTATCCAGATTCGATCGTCGTCTGTCGTTTTCGCTGCGAGCTTCCCTATTTTTGAAGATCACAGCTTCTTCCGGGGGGTTTCGTCTTCGCTTGGCTTGCGCTATATAATCTTAATTTGTTTCGTTCCTCCAATCGGCGCCGCTCTTCTCGGTCTGCAACCTTTCAACACAAAGGCCTTTTTGCCCTTGTCCCCTCAATAACTCCGTTTCATGAGGCTAAAGCGCAGATCATGAGCTAAATAACTCTGCCACGACTTAGTTTCGCTTTTTTTTTCTCTTACTTCTTTTTTCCTTCTTCCTTTTTCATTTCCCGCACCACTGGAAATCTCCGCTGTTCAACTGGACGAATGGAAGAAAAAAGGAAGGATAGAAAAAGAGGAACGAAGAGGAGATGACCTAAATACATAGAGCGAAAGAAGAAACACCCGTCATCGAAGAAACAAGGATCCAATACCTGCCGCGGCACCTGCTGTCTGTAATATAAGCCTAAGCACGAGCTGTCAAAAACGACAGAAGCGCCAACTCCATTTTTCTGGCGCGCATCTCCATAACGCCAACCAACAACACCAGAGCAGATCGAGGCCCCGCTGATGCATCGTCATCGCGACAAGCCATGGAGATTCAGTTTACGCTGCCGATAAACACCGCCAAGGGCGAGGCCAGCGCTTCAGCTACCGGGTGAGTTGAGTCATGTCCTGGTCTCGTTTTTTTTTTAGCTTTGATTGCTTGCATTGTCGAAGCAACCGATTCGGCCTTGTTTGGAGTCATTCACATCACTCTATCTGTGCCTCATACTCGCCTGCCTCTAGCCTCCGGTAACTGACAATGAGAATCTATCACGGAAAAACAGCCGCTCAACTGCATCATCATCCTCCTCCTCCTCCTCCTCCTCCTCCTCATCGAGAGGCCGAGGCGGTGTCCATCGCTTTGCTCTGGACTCAAGAACGAGGCACACTCGACGCAGCTCAACCCGCGCACGCACAGGCTGCAATACTTGTAAGTGTCTTTTCTCTGGTTCATGTTGTTTCTACTGCATCGCTGACCAGCATATCAGGCAAGTAAGTTGCCTTCAGATTGACTACCCGGCTGTTGGTCGTTGCATCCATGCTTCTGACCCTCACTAGCTTTTGAACGTTACAACGGTTGCGGGCACTAACAACGCCCCTTGTCTTTTTCTCTTGCTTGTAGGAAACGCCATGTCAAATGCGACGAGACCCGACCGGCCTGCCTCAACTGTATGAAATGGCGTGGCTACTGTGATTCTTATTCTGATGCTGCCGACTCTTCACAGCCTCAGTCTCGCTTATCATCGTCCAATACAAAACTCATCCACACGAAAAAGGCTCCTTTGCTCATCGTCGAGCCATCTGTCAACAGCATCCGCTTCGCCAACAATGACCAGCGAGACTACTTCGTCGAGTGGTCCAATCTCTCCGTCACCTACCTTGGCGGATTTGTGGACCAGACTCGCCTATGGACGACCACGATGCCTCAGGTCACGCTGGAAGACAGCACTCTGCGATACGGCGCCATGGCTGTAGGAGCTCTCCGAAAGGCGTATCAAGAACAGGGCTCAGAGATGGGGCTCGAGCTTAACAACCGGCACTACCTGAATGCCATTGTCTACTATTGCGAAGCCCTTCGCATGCAGTCCGAAATGAAGCCCACGAAAGAAGGCCTGAGGACAGCACTGCTTTCTTCTCTGTTGTTTGTGTGCTTCGAGGCTCAGAGAGGAAACATTCCCTCGGCTTTAAAGCATGTCACTCACGGGTTTACAATGCTCAACGAGCTCGCCAACTGCACTGATAAAGCGCCCGACCTGGTCAGCATTGCTCCCGCGCCACCGGCCTTGGTGCAAGACATTCTCGACTGCTATAAACCCCTCGAGTTGCAGTCAAGGTCCTTTATGGGATCATACAGAAAATACTTTCTTTCGTCACAACCTCCCGTTGGGCAAATTAGCCAGCATCCTTCATCGCCTTCACCGTCTTCATCGTCTTCCGCTACTTCTCCTTCGTCACACCTGCAACAACAAACAAGCCGCAGAAACTCCTCACTCCAACCAACAGCTAGGAGCTCCTCGAGCCAGCCGGAAACGCCTCTTGGATTCTCTCACCAAAGCCCTCAGCCAACCGGCTTACCGAGCCCACAAAGCCAGGGCATTCCATCCTCACCTCAAGCCCCCCCTTTTAGACGACCGCCCGGAATACTTCCATTTACCAAAAACTCTCCCTACTTTCGACCAAAGCTAACCAACATTGTCTCTTTGGACGATATGCCGCGTGCGTTCAAGTCGTGGGATGAGATGCGTGACTACTGGGGACTGGTCCAGCGCCAGATGGTGCGCCATGTGCCCATGCTACATAAACTGACCTGCGAGCTTGCTTTACACAGGACCCATGACGTTGCCGAGATAGAAAAGAAGTTTGGGAGTCTCAGATCGAACCCGACTCTGGTCAAATTCATCGCAGAGGGCCGGTACTGGCTGCAGCGCTGGACCGAAACGTACGAGCCTATGCATCAAGCAATCGTTAAAAACGCCAAAGCCGATCGCTCTCTCTATTTACAAGCCCTGAGCATTCGCATCGAGTATCTGATCCTGTACATCTACACAACCGTACCACGCTACTCGAGCCTCATCACCGTCAGAGGCCTCACTCCCCAGTATCGAGAGATCAACGCTCTTGCCGAAGAGCTGTTACGTTGCCGACCCAACTGCGGCTTTGCCATGGATGCTGGATGGACCTGGCCGTTATTTGTAGTCTCCTTTGGCTGCCGGAATCGTCAAGTCAGAGAAGAAGCAATCCGAATACTCGGACAATACCCCATCCGCAACGCCCTTCGCGATAGTCGAGTCTTTAGGGCCATTGCCATCAAGAACAACGAAACAGAAATCTTCAACGAGATCGAAGGCGACGAGGGCGAGCAGTGGATGCGCCTCCGACGCCGCGAACTCATCTTTGAGGACTTTGGCTCCAGCATCATCTTCCGGTTTGTACAAAGGGATCCCGTCACAGGGAGTTGGGATCTAGTGGAGGAAGTGGCCGACTATGGCGTCGGATCCGATGGTCGACTGGCATGGCGGAGGCAGCCAATCTCTGAGTCCGAGTCGATTCTATCTGGCGTATGTTGATAACTTTTCACACAAACACACAAACCGTCTTTGTTCTTTAAACTTCCTATTTAGCGGACTTGAGCTTTATAAAACGTTGCCGTTACTAAGCGCTGCTAGGTAGTGTAACCCCATTAGCGAGCTGTTCTTCTTCAGATATACCCATGAGTACGAAAAGGAGAGGTATTTGGAGGTGTTGAAACAATCATCAGAGGCATAGAAGGCCTTGGAGAGGGCTGGGAATGTTTACTATGAGGATATGATAAGATACTCGCATGAACCGTAGATGTGGTTACAGATCTATATGCGACGTTTTTGTTGGCAATGTCTATGCTAGAGGTCCATAGTGAACAATATGGAAAGTATTAGTATCTAAAGCGTAATTGGTTTAGTGGTAAAATTCTCCGTTGCCATCCGCAACGTCGGGGAGCCCTGGGTTCGATTCCCAGATTACGCATTAGTTTGATTTTTGCCGTCATTTGCAATTTTCTCTTTTTATCTCTGGAAGACATCATTTCCTTTTTTTCTTTACGCAGAAACAAGGTAAACATTTTGTTTAAATTGGTGTGCCCGCTCTTTTGCAGTTGGCGTGCTGCAAAAGATGGAGCTTCAGAGGATTGTTGCTTCTGGTGTGTGAATGTGCCTAACCTGTAATTCGAGATGCGCTGCGTATTTCAGAAATCAATCCAGCAGATCAGATGTGGATATATCTTTGGCGCAAATCCAAAATTGGCTATAAGTAGTGGCAGATTGAGCTTATTTAATCACCTTCTTTTGACTGATGAAAAAGGGAGAGTGATGTTGAGTGCTACGAGCAACGGATCAAAAAAGAAATGTTACGGCGATTGAATTGTGCATTCAACGGGGTCTTGTCACAACTGCTGCAAATGCTACCTTTAAGGCGAATACAGGCCATTTCAAATACGCAGAGGTAGACCACCAGCTCTCGAAAACTGCTCAGTGGCTGGAATAGCGAATCCACGTTGAACAATTCATCGAATGGAAGTGTACCATTAGATTTCGCTTGACAACATGTGCACGTCAAAAGGTGAAATGAAGCAGCTTCCGTTCATAGTTCAAATTTATCAGTTCTCTTTCTTTTGGCGCATGAACAAAAGCCTAAATTGTTGCTACTGTGGCGAATTTGTATCGCATGATGTGGTAGAGGAAGAGTAGAATACGCTCGTGCGGCCAGCGCAGCTGCCCACCATCTTTTTCACAGCATATTTAACCCCCCCCCAGGCTTCATCATTGGAACTGCAATTTGTTCTGCTCGGCAGCCCAACCAAGTACATTTTGGTGGCATGAGCGTCGTATTGGTCGCGAGGCAGACTTGGCATTGGTGGCAGAAGGAGAATGCAAACCATGTACCATCTTCGTAGAGAATGCTTCGTACAGTCCCAAATACGCTGTCATCGTCGCCGTCACTCGCTTGCAAGTCACACCTTAACAAAATAGTCCATTCTCCAAGCATCCTCGAAAATACTTTCCTTCCGATTGGCCCAACTCGTTATCGCTATGTGCTTCGTCCGTAGCAATAGATTCCTGGAAGAAAACTAAAATTGCTGTGAAACAAGCCACTAGAGAGACAAATAGCACAATGTAGTACTTTGCGTAAATTTTGTGATATGGGGGGAGATTAAAATCGCCGTGAAAAGAGGAGATGGTGCGCTCAACTTTTGGAGACGTAGGACTTCAAAGTCGACTGAAGGCCTTTGCAGATATGCTCTGTGTACCTGTAGGTAATGGAAGCTCACAGTCCAAGAGATTGGCCCAGACCGCACCATGTCGCGTGCTGTTGAGCTCGCTAACTGCTCCAATTTCTCTATGACCATTGAAGAAAAATGAAGAAAAAGAAATCGCTATCTAACACCAGAGATCAACGTCGATTTAACCAGAAGCCAGCATCCGCATTTCGGAACCATCAATTTTTAGAAAAATTCAAGAAGACGAGAGCTCCGTTCGCAGTAGGCGCTGAAAAGGGAAATCTGGTATCGTGTCGCTGAGTAGAACGCACATTTGCTTGCCTGGCGAATATGCTGCTCATTGTCTTCCATTTATCGGGTGAGAGACTGGTGAAGAATAGTCCCAACCTTTATGGCGATTTCCTCTTTGACGGTGCTGCTGCCCTCGTTGGCGGTCTCGATCTCGTTCCCAGTGCCAATATTGGTGAGGGTTTCGCCATTGCTGAGCCTTGCCACGACAGCGCTCCCGGATGACTACTGAAACGAACTCGTGCTGTGACAAAGGTGACGTAGCTAAGATGATGATCTTTGACGCCATCTATGGCAGCTACTTGACATGAACGAGAAGAGCTTAGCAAGAGGAAAATAATTGCGCCTCAGTCTTAGTTGCTGTGTTGGAGGGAACAATAACTCGCTGCCGAGCGTCGATCAGCACGGCTCTCGAGCTCTCTGCTTGGCCGCCCTTGGTCATTCCATATGGCGCCGTAAGTTGACCGCCACTATGTTGATATAAGCTGTAACCGGGCACTCAGATTTGGAACAGATAGCTACAACATAATATACCTAGCTCGCGCAATATCTCGTGATCTCGCAAAGTGTTGGCTCTATGGCCAAAAACTGGCTTCATCACTGCGCTCTTTCACCAAGACACCTGATTGATGCAACTTCTTTTCAGCACACAGCGTGGCAAGTACTGGCCCAGGACCGGCGAAGTAGTCAAGGGCAAAGACAACGAGGTCCATTGACTGAACTTCATCGAGAGCAACACGCAGCGTTCCTTGACTGCCATAAAGTCTACTTTCCCAATCCTGACGGATGGTTTCTCATAGATCTTTATCCTGATGAGCCTTTGGGCACGACTTGAACCCAGCTATTGGCGGCGGCAGCCGTGTTTTCTGCAAACACGAATGCAATATTAGCCTCGAAGACAACCATATTCCCAGAACTCCAACGTACATTCGCGGAGGCCGGTTTTCTTCCCAACTAATTAGCCAAATAATGCTCGTCAGAGGCGGTATCATCTCCAAGTGCTGGGAAGAAGCAGAATACTGTCGCCTGAAGATTTTGTGGAAAGAAAAAGTTCACGAGTGCTGCGCGTTGTTTGGGCTATTTTTGCGTTCTCAAATGCCGCTCTCTGTGCCAGCTGCGTACAAACGAATCGCTGCCAAAAGAAGCTGCCAAAAGAGGACACCTTCAGAAACCCCCTGTCAGACCGACTTGACATCTTTCTTTAAACGAAGTCTAGCAAAGGAATTAGCGTATGGAAAGCACAATGACCTGGTCGGGCGTTGTAATAACGGCTTGGGTGCAACACACCATACCAGCGGCACAATAATCACTGTTGACACCTCTTAAGTAGAGGTGGAAGAGTCATCTCCGTATGCGAGTGGTCGGCCACCAAACCATATACCACTTTAAAAACTTCTGTTGGCATTGAGATCTCAAGGGCAACAATGGGCTGCTGAGAGCTACGGATAGACAATGTAACATTTCCAAGGTCTGATCACATTTCACAGTTCTTAGCGGCAAGCCCACCTAGAAGTATCTCGTTGAAGGTGAAAAAGAAGAAGGAAAGAAGGAGGTGTATATCGGAAGCTATCGTATTCTAGAGATACACATTGGAAAAGCTATTGCCCCAGTAACGGTGAGTGAAGCGCAACAAATCAATCCACCGCAGAGTTATGCCTTGAAGGGAGTGTTCACGTCTTTCCGGCGAGGTGTCGTCTTCGATTCAGTGGCAGTCGAACAAGATCCAAGATTGCGGCCCAGGCCGGGGGGCTCGAGGAGAACAGAAATCTCCAGTAGAACAAAAGGGTAAAAGTCCCCTTGATTTTGACCTTTAGTGTATCGACAACCACCGTGTATTTATGCTTTGTAGGGAGTGATTATGCCGATTTTCTCCCAGTGTCATCTTGAAATGTTATTTTCCGTGGTAGAGTAGTTTTGGGCGTGGCTGCCCAGGCCATGGCCGTGATTGTTTCTGCTGAGTCGGATTTAGTAAATTTAGAGCCATAACAAGTTGACAAGCAGCACTGACCTGTGGAAACAAGATGAACCGGCAAGGTGCCAGAGGAGACACGTGTGAGGTCGCAGTCGCGATAGTCTCTGCTAAACCGCTCGTACAACCGTTCGTACATTTGCAGAGCCACCTCAAGCTCTCTTGTGTTGACAAGAGATTGGCTCTTTCTGCCCTGTTCTTGCACACCCTCCACGTCAAAGAACCGGTATGGCGCAAAGAGAGTATCTTTATGCCAAGGGGCCTGGCGCCACGAAAGGCACTTTCGAATGCCAGAAGGCTAGGCCGCTCAAGGGTAGGTCAAGACCGAGTGGTGACTTGAAGGAGAAAGAAAACGTTTGGGGAACATGAAGTCTGGCTAGAAACTTGACGCGTCAGTATGTGCTATTATTGAGGCAGGAAGTACCTGTTTTCGCCTAGAGGCCCCGCCGTGATAATGAGCAGAGGCGCTGCGGAAGGCACGTCGCAAGAATACGTGGCGAGCGGAAAGAGGCATGATGTCATTTAATTTACACTCTGCGCGTTTTGCTGCGTTCCACGGCATTATAGGTGAGGATCGCGACAATCGTGGTAGAGCTCCAGTCTCGATTCTTGGGATAGAATGCATCTGTACGTTTCGTAGGCTTGGCTTCTTTAACACGGATTAACCGTTCTGTAGCTGCCTGATTTAAGAATAGAGCATCGTCACGAAACATGAGAAATGAGCTGGAATCAATCGACACTGAATAGAATAAGTAGAGGATGCCTTCATGAATCAAAGGAGGAAGTGGGCTGAAGATGCGAACTGATACCAACCAAATTTCAATTAGCGATGAAAGCCACGGTCCTATAATACGACCTTGCGATGGACTAGTCGCTGAATCTGGAATTTAAAGTAGCCATTGATTGCACCAGCCTTTGCAGCCTTTATTGAACCTATGACATCTCCAAGTAGAACTGCAATGCCAATAATTACCATCGCGAATCCATCCTGGATCCATCCTCCCAGGTGCAGTCGAAATAGTCGAACAATGACTCGCCAATAGAACTACTATCCTCAT